TTAGCACTAGAGTTTATCTTAATAATATATTTTCTAGATATATAATTTAAAGTCTTAAGTGTTCTATCTAATATATAATATTAATTACTAAAATTTCCTACTATTAAATCTTGATAGAACTTATTAGCTAAAGCCTTTAAATAGTCTAATAAAAATTTAAGGTATTATAAATTATTAGTATTAGTTACAAAATAAGAGATATTTAATAGCATAAATACTTAAATTAAAATATAAATATATACTTATAGAGATATACTTGCACTTAAGTATTTAATAATATATATATAACTAAGTTATAGTATTATAATAAATATACTACTATTTAATATAGTTATAAGAATTTAAAGTGGTTCATAATTAAAAATAGACTAAATATGGAAGCTTATATAAAGACTTAACCATATATTTTTATACCCTATTAGTATTAAAACCTTATATATAAAATATTATTACTCATCTTGCCCTTTAGAGACACAGAGAGCTAGAAGTTATTAGATATAACACTAGAAATAAAGACTATATTAAGAGGCTTAATCAGAGAACCCTTAGAAGTGTATAGAGATTTAGACTATCTATTTATTTATATTATTAGTAACTATATTAATATTTATCTAACTTTATGACTCATCTTATATAGCTAACTTATCTATATAAATAATATTTTTATAAGGTACTCTAAATATAAGGATAAATCTAGATTAATAATAATAAACTACCACTATATTAGTATTTTCTTAAGTATTAGAATACTACTCCTAAAAAAAAAAATAGCTAGAGCAGATTTAAATTATTAGAATTAGACACTTCAAGTTAACTATTACACTTAACTATAAGATAATCAAAATCACTTCACTATTATCTTAAGCATTAAATCAATACAGGAAAAGCAAAGAATTAATAATATAAAATACACTAAATCTATATTCAATAGAATTTTAATAAAAAAATATGATATTAAGATAACACTTATTATCAAGGAAAAAAATAAGGCCAAGGAAGAGAAAAGAAAGAAAGAGGAAGTTAGAATAAGAAAAATAAGAATTTATATATACTTATTACTAGTATTAATCTTAATTACTTTCTATATATTTAATCCTCTATCTAATATCTATTATTTATTTTTAATTTCTCTATTAAAAATAAGGATTTCATTACAAAACTTGAACTACTAATTCTATATACTAAACCTTACAAGTCTATGAAGTTTTAGGCTTAGGGACGCGCCCTTATAAAGAGGGGGATAGTTGTAAGGTAAAATCCTAAATAGAGTTGGGAATAGCTTCAAAGTATAGCGGGCATGTGACCTCACCCAGCTTCCCGCTGCTAATTGGACTAGTGGCTTAGCAGATATCACCTTATAACTGCGGGTGGCCTCAGGTCTTTGAGAAGCAGCGATTAGCTGCTGAGCATACATGTATATACGTTATATATTCGAATCTATTCCTAGGCCGAAGCCGAATCCCAGCTACGTTCTTGCAACCCCCGTCACACTCTCATATGTGGTTAAAATACTCTTAGATAATTTTAATATCCTTACATTTAGCCCACTCATAGTTATATCTTCATGAAAATCGTGTCTTTAGCTCTAGGTGGCATTTAATATATTAATTAACTCATTTCTTACTAACTTGCTCATTTTTATATTAAGAAAGAAGAAGATTTGCAGTATCTTATACAAGAGATAGCCGGGGAGGTAATCTACGTTTATTAAGATCAAGAATCCATTTTAGAAGGGATTCCTCCTCATATTGAGTTAATTTAGATCCATTGGCACGTATTTCAGCTCGATATTCGATGCCGGCAAGTTGATGTTGGAGAGTTGTACGAGAAACATTATAAATCTGCATAGCTTTATGTATAGTTCAAATTCTTCCATTTTTTAAATCGGAAATAGCAAGTAATATCTTGCTCTCTTGATCGCTTGAATTTTGTGTATTTTCTGTACGAATTGGTGGCATATTGACGCGTTGAAATCTAGAAATTCATATAGAGCGCGTTTTCCGGAGAAAGTGGCCCGCTCGGTGTCGTGGCCCGCTCGGTGTCCGATTACGTTAACATAACGTAATCCACCCCCGAACCGCCACCACCACCGACCCGCCACTTCCGCCGAAAACGCGTCAAAATATTCAATCCTCTATATTTAACACGTCAATATGCCACTAATTTGAGATATAAAGCGTACAAAATTAGAAAAATAAGAAGGGTGAATTGTATTAGCTATTTCTAATTTATAGAATAAAAAAATTCCTAATATTAGATGAGCAATAAAGATTTATAATATTCCTTAAATAACTCTCTAAGATTGACTAAAAAGCACCCAACAATAGTCTTAAATATATATTAATAAACATAAATTAACCCAGTTTAAAGAGGAATTGCTTATAAAATAGATATTAGATTTAGATAAGTAAGATTTATTTTCTTAACCTTCTATAATATAAGATATAGCTAATATTCTTCTTTCTTAGTATAGAAATCAAATAATTAGTGAGAACTAGGTATATAAACTAGTTTAATATTAGTTAAAGCTAAAATCATAATATTTATAAAGATATAATTATAAGCGTACTAAATATGAAGATCTAAAAATAATTAAAGAATATTTTAATTACATACAAGAGATTATAACTAAATATAGAATTTTATTAGAGAATATCTACAACTTTAATAAGATTAACTTTATAATAGATCTCTATGCAAGCGCAAAGATCATTACTAGAAATAATTAATATAACTATCTATATCTACTATAACCTAGTAATTGAGAATAGGTAACTATAATTAAGGTAATTAACTCTACTAGTTAGGCTTTACTCTTATATATGATCTTTAAAGCTATCAAATACTCTTAAAAAGGCTAGTTTAAGATTTTTCTAGATAATTAGAAGATTAATATTAGTGATAATAGATAAACTATAGATTAGATTAATATAGATTAGCTTATTAATCACTTTATTTCTTATATAAATAGCCAGATAATTAGACAATATTATATATTGATTCTAAATAATTATAAAAGTTATTTAACTGCTTAATTTAATTATATATATACTAAGAATAATATTATTCTAATTTATATATCTTTATATTTTTTATATCTACTATAGTCTCTTAATATTAGCTATTTTATAGTTTTAAAATAACAATATAAAAAGCTTATTAAGCAGCAGATGAGGCTTAATTTTAATTATATTAATAAAATTAACTTTCTTATTATATTTCTAAAGGTCTATATAATAATATATAAAGCTAAAACTATTCAGAATAGCTTTAAAGCAACTAGATTAGTATTATTAGATTTAGAGTAAATTTATTAACAAATTATTATTTAATTAAAGATTTTAATACTATCTCTTTATCTATCTAATGATTTATAATCATCTTGCTTATAAATATCTTAAAATCTATATCAATTTAAATGTTAATTAAGTATAATTAAATAGCAAATTAATTAGTGTATATAGAGTTTATCTAAGATTATTAATAAAGCAATTAGCTATATATCAAAGGCCTATAAGACTAGTATTAATAAGCTTCTTATTATATAAAAGAAAGTTTACGATTTACGCGCTATAAATGAGAAAAAGAAGTAAAAATATATATAATTTAAAAAGCAGATATCTCATAAGCAAGGAATCACTAGAGAGAAAGCATAGACACTTATAAATAGGCTAGTTAAAACATCTTAAGCTACTACTACTATTTTGGCTGAGCCTGAGCTTCCACCCTCTTAACTATGTATATGCCGCCAATTTCAATATAGTGAGTATGGAATTTTTAGACATAGAAGGCCTCAATATCCTAATTGTACTAGTAATTAATTTTTTATATATAATTATTATTTTAGGTTGAAATTTCGGGTTAAAATTAATATATAGCGCGTTTTCCGGAGAAAAGTGGCAGGTCGGTGGTGGTGGCGGTTCGGGGGTGGATTACATTATGGTGCCTGATGCTTATGTAACTGGCGTCGGGTGTTGATTCATTGGCTTTGACGTTCTGATTCTTCTTGACACAACCCGAACGCGAGCATACCAAGGTAGATACGGAGCGGACGGGAGGTCTGCCTCCGTCTCCGTGGTCATTTTGGACTTTACCAGTATCGTACCGTACTCATTAACTAGGCGAGTTTCCGAGGGATAATACAGTAGCATGCTTATAGATAGAATACGTCTTGTACTAGACTAGTAATGCGCTCAGCCTGCCGTATACTCAACGTCTGGAAATGGCTCTGTTGAATTTTCAAGGTATCGTATATTATACCGCAGACGGAAACCTCTAGTCCCAGACAGGTAAAAAGCGACGTTCCTCTCAGTGGGTCTTCTTCAGCCCTCGCTCAGCATGGCAAACGTGCAAAGCCAGATGGGAGAATTCAGGCTCTAATAGGTAACCCGTGCAAACATTGGGGGCTAGGCCCCGTCGGACTATAAAAGTGGAGCTTGAAAATAGACGATTCGATTTGTCGGCAGAGCCTAAAGTCCCAAGCGCTTAAGTAGATATTATAGGCTAACTATCGACTAAGCTAAGCTATTAAGCACTGCCCAGTCAGAGTAGACGTCTAGAGTTAAAAAAAGGAAGCCGCCTAAATCATCAGTTGTTTTTGAGCGGCACAGCTCCTCTCTCGCACGGGCTCTCTGACCCAGCATCTTCTATATTATCAGCACTCAAAAGAAACTATACCCCTTCTCCCTTCTCTCTGTTTTCACTCCCGTTGTATACCATCCTTCAATATTCCACTCACCGAAATATCAAACCAAGAGAAGGAAAGGCTCCCAAGGAAGTTAAAATACAAACGCATTTTTAGTAATCTTGGGCTGCAAAAAACCGTCAGTATTCAATATTCTAAGATTATGACCCCGCATATGCTGACAAAGGCTCTAGGTACAATAACTATTCAACGGATAGCTCCTATTTTGTACTTTGAATCCATCTCAATTCTTTCAAAACATTAGCCTCGAGTGCGGCAGGTCCCCCCGTCTTCCTCTATTCTCTCCGGCAGCGTCATGTTGCTATCCCCGGTGTATTCCACCGCTATTCAAGTCATGTCTGGTTCCCCAGAAGAAAACCCTGGACATCTTGGACGCGTGCCACATTACATAGATCCTGTGGACCCTCGGTGGACCACTGTTCAATCAGTAGGTTATTCCAACATTACTCTAGCTATTGACCTTACTAAACAAAATTTTCAGCCTCCCTATATGGGCGTATCTCATTCATACACACCTACACACCATGGATCAGACGTGCTCACACCCATCAGTCTGGATGATAACACATACTTGCAAGCACGTCCTAGCCCAGTATTAAGCCATCATTCCCAGAAATTCCCGTACATAGGTGAAGCTGCTGCCTCCAATGGACTGGGCGTCACCAGCCCATATCAAGAGCTCCTTCCTGCTCCGACATCTTCTCCAAGCTATTGCTATCAGAAACAGGATCCCCAACTCCACCATGCAACAATGGACTTCTATCACTACGGCCCAGGACACTGCCAAGCAATTCTTCCGATGAAACAGTCCAGTCTTAAGCGCTCTAGGCGACGAACAGACTCTGATAGTACTCCCCCGCGCGGCTCACCCGTCAGAATTCTACCCCATCCGGAGGGGTTATACCGACTTGAACAGGAACGCCGGCAAGGCAGCCAAGTGCTAGACCCATACCAACCAGACGCCTCAAAAGGACGCTCATCTGGGAGAGGCCGCCGTGACCCTCAAGCAGAGGAAGAGGATTTATTTGTGGAGAATCTTCGCGCACAAAGTTTGTCATGGAAGATTGTCGCCGAGATGTTTCGGGAACGATTTGGCAAGAATACAAGCGAGGCACGTCTTCAAATGCGCATGTTGCGCCGGCGGAAGAGTGCAGCGGCATGGCAAGAGGCGGATTCGAGTATGTGTGCACCGAAAAATAATCCAGACTGTTCTTTTTATCTTTTTCACTTTTTTTTGGTAGTTGTTGTACGCCGTATGCTGACCTTTGATTTAGACACCACTACTTCACGAGGCTTTTAACCCCTGGCGAATGGAAAATTACAATCTATCTGCGACAAAGGTAACAATTTGCTCTAGGCGACATCTCCAGTGATTTACAGACGCTGATTGAGATTTGGTCTACTGGGTACAAGAGTTATAAATGGCTCCACTCTATACCGAGAGGCGGATGAAGTCGCAATTATAGCTATATGACGACTGTGCAGCAAGGCCTCCGGCTTTGGAGCAGCAGCCTACGATTTTACGGAAAAACAAGAAACGAAAAAATGTGGGAAGACGATGAATAGCATGTTATCAATCATTATCATTATCATTGCATTTGGGATGGGCCGGGTGGCTGCTCTTTGACAAATCCAGAGCTGCGCCTGACCTTGGTGTGGTGGGCTGACAGATCATTGGCGGAGATAGCCGCCAGCAGAGCGGTTAAGCTTTTTCTTTGTTTGTTTCTAGAACAACTTTACCCTATGTGGTAGTTCCACGGATGCGCCGGCAGGCATTCCTGCAGCATGGCTTGTGGTTTTGCCGTTCTTTGTGTATATATATCATATGAACCACAATCAATGTCCTTACACCGCCATTACCAGACTAAATCTGCGGGTGCTCTATGTCTGTGGCACTGTGGCAGCATGGCTATAAAAATAATAAAATACATTGTACTGCCCGGCACTAGTCCGACTGTCCGAGACGAAGTTATTCCAAATAAGGCTTTCAGCGGGCCAAGAAAAGTTCTCCACCAAGGACAATTGAATAATCAGTTTGGGCGTGTCAGTGTCAGCCCTCTTTCAACTTTGCCAGTCACCTGAAGGGGGATGCCGATCAGGCGTAACTAGAAGTAGTATGTGCTTCGGCGGGGCGAAGACATACCCTTAATCTACTGGGGTTGCGCGTCAATGTCACTACGAATACATATCAGGCAAAAAGGGTACGTCGCATGCTCGTATCGTAAAAATCCTATTTCCTGTTTATTTAAACGGGCCAGGTTGGCATAGTGTGTTCGATTAGTACTCGGTTTGTTGTTCCAGATTCAGTTTAATCACAGTAGATGGCAAATGCATCAAATTTGACGAAGTGCTCTAGAATGGACTTAGGATCTCATTAGTCTTATTCGGGTAATAAACGCGAGCTTTACTCGCGACTAGCTTCTTCCCGGGGCCATCATGTGATTACCTTAGTAACTATTCCGTATATAGGTACCCAAAAAGATACCTACTATTAAATATTGGTAATTACTATGTATTAGCATTCCGTAAACTCCGGGCTCCGTATTGATTCCTATTGTTAGGGCTCGGTCCGGTAATATATTCCGATATGCCTAAACTCCGAGTTTATTTAGTTTTAAGGTGCAACTTGCAGGCATTGAGCTCACTTATCTCCGACAAGATGGCTTGAAAAAGAATCGATAGTTAGAAGATGATGTACTAAGTCATTGTGGTGTCTAACACATAGCTGCTAATGCAAGTACTCTGTAGCTAGCATTAACTGTATAGGTTTCAGTAGAAATGCTTTGTTTCATGCTCTGCAGTGCCCTATAGTCTGCTCTCCGAACTGTAGGGTTTGATATGAAAAACTCAATTTTAAATCCGTTGACCCGTTGATATCTAGCGGATATTATACTCCGTGTCAAGTCCGAGATTAAATCTAGTGGGACCGCCCTCTCTTTTGGCATTGGTCAGATTTTCTCTCTTACTACAAACTATATAATTTATGCAATGTCCACAGTACTTTTTTTATGGAATAAACAAAGACGCAAAGCAAGAAGGTATAGCCTTAGATGCTTACCGAGTACAAAGCATACTAATTCATTCTATGGACGGTAATTCTTAAAAATAGCTAGATCAAGCCTAATCTAAGGTACAACAAGCCCGAAGCATTAACTTTGATTGATGCCTTGCCTCCATTATTCGATCTATTGAGTAAAAGAGGATGACGCGAGGACTCCTCTGGAGGTGGCAGTGTTGCAGGCCTTGGCTGCAGCACATCGCTCATTGACTTCCCCGTACGGAGTACCAAATTAGTACTAGTGGTAATGTCACTACAATACGTAACTAGCACTTAAACCTTCATTTTATCCAGCTGCGTATCACTATCAACTTAACATTGGATCAGAAGTTGATCGTACTATGAGTCTCGACCTAATTGGCCCATACTTTGGCAGGCTGTCTCTAAGACTATGCTCTAGAGTCTGGCTTAGATCGTCTTAAAGTTCTGACTTTGAAAAAGGTACTGCGTGCCATCGGTTATCACATCAGTCATCACCCTGTCACATCCTAATGTCCAAGCAAGCCATAGTTGTATCCTTCACGGATTAATTGGATCGTAGCAAACCCCAGCTAGAGAGAGAAAAGAGAAAAGAGACATTCCCTTATTTTGAATAAATATATGTTCCACTTTTTCAACTCTTTCATCTTCAACTTGGTATAGCAACTAAGTTAATTTTCTCTCCATTATAAGCTACCTTTCTAACTGTAAAAGGCTAAATAAACGACACGCGACATGCGTCAGTCGCCCCAATGCTCAACGAAACTCAAATACATAGTTAGTTCTAGAAAACTGACAAATCCCCATTCATACTCCGCATGCTAGTAGGCAAAAAGCACATGGACAGCATTATTCAGTGCTACGTGTGTGATTATCGGTCTTACAAATTACCAACTTATACCTCTATGCTGGTTATTTGGTAGCTGGTTAGTTTTGCCTTTTAACACTGGAGCATTTCTCTCATTTCGGTGATAGTTACGACCCAGGGAATCGGATCAGAAGTTCAACCACTGTTTATCTTGAAGTACTCTGGCGGCAAACCCCACAGTGGAGCAGTCAATTCCAAATTCGATAACAAGCCGCTAACCTAAAACTAATAATAAAAATGCCAAGCTTAAACAGCCCCATTATGGCTTTACGAGCGTCGGGTACGTAGTCCGTAATACGTATTGCGTCTTAGATAGCCCTTTTTGTAACATAATACGGATGTATACATATTGGTACGTAAGTTCAAAGTTACTCCGCATCACCCTTGAAACTTGGAAGAAACAAACCTTCAGACTTAAATCTGTCCAAATCTGTGGCATGCAAGCCTAGTCAAACTGTGAAGCTTCGAATGGCGCTTATTTGAAAATAGATAATGAACATAGAATCTTCCAAGAATGTGATTGACTATGCCGTGCAACTATCTTCGGGTTTTCTTCATTATGAACCTACAGCGGCCTCAATAAAAGGTTGGAACTAACTCCTGGAGCAGGCACTCGCCAATGTAGCTAATTCAAAAAAAAACATTTTTTTCAATCCATTGTAGATACGACCGGCCGTTTGAATGAATTGGGATCTGCAGAACAAGTCAAAGATTCCAAAGATAAGTAGACCTTGAAAGCAGTATTCTTTGGTGTAATGATATGCCAAACAGTTTCGTATCATATAATGTTTTGTGGCGTCAGGAAGTTGCGCTGAGACCTTTTTCATCCCTGCTTTAATTACGCAGTAGTCAACTAAATAACGAGAGACACTAGCAACATTCATATGAAGGTGAACGATTTTCTCGGACCAAATGCTGATTCAAAATTAGATGTTGAAAAAACATTGCGGGTAGTATTTAACAAAATGAATCTCATTGAATGATACAACATAGATATCGAGCGTTAACTAGACTCCAACTCATTATCGCCTCCAGGTGAAACCACATAAACCTATTGATTCGAAGGTCTTACTTCCTTTTCAACAGTCAATAGAGCAGAAACGGAACATCGTTCCGCCAAACTGCGACGGGTGCTCTCAGCAGCACACTGTGATCTAGATTCATTAACGGCACGAAACCCTCTACTAACCACTGATAGCACAGAAAAGCCACAGTCGGGTTGTTGCGGTTCTGGTGATGCTACTGGACTCAATTTGGGTGTCGGAGGTAGTTGTGGGCGAGTTTGAGAGAGGTTGCGTGTAATTGCTTCCTCAACTACCTTGGCAGAAACTTCCCGTGCATCACGAGAGTATTCAGCAGCAATTTTTGACCAAAATGATTGACAGTGGGTCTCATAAATAGAGTGGAGACGAGGAAAATTGATATCGCTCTGTTCTTCTCGCTTGTAGCAATCTGTAGAGCTTGCTCGGGGACTGTCAGGGTCGTGTGACCCAGCATGATCTGTCGAAGGTTCCAAGGTAAGAGGTATATGACTCATACCTGGTTTTGGTAAAATAGGGACGTGTGCACGATGTGCTTGCATAGAAATATTGTCAGAAGCAGCTCTCAATCGTGAACCAAGTTCAGGACTGGAGGAAGGAGACACCACTGGGGATAGTTGAGTGCGGTAAGCGTTCTCCGACACCTCTCCAGTAGCGGCAATCAAATTTAAGGATCTCGTAGATGAGATGGAAGCACTACGCCGACGACTGTTATTACCATACGACATCTGGTGATAGTGCAGACGACAGGCTAGTTCGGTCTTCTTCAAATGTGCGGCGATATGCTTGTAAGGCATTTTATTTATTCTAGTCCGCAACAGGTAAGCTTCCTGTTCAATATTAAAATTCGTTAGTGAGAAGCCAAGTATACAACTCTTTCTATTCAGCTTACCTCCTCTTCCGTCCATGCTCTGCTGCCACCGGTCGAGGATATCCGACGGTGGTGCTTGTGAACCCGATACTCCGGTTGCTCCATATTTGTAGGTAACACCTTGCTGAGGCCAGCGTTCAAGCTTGTCGCAACAAATAGCCTGGGAATAGAGATATGAATAAAGAGGGAAATATCTGAGCCAAGAACGCTAAGATAATGAAGACTGTTTGTCGTAAAAAGGTATCTAGAATGGCTATCGGGGTATCATTTAAAAATAATGAGGGATTTTCACGACCTTCTAGTAACCGATGATAACAGTAGAATAAAAAAAGAAGGCCCAACCAGTGGGCAGCGTTAAAAGAAAGAGGAAAATTTGGACCGGCCTTATAATGCAGAGAAGATATCTTTTCTTCACAATACTCTGGCAAGGCGCTCTTTATGTCTTCCTCGAAGTCCATCGATGTAGACTTCTGTCAAGGGTGCAATTGACCCCGTGTTCCTAAAGGCTGACACACTTGCAGATTTCGCACCAGTAGTGTGACATCTTGGTCTAGCCGTGTTTGAATGGCAAACATTGAGCTAAATGTCAGTATGTGTTTTTTGTGACAAGGCGTGTGTTGTCTCTGAGACATCTTAGCACGAAACTGTGTTTGAGTTAAGCAGAGGCTCAAAAGCTAACAGGGACACTTTTTCCGGATCAGCGTGGTGTGCCGTCTGAGATTCCTGCCTGATACTCCAAAACTAGACAGCGTGTATTATCAAAATATGGAATAAAAACAAAGCCATTCCCTCTAGTCGAAAGGATTTCGGGTAATTTGCAGGGCCAATTTGAGGCCCCCTGATTCACAGATTAGCCATAGCTTATGAGGCGCAGGGTCGAAGCCAGACGGCTATCAGTGTAAAGTGAACGAGATGAGCACGCTACATCCTTGACAAGGATGTCGTGCTGACAGATCTGGCGGTTTCAATGTTGGCCCTGTGACTTGCCGTGTTTTGAGGTGCAAGAGACTAGCGTAGGAGACCAGTGGCTCTATATATTGTAAACCACTTGGCTTTAAAAGGGGAGGAGGCCAACATAAAGAGAGATAGAGAAAGAGAGAGGTGTGAAACTATTCATCTGTACCTCGAGGGAGGTGCGACGGAGGCGTTGTCCTCGTTCATTTCCCCCGCACAATTGGCCAATCAGGCTTCATTGCTTCGGTTACTAAGCACCTTGCCCATCCTGGTCTAGCGTGTCACCCTGAAACTTGGAAATTGGCCCTGCAACGGCCTCGACCTCGCTCCCTCACTCACTGCTCTCGGTTTCTAATCGAGACACTTTCTCACACGGGGATTCCGAGGGCGTTCTCTCTTTGCGGCCGCTGACATGGCTGATTCTTATACGAGTTTCATTTTCGCAAGGAATCCAAACTCTTGTTGCCGATGGTTAGCTTGAGCTTCGACAAAATGCAGATCAACATTTCAAGCTACCATTCCAAAACGGGACGAAGGAACATACTTTACATTCCTTTCCTCGCATTTATACGGAGTACTTTGTCCGTTCATCGGCGTTGCTGACATGGGTGGAAACAAGTTGCCCCGCGGGCATCAAGCAACCGTGGTGTTGATGACCGAATTAATGTGGACTAAGTTTCAAACAGTATCAGATAAAAATGGACACAAGTCCGAACGCAATGGAACAACTGGAAGATTTTGCAATCATGTTCTTTTGCAATTCAACTGTATATACTGCACTCGAGATACTTTTCTATCTATAACTTTGTTCTACAATGGCGGAGCCCCCATTCAAAATTGACAACTGGCAATTGGCCGCGGCCGAGCGACGGCAGAGTCTCTACGAAAGTATTCCCAATGACTATCGGCTACCTACGAATCTTTCAGACCTGGCTATTGCCGGCTTGTTGAGACCTGAAGACCAGGCTGTGCTCCAATGCGGGATCTTGTCTGATTTGGACATGGAAATCACAAATATTACAGATGCTCCAACACTTGTGTCGTTGATGGCTAGTAGACAATATACTGCAGTCCAGGTCACACAAGCATTCTGCAAACGAGCAGCTATTGCGCAACAATGTCTCGGTTGTTTGACCGTCTTCTTGTATGAAAGTGCTATGAGGAGGGCGACGGAGCTAGATGACTACATGGCACAAACAGGGAAGTCAGTAGGAATCTTGCATGGCTTGCCTATCTGTTTGAAGGATATTTTCGACATCCAAGGTCAGCCTACAACAGTGGGCTTAGTGTCTTGGTTACCTTACATAGCAACAAAAAACGCGACCATCACAGACAGCATCATTGCCGCCGGCGGAATTCTATTGGCAAAAACATCGACTTCTCAAGCGTGTCTGATGGTGGAATCCATTAACAACATATTCGGCACTGTGAGAAATCCGTACAACCCCCAACTCAGTGCCGGTGGATCTTCGGGAGGTGAAGCAGCACTTGTGGCTGCGAAAGGAAGCATTCTGGGCTCCGGGACTGACGGCGGAGGAAGTATTCGCTTCCCAGCTGCATTCTGCGGACTATGGGGAATTAAATGCTCCAAGGGACGTATTCCGGCTGGTGGGTGCAGCGGTCCAAAATCTGGCAACGAATCAGTGAACTCAGGGTTTGGTCCTTTAGCCAAGACCGTGGCGTCTTTAGAAGTGTGGTTACGTGCACAGCTAGCTTCACAACCATGGGATGTGGATTCTAGTTGCATTCCAATGAAATGGGATGTTTCTAGAGCTGAAAGGGCTCAAGGACCACTTACTATAGCTGTTATCTGGGATGATGGTGTAGTAAAACCCGCACCTCCAGTTGTGGTGAGTTTATTGAACAAAAAGACATCCTTCAATAAATCACTTTTTACTAACTTCAAGCAGCGGGCGCTTAAGATTGTTGTAGACTTACTCAAGAAAAATGGACATAGAATTGTACATTTGCCCGAAGAAAAGATAAAAGACGTTCACCGTCGGGCTACCTCGTGCTTTATGATGTCAAATGTTCAAGACGGAGGCTTTACCGTAATGAAACATATTGATTCATCTGGAGAGCCAGTCGTTCCTCGCACAGCAACAGGTTCATTAGAATCACGCCTAACAGCTCGCGAAATATTTGACAATCATTTGCTCCGAAGCTCCCTTGGAGATGAATATAATGATCTGTGGCAACATCACCAAATGGATGCTATTTTGGCACCAGCTGTTGCGCACCCTGCACCGCCCCATGGTAAATACATCAGCAATTCATATGCCTCTATATACAACATGTTGGATTATGTCACTGGGTGCATCCCCGTTGGCAGTGTTGACTTGGAGCTGGACAAGGCCCCTCCTGAGTGGTATCAGCGTCAACCATATGACAGAATCGAGCCAGTGCGGTTCCCGTACGACTTGGGGGATAAAGAAATGATGGATTTGTGTAAGTCTTCGGAAATTTTCCAGGTGTATTTCGTTTTTCTTCTAACTCCTGGCCATATAAAGATTCCTCTCCTGAAGTTTTTAAGAATTCACCCATCGGGGTGCAAATTGTTTGCCGGAGGCTAAAAGAGGAAAAATGCATTGGAATTCTCAAAGAGATTGAACGAATCCAACGAGAGGGTCTCGTCTCGATATAGTCTATTGCAATGGATCGAAGGGACTTGAATGTCAGAATCGGACGCTAGTTTCGCCGATTTCCACTCAAGCCAGTACCAAGTTGAATACGCAGTTGCAACTCCGGTACCCTATGAGATAATAAACTGTAACAAGAGACTCGGCGATGTTTCACTGAAGGTTGCCGGGGTACACTAGGATAAATAGACATTCTCTCTAAAACCTTCCAAGTGTTCAAGGACCATGTGTAAACCAGCTGTAGTCTTCCTGCCAGGATCCTGGCTATCTGTATTGATCTGTATTGGCGCATTTCTAGTGCCTGAGGAAGTGAGCTGTGCTGGTTTACGAGGACGACGTCTTCCGAAATAGATTTTACTGGATCAGGTAGGTCATGCGCCTCTTAAGTGAAGGTAACAAGCATAGGATAACTAATCATTCTCGTCCCCGTAGCCAGAAAAAGATCTGAATATCCCAGACAACGCAGTCGAAATATTCACTGCCGATGTTGAACCAGTTCTCGCGAAGCAAATGGCCGCTCAACTAAACTCGCATTCGAGCCTAGCCTTCAGGTTAGAGTAGACATCTTCGGCATGGACTGTGTCATCCTTTGATGGCCATTGTGCATACATCGTCACCGGAGAGGATCAAGCTGTTCCTAAGGCTGCGCAACATCGAATGATAGAGGCAACTGGGAAAGGGTGGATAGTGAAGGAAAATTCAAGCACTAGCAACATGGCACCCTTCTTGACTCGCACTGACGCTTGTATCTAATTAGTGCATGAGATTGTAAGTGCCTGTGAGCAGGCTTGAATCTAGTATGCATAGGACTTTGAAGCACGTTGAAGTGGAGAATAGACATTCCAATGAAGTCGAAATCCTAACTGATTGAAACTGTTTTGAGCACGTCGAACCAAGTAACGAATTTTATGATTCTGAGAGTGTTCCAGTGCTAGATAAAAGCGTTAAACAATCAGGTCACAACAATCAAAGCTCTAGATATCTAGATTCTAGGATTGGACGATTCAAGTAAACCCAAGCCGTCTGTTAGCTTCTGCCCTCATCTTTCTTTGACCACAGGTGATTCCTTCCTCATGGACATCAAAAGGGTGCAATCCAAGAGCACGTTTACCCTCCAGAGACAAGATATTTTCCTCTTTGGCACCATTGTCATCGTGATTTTTCTCCACATCTCCGTGGGTATACTTTTCAAAGTCCACCGGAATGCCAACGTCGAGGAAACTTTGTCGCGTACCGATCATACTCTCCAGATTATAGGGGCATAGTGGAATACAAGCATTGTAACTAACAGAAGAGTCCACAGTACCTGGATGAAACTTGTCAACCTCGTGAATGAGATCGCAGTGCCAAAAGACATAGTCTCCTGGCTTCACCGGAGGGATGCCAACAGTAGACTTTTCTAGTTCAAGGTGAGGATGCAAATTTTCTGTGGGAAAAAATTGGAGATCTCCAGGTGTAGCACCTGGAAAAACCGGCGTCACATCGTCAAACTCCTCGTTCAGCACAAAGAAAGGTCGAAGCATCAAATATGCCGTGGATGCTTTGAGGCTAGGGACAAGCCGCAGTGTTCCTTCTCCAGTGCTGGTGTGAGAAAGGCTTATCCATCCTTGTAAGGAGCGAAAGACAGAGCATGACACTATTTATTGACTGTGTCAGTCTTTGAAACATTCTGTCTGGCGCGAAAGGGCTCTGTTCTCTTACTTCCTGTTCCGTAGAGATCTGTTTTTGCGTCCGAACGAAAATCAGCATTCCACGCATCGTATTCTTCCCATTTTCCTTCGAATATCTTCCGGTAGCACTCCTGATAAAGAGGGTCTTCCCAGCGTTCCATGGCGCCACTGTCTTGGTGTGCATTGAGGGTGTATTCCTGGTCTGGACTCGATTAGTCAGTAAAAGTTTAGAGGAATTAGGGTTCCAGATCATTCTCACCTTTGGTTGGATGCCTTATACGAAAGCGGTCGGGGTAGGAGACCTGACTGCTTAAATCAAACAGAGCATCTTCGGAACTAAGATGCCAAAGCATGCTAACAGCTTTCATAGCCTTCAGCACTCGTTCATGGCTTCTAATTTGAACCTGCGGTGGCGTCCAAAACAAGCTGAAGTTTTGAGGATTATGTTTGGGAAACCCTGCGACGTTGGGATGTTGACGCACATAATGTTTCAACTCACTCTCCCACTTCGAGGCTACTTCTTCAGAAACAACGTTTCGAATGACCACGCAGCCAGAGTCACGAACTGCTTCAGCTGCGCCATTGGGCAAATTTCCTCCGTTCTCAAGGATGTCAGCGAAGTCGATAACTGGGATTGAAGATGGGCCGGATTTTGCGATTCTGTCTGCCTCCGACGCGAGAACTTTGACTAATCTCTTATAGGAATGGATGACAGCTTGACGGTTCTCGGGTTTAATAATTGACTGCTTCAATTCGGAAAATCGCGGCTCTAAAAGCTGGCAACTTGAGATTTCAATCATCAATTAGCTTGAAAATATGCTTTTAAGGGTCAAAAGGGCCAGGGTAGCTCACGGTAACTGCAGCTCCTCGAGCGCTGCGCCTTGCTGATACGGCACCTGTGACATCTCGCTGACGTGGCTGATTGGTGTTGGTACCCAAAAAATTATCCCTTTACCTTTCCCTCTCTTGTATTGCAAGTAAATAGTAAAAAGGCAAATGATTTCAAGACATCTCGAAGGAACTAGCACTTATTTATACCAAGCGAGGTATTGCGGCAATTACATGGTGTGAAAAGTCTTTCCATTTGTCGTTTTCTTCTCTTTTTCGTTTGATTATGGCAGCAAAGGCGAATTTTTACTTACGTAACGTTACATGTACCTGAGGGGGCTTCATTTCTGGATTCTCATTTCTCCTAGTATTCAGAGCAACAACTTGCCCCGCGGGCAACTCAGACGCTGGGGCAAAGCCTCGTGGAATTAGTTTGTTGGAAACCCCGCACATCAGCTCGGGCTAAAGCTAATAAGTTCGTTGTTCATACTTGAATTCTGATGGTAACTTTTTGGGAGCTTTGGTTTCGATGGGCTTTTAGGGTTTCCTCCTTGCAAACAACATGGCAGGCATTAACGGAGAAGGCTACGACTCAAAAGATACCAAGTGTTGCAGACTTGGTAAATGCTTTGACCTAAGGCTATTGCTTGAGATATTTATAAAACGTTATTTGATACAGTTTCACTAGTGATCTCCTCCATATCGGGAAAGACTCGTCTAAAGAATAGGTTGAGCCTAATGCTGGGAAGCTTTGCAAATTCAAATTTCACTGAAAGATCATTCAACAGCTTTCGATACCGCTGCAAAACGTCCTGGCGGTTATTCATAGTTGCCTCATCAATACTAGAGAGATAAATTGTAAGGATAAAGCTCCCGATGATGCCTAGACTGCCCTTGCAGTCTTCATTGTCGTTAATGCCTACTTAACAATGTGAACTAAAATTGGCAAAAAGGACTTACAGCTTATCCAAAGACCAGAGGGGTTTTGAGACAGCAATTGCTCCAGGGAATGGAATATTTGATCGAATAACTGTGACTCATGTGAAAGGCCACCCAAAGTTGTCCCTGTTGATACGAAAACTGCACCACGTATTAAAGCTTCGATAGCGTAGTAAGCGAATGACAAAGTATATGCTATAATGGAAATATTGGTTAGTATGGGCACCCAGAAGTCAGACTGTAAGTGTAACGCACAATTGGTATTATCACTCTGCACGGCCGTTGTGAACATATGCTGAGAGCGCCACTCCTCGAGTCTCCGAGTGGATTCTTCTGCCAGACTCAAAACGTTTGGACTTGACATAGTCATCAGTGACCGTTGAGGAGAATAGAATGTAGTTAGGACGTCCGCTAAGATCTGTGTAAGATGACATAGACTAATGAATCCTTGAATAGAAGCAGAAGAAGCTGCATCTAAAATTCCCCATTCATTCGTGAAGTCAAAAAGAGTTATTTTTTTCACGGTGAAATGCTGGTCAGTTATATGACTAGGTCTCCCGAGCCAAGTGGCAAGCCTGTCTGTTATTAGCCAACAATCATACTTATTGATTGGTAATAAGTACCACTTGTCCTGTAAATATACCGTCCACCATAAGATTCGTCGCAGCTTGCACTCCCGGGAAGATATTTTCCACCCCTCTGGATCTACATGAAGGCCGATGTCTTGTGCCACAGCTACTGCCTAAGGAGTTTTGTAAGCCTTGTGATCACCGAGCCTTCACCGACGTATTATAAATTCCTACCTGAGCTGTCACAACCCATGAACCTGGGTGATTTGGTTCCCTCATTTGGTCCGGTTGAAATTGTAAGTACAGAAGAAGGGCCTGGAGTGTCCTAATGGTAGGGTTACGAATTTCGTATACAACCGACTTGTAAACAAATGATTGAAGGGTAGTCCTGAGGATTCGAGGCTTCCCCTGGAGCTCTGGGCTGTGGTCCCAGAAAAACACAGCTAGGCTGTAAACCGCTGCCAGCAAGGATGCTGGCACTGATTTGGCAGCAATGGCTGCCTCAAACTCGGATCGCGTCTCTAGTATTGGTAGCGTTGGTTGAATATACCTGTAATACAAATCTAGCAATTCGCGGTGGTAGGTTGCTGCAGAAGTAGGTATTTGGCTGGTATCAAAAGCATCTCCGTTTGCGTCCAGGAGCACGTTTGGGTAGATCTTTGGAGGCCACGTTCCGTGCGTTTAATTTCAGCCATTCGTTTGTTGTACTAGATTATAAACTTACCGTGAAATATGCATTATGCGTAAAACTAATCGCAGCTCTCCAGATGGTCCAGTTGCTTGTGCCGAAGACACCATTGGCATCAAATGGTAAATGGCGCAGCAAATAGTCTCCCTGATCACCACTAGCCCCAGAGTAGAAAAACGTCTGTCCGGGCATAACAGTTGTCTGATCCGGAATGACGGTTGCCGCTGTCTTACTCGTCTCTGCCAATTCGGTTGGCGTGTTTCTCGTTGGACTGCATTCCTGCTCGTGGCTCAGCGATCTCCGGCGTTTCTTCTTCGGTGGCGCCGACAGAAATGTACAAGTAAGACCACGGTGCCGGCACAACGAGCACGTCTGCTGGCCTTCCTCCACTAAACATCCAGTACGCCGGCGACGACAGGCGTCGCATCTGCCGCATTGCAGGTCAGTCAGCACTAAACTAGTTTGAGTTTGTCTTTTGGCTCGAAGCCAGAGCATGAACGCACGGCTTCCGTTTTTTGGACCGATAGGGTCTTGGTTGCCCGCTGGGCGAAGCTGTTGGATCAACCATTGCGAGCAACACAGATTATGAAAGGACACAAGCAGGAGAATGCAGGTGCTCGGCGATGCCTGCAGTGAGATAAGGGCTTATCATGAGAGTGGGCCCGACTCGCCCGCGGGGCTTCTCGCCATCAGTTTTCTTTGATAGCCACAATAATTATGGGCTCGATTGTTTCTTGTTGATACAAGCACAGATATCAGGATAATGGGTTAAATAAACCCAGAAACACCACACCGGAAAGCATGGATTTTCAAATCTGCAACCTGTCCTGCACATAGTTATTCTTTAGTGGCAATATCGAAAGGAACAATGGGCTTCCAAAGACCTGCGCTCATCGGGGAGCTGACGCCTCGGTTGATTCGGGTGTATCTGCTGGTTTCGGTACAGACATCTGGCTCCGCATGTCTAATTAGGAATTACTAACGTGGTTGCAGATTGGAGCAATGGTATAGATACCTTTCGTGGACATTTGACCAAACATCGCGATGCTGACCTTGAGCAGAACTTTGGTTTTGATAATAACTGGTGGGGTTCAATAGTTGGCCTGCAGAAGTTCATTGATGACTACGGAGAGTCTCATGGTCCTGGTCAGCCAAAGACGCTGCCGTCGTCCTGGCTCTCAGCAGCAAGTGGAACGCCCATCGCAGGTTGGATTATTGGTTGTTTGGTGGCCGGATTTGTAACGCGCAGAATTGGCCGCAAAATTACAATCGTGGTGATCTGTTGCATTGCCATGGTTGGGATTATCCTGCAATGCGCGATTCCTTCCTATTGGGGGATCATGTGTGGCCGTCTCATTAACTCGATTTCCATGGGTTCGTATTTCGCAAATTGTCCGGAACTTGACTGCCGTCTAACAAAAACTTTTCTCTAGGACTGGAGGCAAACTGTGTTCCAGTGTACATGTCTGAGCTGGCCCCGGCAGCCATTCGAGGAGCGTTGGTTAACATGTACCAGGCTTGGCTGATGATTGGTGCCGTGATTGCTACTGGGACGATATATGGGACATCACAACATCTGACTGGACAGTGGTCATATAAAACAGGTAAGTTTTTTCTTTCTTTTTGCGCAGTGGAATTCGATGCAATTAGATCCTAAAAGTGTCTCAGTCATGGTCATCCAAATCGCCATTCCAATAGCCCTTCTGGTAGGGGTATACTTCATCCCGGAGTCACCCCGATGGCTCTTGTCAAAAGGCCGGAGAGAGGAAGCTCTAAAAGCCTTGGAATTTATGCGACATGGAAGTGCCACCCACGACCAGGTGGTAGCAGAGCTTGATCTTCTTCAACAGGCCATCGACGAACAGGAGGCAATGCACCAGGCTAGCAGTTTTGTCGACTGTTTTAAGGGATCTAATGGACGCCGCACACTGATTGCCATTGGAATTCAGGTCTTGCAACAGTCTCAAGGGAATTCCTTTGTTACTACTTATCTAGTCATCTTTTTGGAACAAATCGGCGTGGCAAGTCCCTTACTGATCAGCTGTGCTAATGCTTGTACAAGCTTCGCTGGCACAGTCCTGGCATTCTTTCTGAGTGACTACATTGGCCGACGGCCTATGTTAATTGGTGGTGCTTTCTTTATGATGGCTCTCATGTGGATCATTAGCGGTCTAGCCTCTTGGTTACCTGGAGGTATCAGTGGATCTTCTGCGAAAGGCTGCGTTGCTGCACTGCTAATATACGTACGTTGGATGTGGTCCCAAGATTGTGGTTTAGCATACTAACTCTTCCTTTTCAGAGTGCATTTAGTACTGGTTGTTGGGGTTCCGTTATGTGGACTGTCACGGGTTAGTCTTATCCCATTTGAAAGAATCAAGGACATATACTGATTGTTTGAGTAGCTGAAGTTGGAACTACGAGCTTGCGTGAACGTACAATGTCTATTTCGACAGTTGCCGGTTTTATCACTAGCCTGCTCATCACTTACATTAATCCATACGTTGAAGAATCGCCAGGAAATCTGGGTTCTCGCGTTGGTTTTGTATACGGTAGTGTCTCCATTGTGGCTATGGTATTTGTCTACTTTCTGGTACCAGAGATGAAAGGCCGAAGCCTTGAGGAGCTTGACGAGCTTTTCCAATCGAAAGTACCGGCTTGGAGATCTTCAAGCTTCGAGGCAACTGGTATCGGCGCTACTATCACACAGATCGACAATATGAACTCTATCGGACAAGGGACTCAGGTACTCATTGCAACTGAAATAAAGGGAAAGCTTGAGAAAGAGGGGCCATAGCGCGTTATTCCAGGTGAAATCGTCAGTAGCAAAATATGCGAGCTTGGGGACAAATATCTGAAGGAGCTCTTGCCAGGTTGCATAAGATAATATAACCCATGACTAATACAAAAGATATGAATATATTCGTCATGTAAGAGACTAGAAGTACGAAGTCAGAAGTCAAATACCTGAAGCACTATCAGCTAGAGCTGTTCTAATCCTAGCCGGGGAGGATAAAAAGATTTCGTTACGACTATTTCAGATTCTCTGTTTGCGATCAAAAGCCACGCTATCCCGGTGAACCAAATAATTTTCGGTGGAGTTGGTGGTACTACATTCTTTAATTTTAATTTGTAGCGCACTTCTTTCTTTGTGAAACTGTGATTGGATCTGCTGGTACCAGTATGTATGGGCATGTGTAAGCCGTGTGTCACCTTGACGCCTCAGCAGACTAAAAACTTTTTTTTACCCTGAAGGCAATACACCAGTACTATTGTAGAATTTTTTGACAGTACCTTTTAAAGTAGTTCTGTTTGAGCTCTGGGAATAGTCAACGATTTCAATCTGTTCGAGCTAGAGTGGGATTTTCGAAATAATCATGCGCACCGCTCTGTGATTGATGATATGCAATGGCGGAGCTTATTTGAGAGAATCTAATTACTGGAGTAATACGAGACGGAGGGATCGAACCACAGGCTTTGCTGATGCCGCGAGGAAATAATCTTCCTGACCCTGGGAGACCAGTGAGATCGCGCGCCACAGTTCAAATTACATGCAGAACAAGGTGCTGAGATGTGATTCATTCTGCTGCAACGTGTAAGTGGTTTCTTAGCAAAAGTGCCAACTCCTGCATCACTGACTCGACGCTCGGAAAGCCGTTGATTTGCTGATGGACTTTAGATTGAGCCTGGATACATATTGATTACTCCGTCCCCGTCGGCCCAGGAAAAGATTAAACAAACTTATTCAAAGGATGATAACTGTCTGCCTAACTCAAGGAAATGAAGGAATCTCCTAGCAACCAATAGCTACGTAGTTATAGAGCACTCAAAAGTTTACGTAGTTCATCCTAAACATGTCGGGGGTAAATGGAGCCCAGACCCACAGGGAAGGCCCGTCCCGAAGGAACCTAAAAAGAGAGTCTGGACAGACTAACCTTAACCAAACGTTCGTCGCCTCGAGTCAGACAGCATACATAGCTAGATATAACATCTCTCCCTCGCTCGCTGCTCTCTCTGCCGGCTTCCCCTGTGTTTCATAACCCCCCCCTTTTTTCCTCTTCAACTGTATCTCGTCGACCACTCTCACTCTTGCACAGTTCGACTCTCTAGTCAAGATGCTGGCTGGGTGACAAGTCACAGTTTACCTACCCCTCTTCTCGTCGAACCCCTCTCATTTATCTCTGCATGAAACTTTTCTGGCTCTGGCTCACACCATTTTTTCGGTTCCTCGATGCTTACGTCTGACGCCAGTACATAGATGCTACATGTTTTGGCGGTCTTTCTAGCTACCGCTACAGCCTGGAGTATACGAGTACATGGACGTATTCTCTTATAAACCATCTATCAGCCTACCACACATCTGCCCGATCGGCTGGGGGCTTTGAATAGGTCGACCAGTTAGACTTACAGCTGTTGCCGCTCGTGTAACCAAAGGCCTTTGCGTCGAGTCTTTCGATTGTTTAGCCTTAGTCGATTGTATGTACAGATGAATCTCTAGACTTCCGATCGTTGCTAGAGACAACCCTATCTTCCATCATGTCGTGAGTACAGCTTTTCTTTTTCCGTCACAAATATCGACCAACCGTTCTGGATTCAAAAGCAGCAATCTAGCCTTCTTTTTGTTTATGACTTATTTCTACTTTAATTTGTGTACATTGCAATATGATTCGTGTGGCTAGAGTTGCTGCGTTTGTCAATAAAGAGTTGGCTGCATTAAGGCTGTACGCTGGTGGTGATCCACTAACAGTGTTCGTCTTCTTTCCCTCAGATCATCGCCAAGTTCAAAGCGTATCAAGACGTCAGCTGCACTCAGTCATTCCAATCGCTCATCAGCTCAACACCAGGCGGCTTTGCTTGCCACGTCTGCATCTACACTAGCACCACAATCAACCTTTCCTATTTCTGCCCACACTCCCCAGCCTCTTCAGCCTGCCAATCCACGAAAAAGACGTTCGCCTCCATCAACAACCTCTGTGCCATCAATGCCGGGACATCTTTCTGGAGTTATGGCACCAGTCATGTCGCAGGCTGCAGATACAATCGAGACAACTCCCAAGAAAAAGGGCAGGACCAACACTCCCTGGACTGCCGAAGAAGAACAGAGACTGAAAGCTATGCGTGATACTGGTAAAAGCTGGAGTGAAATCGCAAAGGTAATCAAAAGAAAGGGAAAAAAAAAAAACTTTCAAATCACCCTTCCATTCTATGCCGAATACACGTCTAATCTTTGACAGACCTTTCCAGCTCGTACAGAAGGAAGCGTCAAAAAACATTGGTACAAAGTGAGTTGGCCATCGTCACTTCCGGAGCCCTCTTGTCTATAGCCCCCAATACTTCATCTTCATTGCCCAATACTTACTGTTGCTGCTAGGACATGCATTACGCTGAATTTGGTGAAGATGAAGTACGAGTCACCTATACTTTCAATTCCACGCATAAATCTCGCTGACGTTTCAACAGAGCATTGCTTTGCGCGATGCCATCAAGGAGTACGAGGCCAACAAATGGAAGGTAATAGGACAAAAAATTGGAAAGCCAGCCAAGGTAAAAGAATGATACCCATGACTTTTTCTGGTGTTGCGTCAGTACTCATTCTGTTACTAGGCATGCGAGCAATACGCCAAGGAACACTTCAAGGCTATTTGAGTCCATCTTCGTTCTTTGAACACTGTTTCAGTCGTATACTATTTTGAGGAGGGGTGAGATGGCTTGGTGACCGGAAAAGGGCATATCTTGGTTGATGTTTATGGAGTTCGGGAGAATTTTCTTATCATATCACACACTCTCTCTCTCCACAATTTCGAGTTAGGATGAAGGCGTTTTGTCCTCTGAATAGGATACCAATGGTACAACACTAGCACACGCGTTGTGGCGTTTTAGCGACCAGAGACGACACTTTTCTTTTTTGTTTGCTTCTTTTCCTTGCTCTTCTCTTCCTGTGATGCCAGCGTATTTCGGTGTCATGAAATAAGTCTGGGGTCGTTTTTCCGAACCTTGTGAAATGGTTTGATAGAAAATAAATCAACTGAAGAAAGTAAACTTGCTTCAAGAGTCTTGATCTTTTTAGAAAATTGCAAAGGGGGTGGGAAAAAGAGGATATTAATAAGGCCAATTTTTATGTTCTCCGCGGACGAAAACGATTACGCGGGCTCGACTTGTGGCGGGGCCGGGGTCTTATCGTCTCAAACTTTTGCGCTTTCCCCTCCGAGATCAACTGATTTCCACCACGTACAAAGCTGCGGCCACTGCTGCAGTGAGAAATTAGAAGCATTTGTATTACATTGAGTCGAGGTGAGTCTCTCGGGCTGCCATTGGACCCTGAATTCCGGTGAAATTTGATGCCGCTTTCTCAAATTCATGATTCACGACTGGCTGACTCATTTGCCTCCCGGAGGGTCGAAGCAAAGGGAAAAAAAAAATTTCAGTCCAAAGTATTCTTCTCCCTATTCTTCGTCCATTTATCCTTCCCGTCACCTCGTTGAAAGGAACAAATAAAGGCGCAAACATGAAAGTGGGCAAAAATACGGATTTATCGCGAGATCAAGGTATCAAGGTAAAACTTGCATGCATGCAGACCGGTGTTCGGCAATGGCGCGCAGCAGCAAAACTCGAGCATGGATTGTTTTGATGCTGATGCTCGCCGTGCCGTTCTGAGAATATACGGTTGAACTTGATCTGGATAATTCCAGCGAAAGAACTCATGCACGCTTTTATTTCTTTCCACTCTTTTCCTTCCCAACTATTCTGTATTAGGGTGCACTTGAGAACGGCAATTCTCTGCCGATAGAGTCGCATTACGCATTGAAGGTGTCGTCTCAATGCACTCTATTCTGCAATTGACTGGGCGTATATATACCTTATAATGGCTTTTGGACTAACGGTAACTTGTCTGAAACAGAATGCAGCAAGAACACGCAGAGATCAGCGTAGCTGATCCTGTTGGAAGTCGACCATCTGACGACCATGGCGCAACTCATCCGGATGATAATGCCCACGGTTGGAATTCCCATATCTCCCTGCGCCTTGCAGGCTACATGAAACGATTTGAGAAGCAACTAGTTGAATACAATATTGAATCTCGCGGGATTCAGCGAGTAGAGGAGCGCGAGCGCCATGCCCTGACCTGGGTTACTTATCTACAAGTGTTCCTGCTGTGGGTGTCCATCAACCTGGCAGCTAATAACATCACACTCGGAATGCTCGGTCCGGTGGTCTATGAGTTGAGCTTTTTGGACTCTGCTCTTTGCTCTGTCTTCGGCGCTGTCGTAGGCTCCTTGACCGCTGCATGGTCTGCTACCTGGGGCCCTGTATCTGGAAACCGGACTTTGGTATGAGAATCACTTCTCCAAGAGCATTAGCAATTTTCGATCGGACCTTTTCCTCATAATAGTGCTTTCTAGGTCTTTGGACGCTACGCAATGGGATGGTGGCCTAGCAAGATCATCGTGTTGCTAAACATAGTTCAGATGATTGGTTACGGTTTGATTGACTGCGTGGTTGGTGGGCAAATCCTAGCTGCGGTCTCCCCGAACTACAGCATGTCGGTGGCAGTTGGTACATAACCCTTTCTCTCATGTGAAGATGTAAGAAGTCATAATTTGTATGCTGACTAGACTCTTGAAGGCATCGTTGTTGTTGCGATCATCACCTGGTGTATTGCGACATTCGGAATCAAGTTCTTCCATTACTACGAAAGGTATATTACAAAATATTTCAAAAACTCAAAATGATCTAGAACTAATATTTTTGTGTGTGTAGGTTTGCATTTCTTCCACAGCTAATAGTGGTATGCATTCTCTATGGTGTCTCCGCAAAGAATTATGATCTCCATACGCCATCAATTGGTAATAGCTCGACAATTGCTGGTAACAGGCTCTCATTTTTCTCCATCTGTTTGAGTGCTGCTATCACGTATGCACCGCTCGCCGCCGACTTCTTCGTATACTATCCCCCCAATACTCCCAAAATAGCCAGTTTTGGTCTCACATTCCTTGGTCTGACTCTATCTTTCACCATGGCTTTCTTGGTCGGTATCGGCTTGGCCAGCGGCATCAGCAACAACTTAGCATATTCGAACGCATACAACGAAGGTGCCGGGGCTCTGATTGTCCAGGGCTTCAGTCCACTAGGTGGATTTGGCAAGTTCTGCTCAGTTATCGTAGCGCTTGGTTTGATCGCCAACACTATCCCTCCCACATACTCCACCGGCATCGATTTCCAGATTCTCGGCCATTACGCCGAAATGGTCCCCCGCATAATTTGGAACACGATTGGAGTAATCGTCTACACTGTTTGCGCGCTCGTTGGTCAAGGCCATCTTTCAGAGATTTTCACTAATTTCTTGGCCCTGATGGGATACTGGGTCGCTATATGGTTTGCTATCCTGCTTGAGGAAAGGTACATTTTCCATCGTCACCGAGAATATAATTGGGCGGCTTGGGACGATCCATCCAAGTTGCCAATTGGCATTGCGGCATTCATCGCGTTCCTGGTCGGCTGGGCTGGTGCTGTTCTTTGCATGGCTCAGGTTTGGTATATTGGACCTTTGGCTAGATTAGTTGGTGAATATGGTGCTGATGTATGTGCTCCGTTTCCTCTCTACTTGTTTCTTCCTCATTTATTGACCTGTCTCTCTCTTTAACAGATGGGTAACTACGTCGGTTTCTCATGGGCGGGCTTGGTCTATCCTCCTTTACGATACCTTGAACTACGGTATTTTGGAAGGTAGACTATGAAGTAACACTGAAAAGGAGGAAGCATCGTACCTTTTCCGATGGCACAAGATGTCCTAAGTACGTCTACTTGGTTGGGGTGGACGCTACGTTCTTTGAAGTTACCGCGGATCATATTCAATCGATTTTCTCGGTAAAGTCTATATATTCGTGTCTATTCAACTATGGCATGGGTTTGGGGAAGATATAAGTGCGTCTGATACATATTTATCTTCGAGAGTAGATAGCTAGTTGTATTTATACTCGATGTATATTTTTACTAGGCTGTGTACAGAATACAACTGGTATTTGTGCTTTTTTAAATCATACATATTAAAACTTAACTACCTATCCTTACAATAGTCCTTCCTACACCTTGTTCCAACTCATGGTAGTCAAGCGACTGATGGATATAGAAAAAAAAACGCCTTAGGAAGGATCTATTCTTCATTCCCCTCTCGGCTATACTACAAAGTACTTTGTTGACAGGTTATAAAAACGACAAAGGAAATAAATAAAGTTGAGAATGTTGTTCTTGTCTCGATTGATGGGAAGGTGTGTGTTTTGGCATTTATATGTTCAGAGCAATTCTAACCTACGAGCAAATTGGAAAGGTCGAAGACTTTTCAGTTTCCTTGTGCAGACCAAGTCAATCCTGCCTTAGATGATGGAAAAGTACCAACGTTAGATGGTAACAATCTATCGGTACCAGTATTCGGGCTTGACATAGTCTGCGAAAGTCTTGGGCTCTTCATAAGCTGGGTGTCCGTGACCATGGCCGTGGTCGTCTGATCGTTGCACGAGAATAATCGGTTAGCCACTGACGAAAAACGACAAATAATTGCCATCAATTTTAGAAGGACTTACGAGCATGGGGGTCTTCCTCTGGACCAACGTAGTTGAGCTTGACAACATTGCCACACTCGCCGCAACGCTCGATTGGGCGATCACGAGAGACCTTTATAAATGCATCGTTAGTGCTTTGAAATTATGAAAGATTATTCTAATGCGAATTAATAGGGCCATGACTTACTGTCAACCAGTTGACGAGATGGGAGTCGGCAGGGTAGCCAGTGCAACCAGCATATTGTTCGTCTCCGGCGCCATTGACGATGATAGGATTCTCCAAAGTTCCTAGGTAATGCAATTGATCTATTAGCCCACTATTCTGTTCATTCTCTGTAGGCGGGCAACTAAAGAATACATACCCTTGCGAGAAGCATCAAGAGGCCTCATGTCGAAAACGTCAATGCCTTGCATCTTTCCGAGCAGTTCCAAACGCTCAAGACCGGTAGCCTGCTCAAGATCACTGGGAACCGTGGTGGGCTTAGAGCCAGGAGGAAGGAGATCATCTTCGGTCTTGACCTCTGTATTATATCACGAATTCAGGTTAGCATTGAGTCATATGATTTGACCAGACGAAGACCCTGGCATATATATATATGGTCCAGGCGATCGGATGTCTCGCAATAGACTTGAGACCAAGCACACTAGAACCTGAGCAGGAACCGTGAGAGGATATGGCGGCGAACCTTCGTATGAGATAATCTTGCCCGGTACGTTGAGCTTGCTGTCGTCTATAAAAAAACATCTTTCGGTTAGCCGGATAGTGCGCTTTGACGTCATAATAAACCATTGTCCTCTTGCAATTGATCGCATTCAACCAGGGAAAGAACTGAAGAGACAAGGCGTAATCTGGAACCGGTAGCGGGGTTACGTACAGCGAGACACGGAGGAAGTGAAAGGACGAGCTTTGGTGAAAGCCCTGACAGGGGCGCGCCTGGCAATGGTGGAAACAGCGCGTGAGGCGAACATTGTGCCTTTAGTCCCTCACAAGAGCGGTAGTAATACTCTCGAGTGACTGAAAAAGGTTGAAGTCCCGGGGAGTGGAGAGCAATTGGCGAAGAGAAGGTCTTGGGAAGGAAGACTCGGTTGAGGTTGAGATCGGGTGAGGTGCGAGTTGCGTGAGGTTTCCGGCCCGTCATCTATGCTAAAACGGGTTTAGCCGCTATCAAAACCATTCCGATTTCAAAAAACTTCGACAAGCGGCTTAGTCATCGTACGTCCGGTGAAATCCGCGAGCTGTGATTGGCCGAAGCTTACTTCTGTTCTTAATCATGAGGAGTGAGCTCCCTTTTGTTAAAAAGGCGTGTATTTTCTTGTGATTTCTGGGTTTGAGTGTCCCCATAGAATTACTTCAAATGTCGTTACTACACATATCTGTGCTCCTAGGACCACTGGAAACGAAGGGGACAGAAAAAGAGAGAAGGAATATATAAGAAAATCAATAGGAATGACTATGGCGCCTTCGCCACATTCAAAGATTCATACTAAATCGAGTGACGAGACTGTGTGCAGCAACGGAGAAAGGAAACAGAGAATAGTATCAAAACATTTGCTAAAGGAGAGTGAGGTAAATGCGTATATAACAAACTTCCAACGAGAAGAACGACTGATACTGACATTGTCTCACCAATAATACAAAGGAGACACGGTGAGTTCCCAAGCAGCTAAAGTACTATAACATTGCGGGACATGAAAAAAAAAGAAAAAAGAACTCCGGGACCAAGGAATAGAGCAAAGATAAAATGGCGTCCGAATGTCTTGTACTGAGCTTCCTGTCGAACACCTTCAAAACAGGATCTCTCGTGGCTATTTTTCAAGGATTCCGCATCAAGAAATTGATTCATCGTTTGTATATGTGAAGTAATTTTCATAACTCCGTTGCCTTTTCTCGGCAAGCTGCCGGGGTAAAGCCATGTCCGACTTTGCCAGCTATAATCCGCCAACGGTCATTCTCATAATCCTGAATTGCATTTCGTAACCTCTGAACCTATAAGGTAAAGTCAGAGGCATTATGATGTCAAAGAATATGAATATTCTCTTACCATTTCGTCTGTCCAAACCGTGTCCTTGGCTTTCAATTTCGTGCAGTAGCGCACCTGTAGAGTCCCACTTGTTCTTCCTGGAAAGAAATCGGATATTTGCTTCCAGGTCAAGTTTTTGTGCTCTTTTAATTCCACCAGTAATGCGTCTTCCTCTGGTGTAAATTTAAGCTTTGGCCCACGCGGACGGGGTGCAGGGTCAGGCATGCCTGCTTGTCCCACCACACTCGGCAGTCCGGAAGGCGCAGGGGTAGAGCCGACATCGCCCCCAGGTTGCTGCATCGTATGCATGACTGCCTGATTGGGTAACCTGTGATGATGATGTTGCTGCGGGGGTTGCTGTGGCTGTTGCTGATGTACAGGCGGTGGTAGTGCAAAGGCGTGTGCTGCAGCTCGCTGCTGTCCCGAAGCGTCACCATGGGCTGATAACATCATCTCCGGAGACGCCGTTCCTTCTGCGTGTGAATCTGGTTTGAGCATTTGAAGATGTAGATCTAATCGATGCTCATCTTCGTTTCCATCACCTCCGTCTAATCTCGGACGTTTCGCTGCACGCGGTGCTTGAAATTGGAGGGGATTGGCACCGAAGTGAGAAGACATTGGAGATGGAACCATCTGGTGAGGGTTTATAAGTAACGGTTGATGATGGTGAACATCCGGGATATGAGCCGCCGCTTCCCTCATGGCGGGTGAGCCTACATGGTGATGCTGCTGGTGTTGTTGAGGTTGCTGCGCACCACGGGGCACAAATGGCATATCTGTAGGGGCCCCATGGTGCATGACCTGCGGTTGACTTGATTGAAAAACAAGCAAACCGGGTTTCTCTTGTGATTTGCTGTGATCTTGAGATGAATAATCGATGGAATAACCGCGATACGGATCCGCCAGCGTCGCGGCTTTCACTCTAGGACCTGCTAGAGCTTGGACAAGCTCTGGCAGGCCTCATAAACCACCAAATGATCAAAATGAAAAGGGGAGAACAAAAGGTGGTGCCAGACGAGGGAGGCCTCGAGATTGGATGATGTTTTGGTTGATTGATCGTTCGTTGAGCGATTAATGCTTTTCCGCGTCTGATTCGCAGGCGGTCCTTTAAGTTGAAGAGATATTATTATTATTAATGAAGAGAAAAAGTGACCTTGCAGATATTAAGCATAAAAGTCGAGACCCCGCCCTGAAGAAGCGCTAAACCAATATGGAGGCAAGTGGATGTATAGAAGGCCGTTGTTAAGGTTTCCCGTTACGCTTCTCTATATAAGAGTGTTATCTGTCACCAGAAGATTAGTTTGCAAGTTGAAACAGTAGAGTTTGTATGAAATGTAAATGTGCGTCAGGAAGTCTGTCAGAAGGGGAGCCGCGAGACCGAGCGGTGCATGTATCAGTGGTTGCTAATTCGGGCCGCTCAACGCATCTTATACTATCCTCCATCAAGGTCTATACAAGCGAGAACTGAAGTCGGCACACAAAGTGAAAAAAAAAAAGGGGGGGTTTAGACAAGTGTGGCACGCCGATGAGCTGGGGTATGTGAGGCTTACTCTTTGGAAAACATCGGCTCATGATTCATGCGACTTTGACAATATGACAGCGATCGACTCTGGCTTGACGGTTAGGTTGAGATGTGATTGGCGTATGAATAACAGTGTGGACGCCGGTTGGACTGGACAAGAAAACTCTGGAAACAAATACTAAGGGAACAAATAATGGGAAAGAAAAGAATCCCTTCCGCTGGGAGAGCCACAGGAGACCAGTAGCCGACCAGGAGGTCTAGACAGGAAAGTACTGCACGGGGTCAATAAAGGCAAGCTACTAATAAAAAGGCTCTCTCCTCAATCTCCTGTCCGTATTTGTGTACTGGGAGTGGATTGCAGTTGCACCCTGCAGGTTGCAAAATGAGGTAGGCCAGAATAATAAAGTCTGACTGCTAATTAAGAAGTTGACAGGTGGGTCTCGTTGTGGATAAACAGCAGGGCGTATTGTAATTAGTATTTCCTTCTTTTGTTTCGTCCTCGTCGCCTGCTACTCAATTGATTGGTCTCGGATTCTCATGCACAGTCTCCGTGCCTAACTCTTTGCATTCCGGTGCACGAGCAACGTCTCTTTTGGTCATAGATACTATGTAATTGTCCTGCATGTTCATTTCGGCTTTTTTTTTTTTTTTCCGTTCTTTTTTTCCGTCCCTCGAGCCATGGAGGAGGAGAGTTTTCCTGAGCAAGTAAGGCCACTTTCGGGCGGGCGCCGACGCCGGCAGAGATGACTAGGTAGTATCTAGGCCACCCTCGGCAGCATCACATGCCGGAATATATGAATTCAGAATTGGTGTCTGCCATCTGCCATCTGGAAAAGGCGACGGAGTCCCAGGAAAGCTAGCATCAATAATAGAAAAGACAGCCACACAACTTACTACTCCATACAGAATAGTCCGAAGCTCGTAGTGTCTGTGAACGGCGGAGCCAGGACCGTTCCCATGATTAGTCAGTTCAGAACAGGGAATCGACTCCCAGTATCCGTGGCATAGTTATGGGCTAAGGAGTGATTGACTTGGTCCAGGTGGGGAGTGCGTTGGAGTCAAAGACCATCGCGCTAATGCGGTAGTCAACGCCCGGGAAATATGCTCATCCGCTCTGGCTTCTTGGCGCTGCTCCACGTTTCGACGGTCAATCTTCCAGTAAGTGTAAGTGTATTCGTGGCATGGCGTGGCAGAAGAGGTGATAAGCGACGCCCGCCAAATCGATTGGTTGTTTTATTTTCCGCTGCAAGGTTGACGGGACGAACAACGGCGATACCAGATAGGGAGGGAGGTTCTGCCACCAGCCGCGCCGTACGGAGGACGGCGTGAACGGTGAAACGTGCTTGGTGGAGACACGGAGGGAGTGCTTGTCCTTGGTAGGATGGTAGTAGTGAGTCGACGAAGGCTCGAAGCTATTCGCAGAGCAGCGGTCGAGCGGGCTGGGCCGAGCCACGACCGGGAGGGAGACTGGAGCAAGCTGTGGGATTTCAGTTCGGCACAGTGTCAATGCATAATCATAGTCAAAAGGCGCACTACCAAATGACAATGCCAGGTCATCATCATCCCTCCGGCATGAACCCTGCAAGTTTGGACGACGGAGCAGGAGACGAAGACAATTGGCCGGGTGGCGGGTGGCAGGTGGCAGGTGCGCGCGCAACTACCCGTCCGCAAATTTGCTTAGCGACCCCCACTGGGGGGCAACTTCACCGTTTCACCTTCCAACGCTTCTTCTCTGTGTCTCTCCCCGCCGTCTCCCTCTTCTCCTGGAAAACTCCTCCCCCCCCTTGGAGCGCTGAAGCTCGCGCACAATCAGATCGGCCTGGACGAGTCCTCCGTCAGCATTGCATTCGCCGCCAACAGAGGTCTTATCTCAACAGGCTGTGCCCGCTACGGCGTGTTGCCCATACTCGGGAAAGCGCTGAATACGCACTGTGGGGTGTGCAAGCCTCGCTTGGGATCCATGCTCCTCGTCCTCGTCCTAGTGCTGGCTGCCTAGAAATATACTACTAAGCTGATTCACCTGGATCAATTCTTCTCTCGGCAAAAGGAACAGTCTACGTGCCAGCCAAGGCATGGCCCGAGCCTTCGAAAACGCTTAGAGTCTGTGGCGCCGGCGGAGACTCGCTCTCATACCACTGGTGTCTCCCTTGGCTCACAGTTGAGCGATCTCTAGGTGTATCTATACTGTATAGTCACAATACAAGCGGCGAGCACAGCTATTCTGAGGTGTCTCATATAAGCGCACCATGTGGCATGTGCTCATAGCTCCACGGGCTAGCAACACTGCATATCCACAGTCGTAGCTGAAACCAAAATTCGAGCTTTTGCTTGTTCAGAAATATTTTCTTCAGGCATGTCCGAATTGTCGGGCCCGCCACGCATTGCAAATACCGAAATCTAAGTCGAGTTCCACCGCAACGCAACGTTGGGATGGCGGGATCCGTGCTTGCAACTGCCGCAGATCATTCTTCTTCGAGTACGTAGTTAGATTTCTAGTCAGCAATGTCAATCGAGACAACTAGCCAATTTTCTTACCTACTCCGTACGTGACGGAGTAAGTCCTGCCGAGTTTTCTCTGAACTGATTGGCATGATATCGTGGTACCTTGAAGAGGGCATTACTCCGGCGAATGCCCTGGGGTTGTCGCGCAAGTGCGGGAAGAATTGTGAAATTTGTCAATTCCACGTGCGAGCTTGATCCCACCTTATTTCTTATCAAATACAACAGACTCCGCAGGTTACGTAGTACTGAACGAGCGGGCTGGAATTAGTAGTATGTTCTCGGTTTATTTGTTCTGTTAACATTATTCAAATTAAAATATCCATGTGCCAGGAACCGAAAGTCAATCGACAATCGACAATCCCGATCATAATCATATACATAATATTATAACAGACGATGCTATGATAAAGGATGGTGACTGAAGCTTTGAATTTAGCCCCAGTCGAACTTAAAGGTTAAACACGTGGACGCCAAGCCCAGAAGGATTCATCGTTCTGGCCTCAGGCATACGACCTTCTTCTTCAAGCAATGATGGTACTAAGCAACGCAGAACATTCGGCCTAAAATTTACGGCATAGTTAGCCTAGAAGAAGAGACAGACAGACAGACAGACAGAGAAAAGCTACGGTTGAAGTGGTCAGGCTAATGCACAAATCAGTAGATAAATTAATTGAACGCGTAAGCACTCGACCTCTGTCATGCCATCTATCCAGCATAGTATGCAGTTCTGTACTACTACATGGTTATACTACTTGGGTACTTCCGTACATATCATAGCTCTATTACCTTGGTATGAAAATTCACCGTTCGATGCTGGAGGGACCGGGCCAAACCTTCTCCAGTGAGTGGCCATGGCTCAAAGGCTGGGCCAAGTCGGCCTAGGGCAGGTTTTTCCCTGTTAGCTACGGAGTACTCCGCATAGTTAGCTGTACTATAGATATGGTCTAGTAGAAGAAGGAAACTGAATCATCCGATATGTATCGCAAAATGAATCCCTACCTTGAAAAACGCCACCTACCTCAGACTACGGGAGCCAAAACCTGTATGGACTCGGAGTGTCTTGCCTAAAACAGACTCTTGCGTGATGGTATCATTTTACTAAAATCGCATGGTTGAGCTGACTAGCTGAGCTCATGGTCCGGTGAATGGCGGTGATATCAATTGCATTGCACCTGTACAGAATAAAATATACGGCGTCGTCGCCAAGCTTGATGAAACCTTAACATAACCAAGAATAGCGTTTAGACATGCAATGACGTGGAATACTGTCTCAAAAGGCGATCGCATTTTCTTTGGATTTTCTTCTCAACTCTCAGTTTTTCTGTGACGATGCCTCTTTCTCCTTCTTAATGGCCTCCTTGGGCTTGGGGTTAGGGTTTCCTTTCCACTCCAGCTTGCGCGGCGCCATGAACTGTCTTAAGAGATCGTCCGATACCTCCTTCCTCCTGGTCTGAAATTCCTTGACGTGCTCCTGAATCAATTCGATTGCCATCTTCTTCAATTCACCGGTGAGTAGCGCCCCGCTTCGGTAGTCGTCCTCGATCTTCTTCAGTTTCTCGTCATCTTCTTCAAAGTAAGAAAGATCTATTGTTGTTACGTTGTTAGTAATTGTGGTGATGGTTGTGACTGGGGCTGGATAGAAAAGGCTAGGAGAGCAAAAGGAGGCAAATGTATTCACATACATTGAAATGCAACGTCGATCTCCGGAATACCACCCAGCTCCCGGTGCTCCTCCACAGTCTCTCTGCCACCGCTGAATGCGTGCTTGTTGATTTTATTCTGCAAGCCATGAGAGTCAACATATACGGTCCGAAAGGAAAATCGTATTTTTTGACACTTACTTTGATTTGATTTGGGGTATCCGACATGTAAATCGCAGAACTATGAACGAAGACTGGTGAGGGAATTATTCGAATTATATTGGAGGAGCCGAGGACTTACTTTGGGTCACTAGCACTCATCTTGCCACCGGCACCTTGCAGCGAGGTGAGGAATTTTGAATGGATCAATGCCGGCTTTGGCGAAGGAAAACGCATCCTATGAGCATTATCTCGCAGGAGTCGGAAATAAGGATCTTGATCTATTGCCATAGGAATCAAGCAAGGGATCTTTGCAATTGCCTTTGTCCGCTCTGTTGCAGGTTTTTCGGACCAGATATGGGGGTATGATGTGGCAAAAGCAGCCACACTGGGGAAAACACTGTTAGCACAAAGATCAAGTTCTTTTGTGGGAAAGAGAATGGGAAACCTACCATTGCACTGCCGGGAACATGATTTTTCCAATGTTGGTACTATATACGGTGTCAGTATGATATTTTGGAGAAGAGGCGTAACAGAAATTTTAGCAACACAGTGAGACAGCAGGACTAACCTCTCATTAAACCCAAACGCGCCTCTCACTTGATTAAATGTGACAAGTTTGGAGAACTCCCAGGTATTCATCAAGAAGGGTCCGCTGATATATTCCAAATCACTGAAAATAAAAGTCTTCTTGAGATCAAAGCCGCAAGCAATGATATCCTTGGCGTTCTGTAGTCCAAATTTGTGCGCGTCCTCAAAAGTAAGCTTGTCCTTGAAGAGAGCCTTCTCATCATCTTTTCGAAGGGGTGTCAGTATTGAAAAGCATCCGGAAACGTCAACCACCGCACCAATGAGTTCTCACCTGTAAGCATGATCACTGCTCTCATTGTTAGCACAGCCCTAGACTTCTTCTAGTCACCTGCTCCGACATACCTAGAGGAACATCAAACACATCCTGAAGCCACTTCGTGAAAGAGAAAGGTATCGTATGTCCGAGATGTAGCGCATCGCTTGATGGGCCACGTCCAGTGTATATGAAGAAAGGTTCTCCCGCTTCGTATCTATCAAGAATCTTATCGAAGTCACGATGCGAGAAAAAGAGTCCTCGCCTTAGCCAGCGGTGAGGTTTGTGGCCCGTAAGACGCTCAAATCGTTGAAGGATATCATCATCAATGAGTTTGGTTGCCCATTTCCTAGTTATCGAGCAAGAAGTGTGAGTCTCGAGATTCAACCGCAGAGCATATATTGTCTCTTCAAGCAATCCACATACTTTGAGATGGCGACGTAATCGAATGCAAGCGAATTCCCATTCTCGTCCGTGCCAGCTTGAACATCCCAAGGGTTGATTTCCTGCTCAGCGGCACCCTTCTTTTCTCCTTCCCCTTCGCGGATTGGGAGCACCGTTGCGGCTTCGGGTTGTGCCATGATGTCTTGGTATGTCTTCGTTTCTTTTCCCCCCCCTTTTTTACCAGTCCGTGTGCAGATCAAAATGTTTTCGATCCAAACCAGAAGTTGAAAATCTTCACCGCCGCTACCAATGCCGCGAGACGAGTGTTGAAGACGCTTTGCTGATCTCTTGGAGGGGTTGCAGAAAGCCGGCGGCGATTGTATGAGTCGCACGTGCGGGGCAGCTTTTTTTGCAGCATGTGGGCCCACCTTTGCTTCCACGGAAGAAGTCCGCCTTGCGATGGTATTCTCAGGGACATACTATATGTATCCATATTATTAATGTTGATATCAGTATTTCCTTCTGGCAAAATAAATCAAATTAATATTCTTTGTTACATGTTTGACTGATAGGTAATACATTACAACTCCACAATAATAAAATGAGCACAGACATACAGTCACGATTTTGAACAAACATAAAACTGATTCATTTTTTATACACATGCAAACAAACAAGAAATAGCATAGAGGCTTCCCATAAACAACAAACGCCTTGGAACCCCCTCTCCCGAAGAGTCACCACCTGCCCATCGTAGCGTTTTAAGCAAAATTATCAGTACGATCAACCCAGATGTCCTCCAACTCAGCAAAGTTCTGGAAGTGCAGGGGACGGTGCTGATCGTCGTAGAATCGCAGAGGAGTGTCAATCTTGACATAAACGGGTCGTTTTTCGACGCTGCTGAAAGAACTGCCCATGAAGCTGTAGTTCCACACATTGTCCTCCGGCACCAAGAAATATCCGCGTATCTTGTCACTGAGCAATAGCTGGCATTTGTCACCCATATTCGTTGAAAATCCCTGTGGTTGATCTGAGCTGGTATCTTTGTTCTCGGCACCCCACTTATAACCCTGAGGAGTGAGCGCCCATGCGCCTAGTGAGACTGACCCAGGCGTAAACGATACAGTCATAGTCACTGTTTTCTTGTCCCATGACGAATGTGAGTTCATGAGCCGTGCATGTTGAGTGACGTCCTGCGCAGTCATGTATGATGGCTCATTGCCCGAGATAGTATGGATAACTCCCAGGGGTTCCAGATTGTTGAGATACTCGTGTTGAGGCAATTGCTGCGGAAGCTGCACATCGCGGGTATTTCCAACTTGAGGAATCATGACAATGGTACAAACTTCTTTGACTTGGTCGTTGTCCGGCGGTGATCTACCGTAAAGGTAACCTGCAACCTGAACCCGAAGATCGGCAATCATGATGAAACGCTTCAAGATATTCTTTGGCATGACGTATGTGTACAGTCCATCTTCGCGGATATCATCAGATGATATATAGATATTGTTGGCCCGAGTGCGGAGGTTGGACGTGGCAATAGCACGAGTACGCCATTCCGTCTTGGAAGCAAAAGATTGTTGTTCATACTGCGACGTTGTGGTCACTATGATCTCTTCGCCGCGGACATTCTGAGTCTTTGTAGTGACCGCTGTAAGTTGCTTCTGGTCCTCCTGTTGCTTCTCTATCTCGGCCGCTTGCTGACGTTGCAGCGATGGCGCACTGATTTCCATACCAAGGATGATATCCCTGACCTCACTGCTAGTCAAACTCTGGACGTTGACATTGTTCTTCTTGCCGTAGTCATTCAAAATGAGATCACGCAGTTGGACTTCCACCTTAATCCAGTCGTCATCGGAAAGTGTCGGCCATATATGATGTTCCTGGGTAATAACGGTCTTATCCGGTCGAAGAACAATTTTTGTCTTATCAGTGTTGACATGAAGCGCACGAAGGATCAGAATCAATCGGGAGAAAGCAGTATATGGCGAGATAGATTTCAGCCATTCATCGTAGAGGTTGAAAAGAACCATCTGAGGCTCAGTTGCTCTTAAGATCATATCTGCAAGCTTCTCAACTTTCATGGCAGCTTGGAAAGGAAGCTGAAGTTCGGATGCACGGATGGAAATATTAGGGAAGTCAAGTAGATGAACCTCCAGAGGATCAAGAAGGCCTTTGCGTGTAACAATAAGCTGTTTGGGTTGTTCTTCGACAGGCAGTGAACGAATGAGGGCTGCAACTTCTTCCGCTGTTTTCCATTTCGCCAATTGGCCGAGACGTTTCTGGCCAGCCCAGACACTTGTGTGGATAATCTTTAAGAACAATTGGCCGGTACGAGGGTTGAAGATGAAGATAGCTCCGTTGATTGGTTTAGTCGTCAAGTTACCTTCGAATGTTTTATGAATAGTAACTCGATAGACATTCGTATCATCAATGAAAAGCTGAATTTGAGGACTGAACAACTCGGAATAATTCTGAGAGTTGAGGAACTCCTGGTTATTTTCGGAAGCATACAGCTGCAGACCCTTGCGAATACGCTCTCGCAGTACATACAAGGCTGGATTTGCTTTCATGATCTTTGCCATAGCCTGTTGAATAAGCGCTTTCAGTCCAGGGAAGTATTGACCATAAGCAGAGTAAAGGTTGTAGGCCAAATCTATACCGATCATCAAGCCAGTAGCTGATGGGTATATACTCATACTATCTGTTGTATAGTCAAGGTATTTCGCCCGTACGTAACGTTCGATATCATGCGAATCGTAGTCACCGTAACGTAGTTGGACATCAAGCCAGAACTTATTCGTCGTTGTGGGTTCAATGACATCTTTCGTGTCAAAGAGAAGCGATGGTCGGGTCACATTCCACTTGTTCGTCGCAAATAACAGAATATCCGCACAGGAGCTATTCATCTTGTAAGACTTCCTTGGGTGGATGGTTTCCTTTTGAACCGCTTCAATGCCAAGAGCTTCCAATTCTTGGTCAAAGACCTGGCAAAGATCCATCACAACGGATTCGTGTATTTTCTGCCACAAATGAGCACGGAAAATCTGGATCAACGAAATTTTCAGCGTCGGGATCTTTCCGTGCAAGAAAATGCCAGTCAAATCCAACTGCACTTGGAAACCGACGTAGACGTTCGCTCTATTGATAGTGGGAGACCACCACAGAGTGAAACGACGGTTGGGGATCTGATTAAGACCAGAACGCTGAGCGTTCGTGAGCTTTTTAAATTTCATGGATTCTTCGAAACCGCTAGCTCGTTCCCAGAATAGACCCTCCCATGACGGAAAAGCAGTTGCTTTAAACAAGGTGTGCTCCAAAATGGTCTCAACACCGCCCAGCGCTTGGATCACATCGGTACGGTATGCGTTCAGATTCCAGAGTTTGCCATCGTGTCTCTGGCTAGTCCACCAGAATGGATTGCTCTTCATGAGTTGATAAATCTTGAATTCGGTCCTGGCACGGAAACCTTTATCGAAGCTGAGGGTGCTTCGATCCTTCTGGAAGAGAGTGTTGATACGGGGAAGACCACGATCCCAGCTGTCTTCCAAATCCTCCAGGGTCAAACGCCTGTTCTGTTGATTGGCTTCCTGTCGCTTTTGGGAGTATTCCATCCAAACACGTTGTGAATCAATGAACTCAGCTTCCCAAGGTATGATGTAGCGGAAGATGTGTGGAATTAAGGTTTCCTCATCATGTGACATACCCGCGCGGTAATGGGTGACGCCGGTGTCAGTTTGTTTAGACCAGCGCTTATCGCTTGCAGGAATGAGAATGTGAGAACCAGATATCATTCCAAGACCACCCAACTCCTTGGGTGTGTAAAAGACAGCTGGAGGGAACCTCGATGGCATTTTTGAGTTCAAACCAATCTTGACTCGTGTCTGTATTTTTGTCTCACACTTCACGATTGTATCCAAGAGATTGACTGTCGATGCAGCAGCCTCACGATAGTATGTGAAGAGAGCAATCAACGCTGTATTCCATTTATTGGCGATCTTGGTGAACGTCGTAGAGCCAGAGGACATGAGAATTTGACGAATGCGGTTATTGAACTTTTGAATATCTTCTTCAGTCACCTGAAGGAATGCATACGCAGTTCGCTCTTTCGTCGTATTGTCCACGAGGGACCAGACACTATCTTTGATAGGGAATTCATCATTCTGGTTCCGAATCTTCGGAAGAATACGAGCTTCGAAGCCGCACATCGAGAAAAGCAGGTTCGGGTTGTCTCTGCTATACACGCTTGCAAATGTGTCATCCCATTCAATAGTGGTTATAGATCGCGGTAACCGATTCTTTAAGTCCCAGAAAACAGCCCGCCCAAGGTTGACATCATGACGCATGAGACGCATCCGGGAATCACGAGGCCAGCATTTCTTATTCTTGTATCCAATGACATTCTCAAAGTTAGGATCTGGTTGTTCCGTAAGGAAGCGCTGTATGAGATCCCGAGAGTCGTCCGCGCTAAATCGTAAGAAGACCCAAATCTTGTCGACATAGCGTGTATAAAGACGGATCGGATGACGTGTTTCAGTCTCACGGTCCTTGAACTGCAAGAAATCATTTGGACTTTGCGGGGGACCAGCTAGGTCGCTTGCGCGTTGAAGACCCAGAAGAAGAAGATCAATAACCAAGCCATAGTACTGAAAGACAAAGCCGGAGAATTGAAGACCACGAATCAATCCATAACTATTTGTATGATTCATGTCTTTGTAATTAAGTTGGACATTGTTCTTCGACGTAATGTAATCGGCCAGATTGTGATCCATGATTAGACGAAGAAGTCGATTGAGCAAAGTCAAGTCAATCTTCTCGTAGACCTTGGATAACTTCGTTTCTATCATAACGTTCGTCTCGCCATCAGCTGTCTCCCACACGTTAGACAGATTGTTTATTCCCTGAGCCCATTTATATGTCAACAATGGCGGCACCTCGGAATCTGAAGGCTTAATCCAGGAAGGGAACAGGTGTCGCTGGTCAGCTTGATACCACAAATACTGATCCAAGTAGGCGTCGGTTATTTTTTCGATTGGCTCAACATCATAAACGGGATTAATGTCGCTGTAGTTGTCGTTCATGTCAATGCCAACTTCCTTAAACGCTCGCTGAGTCAACAAAAAGCGCTTAATTCTAGCTAACGTAGTGCCAGGGGAATCATATGCTTGTTCAATGAGAGCCAATTCCTCACGCTGACTTTGGTTGAGGCGACCTTTCACAGAATAAGATTCTCGTAGTCGTTCGAGAGCCAGGATCAGAATCTTAGTATCATGCTTATAGGAGACACTAGGGAACGGAATCGGAGAAAATTTGCGAGATTCTAGCCAGTGAACAGTGGTGGTATAGATAGCAACAGCTTCTTCGGACGAGACGTAGGGACCGTCCTTGAGGTAATTGTGTTGTCGCTCCTGTTCGGCTTTCAGCCAAAGTCGGGTGAGACGACCCAAGTTCTTTTTCGCCACTGTCTTGTCCACAGTAGCGCCCCTTCGAATTCTCTCACGATTGTAATGAGCAACCGAGATCCACCAATCAGCCTTGGCTTTGACATATCGAAGAATGATGTTTTCGATTGGAGCTGGAAGACCTGGTACTTTCCATGGGATGTTACTCTTCCAGCATCTCCATGCCTCAGACAGATGCTGTAGAACGGTGTTAACCTTGTTTTGTTTGATACCTTCCGGCATCATGTCAATGAGATCAGCCATGACAGAAGCACGCAATTCTAAGTCAAAGTGAGACTCCACACGTTGCTTCGTCACTGTCTTCGCAACGCCCTTGCTATGACGGCCCTCAAATTGGCGGGAAAGCAGGTTTCCAAGCCATCTCTCTAGCAATGGGATAATACCACGCATGAAAAATAGCCAGACACGCCATGCCGGCGCCCAGAAACCGCAGCCTGGACCTTTACCTACAGGACCTGAGTTGAAGCGATAGTATATCAAATGCTTCAAGTCCTTGCAAGATCGAATTTGATGCATCAGCTTGTATTTGTAGCGATACATACCAGTCAACTGTCCGACATGGTTGAAGGCGTAGAGAATACCATCAGCAAGCTGGAAGGCGTCGATGTTACCAAGTCGGTATTGCACTTGCGCATCGACAATTAACTTTGTCAAACGCAATATTTCCCGCATAAGATGGAAGGCATTACCGAAGCGAGACTTTTTTCGTTCCTTTGTTGTCAGGGTCTTCACAGGCTTCAGATTAAAGTTATAATCGAGGTGCAGATATGTTAAATTTTTTCGATGAATAAGTAAATTCAACATATTGAAGCCCTGCCTACAAACTTGAAGACCTGCTTCGACCCAGTCAATTGTCGTTGTCTGGAAGAACTTGGTACCCTTGAGTGTTTTCAATAGATCCTGCCTGTTTTGAGCTTTGGGCTTGGTCTTATGTAGCTCGTTGAGCACATATGACTTCAAAAGCTTCTGATATGAGACTCGAACCTTGACAGGCTGGCCCTGTGGGCAGTGTTCCAGGTACCACTGCTTTACCAATGGAACATCCTGTGCCCGAACCATCCTGCCCGAACGGCGGTCAAAAGGATAAGGAGCCCATAGAAGAGCAATCGCTGATGCTGTGTCGCTGTTGTAGAGCTCCTCATCCGCCAAGAAAGGTTCAACATCGCCTGGAAGTTCGAAATCATCCTCATTATTATCCGGACCGAAAATTTCATCCTCGTGGGAAACAGTGATGTTTTTGGGAGCAACGGACCGCGACGATATAGGATTGATAACGGGATCGAAGTAGAAGGCCGGAAGGTTCGGGTCATCGGACCGAACATAAACAGCCTGGGGATGCGAATACCAAGACAGCTTAACGCTCCTTGGGAGAGAATTGTAAAGGTAAGGAAACGCCACACGATATTCTGTGCGGATAGGGGAGCGAAAAATAATTCGATCAATCGCATTGAACTCGCCAAAGTCCTCGTCATTTGGATCGATATCTTTGTATAGAGGTTCGAATCGAGGCCCTCCCGGAATAGCCACATTAAGAGCCTTGGCTGTGATAAAACTGTCAAGTTCGAACATGTGGAAGTAATTTTTATCTACCACATCGCTCAATAGTTGATGACTTAGGCGATAGAGAGTAGCCATCTGCGGAAGAGACAGATTCCACTGCTTATAACTTGGTCCGTTGACATGAGGAGTATCGAGTAGAGGCCTGTGATCATAGAACCACTCGTACACAGCGGCGTCTTCATTCTCATCAAGCTCCATCTGTATGGGCTCCAAGGGTTCAACATCTTCAATATTTTCGGACCACGACAAAGGGGGTTCTTCATCGTCGAATGGAGGAAAGCGCATACGCTTGAAATGTCGTCTGTCGGCCTTTTCTCTCCTCATGCAAACCCACATGGTCGCCCATTGAGCATGGAAAACAGGCTCGATGACTCGGGGGCTCTCATTGACAAGAGTCAAGCAACCATTAACATGATACAGAACCTTAACTTCGCGAGCTGATTCCCAAGGCATGGGCATATTCTCAAGTAGCTTAAGAACAGCATGGGGCATGAATTTCAATGCTCCAAGATAGCTTCGTTTGTCACTGCTAAACTTTTTCTGAGAAACGTCGCCGATGTCTCTAACAATTTTTCGTAAATGTTCGGGTGGCATATCAGTTTTCTGCGATTCGACAAAACCTGCTTTCCTTTTTTCGCCAAATCTGTTTCGCTGGGTCCTCAGCCATTCTGTCTTTTTCTGGGCAAACTTTGCGACTTTCGGATCGGCTGGGGGTCGGTATCCAGGCGGCGGAGGTGCAGAAGGCATGGATGGAGGAGCTGCCGATCCCCATCCCGGAGGGGGAGGTGGCGGAAGCGATGCCATGTTAAAGTGTTGTCGATGGGAACTCGAAGCTTCGTATGGATGCAAGATCAGGCAGGGTTGACCCGCTGCATCGAAGGACTGCTTCTCGCGACAGGATTAAAGTGGCAATTTGTCGCAAGAAGCCAAAGAAAAATGTATAGATTTGAAATAGACAGTTATGACGCGCGCTGCCCAGAAGAAAGGGGGTCAAAAGCAGAACGGGCTTCCTTCTGGAGGCGGGGAGATTGGATGGCGGCGAGTTGATAAAAAGCTGCGATGCCTTCTGAAACTTCGCGCTTTGGCGTTCGCGCTATTCTCAGGTGGGCAGGCGGTGGCGAGTGAAAGAATAACCTGCGATTCTTGGCATCCAGGCTCCACTAGTCCGCATGAAGACTAGTGTACTCGCCAAAGTGCCCTAGTGTGGTTGCGAAAAAGCCCACACAATTCGTTCTCCTGCCTGGAATTTTCGACGACAACGACCCCTACGACAGCGCCGCTGATTCCCCGAACGTCGACAAACAGATTCGAGGACAGTCACAATGGCGAACACTAGATTGCAATACGTGAGTTTGATCTCAGTTAATCCCTCAAATTCAGACGGTTTTGTCGCAGTGATTAATTGATGCTAATTTTGAACGCTTTCACAGCGCCGACGGAACCCGTACGTCCTGATTCCTTCGAGAGATTCCCGGTAGCAACAACAACGCGCTAATGCCTTGATTTTCTGTGATATAGGTACAACACGAGGTCCAACCGTGTCCGCATCATCAAGACCCCTGGTGGAAACCTTCGGTACTTGCATATCAAGAAGAAGGGTACCGCTCCCAAGTGCGGTGACTGCGGCGTCAAGCTCCCTGGTGTGAGTGCCACCTCTCTGAATTTTGCATGGATATTTCTTCCGGTTCCTGGATTTCAATCGACTTATTATGTGACATCCGCTCGTTTAATTATTAAATGAGGTTTTGCGATTTCGCATCTTGCGGGGGAAAAAATCGTCTAACAATTCACCCCCAGGTCCCCGCTCTTCGCCCTCGTGAATATGCCCAGATCTCTCGTCCTCGCAAGAACGTCTCTCGCGCATACGGTGGTTCTCGCTGCGGTAACTGCGTCAAGGACCGCATCGTCCGTGCTTTCTTGATTGAGGAGCAGAAGATCGTCAAGAAGGTCCTTAAGGACTCCCAAGAAAAAGAGAAGGCCGCCTCTCGCAAGCGCTAAATCATCAAACTTAATGGAGAATGTGGTTTTGCGGGAACTCAGTTGCGTTAGGAGTATGGAACAAAAATCAAATAAAGAAATGAATGTGTGAGAGGGACGTTTACTGGTGTCTTGACCAAATTGATGATGGTCACTCCCAGACCATAGGGTACTCTCGCATCTTGCAACAGATTATTTGAAGTCATGAAGGTCATTTTGCATTTTACTCTACGTGGTATGACCTCCGGCGAATCTGGGCGAGTTTTTATTTTTCGACGGCCTCCAGGTTTTCTTTTCGTCATGGGGCCGATTGTCTACAATTATTACCGATATGAAAAGTAAAATATCAGTTGATGAATTTTAATCAGCATTCTTCAATTGGCGTAGGTCTGAAATGAATGATCTGACTGACTAGTTTCCATTGTCTCAACTAGACAGCCGTAACGAGACGATGGAACCGCCAGGCCAAAAGCTACGTAGAGCAAAGCCGTGAGTTAAGGGTTGCACGCCCGGCCATCATAAAAATTTAATATAAAAAAAGTGGCAAGGACGGTGAACCCGCGCGATCAGATATCTGGTCCAAAGTTCGACTAAAAAGGGCAATGAAAACTTCATGCGGAGTAGCAACATCTAATGGGACAAAAAGTCGATCCTGCAACTATAGTCACATCCCTAGGCATGTAAGGCCGTCTCTAGCTATCAATAGCTTGCAGGTTTTGCCTCCTGCATGCGCCTAGGCGACTCTCGGTCTTACCAGGGCTTTTGCCAGTCTTATCAATTTTTGTCTCTATCTTCCTTCATCCGATCCCCAAACTTTACGGTGTCTCAAGCCACTATAAGGCAGTCCTTAGACAACGCAAGAAATCACCCAACTTTTGCGGCTTCGTGGAGCCGAACAAGAGGCCGCGATACCAAAGACCGTCGACAACATCTATTCGGCTATTTGAGTATGGGTAGCTAGGGAGATGAACATATTGTCTATGCTCAGGAAATTTAGAATACAAAGATAAAAAGAGGACAAGGAGAAGAAATAGCTCTGCAAGACCGACAGCCTCATACCTATGTCCGCTAAATTACCTGCCCTACCGGCCAAATCATCCAATACTACTTCTACCTAGGTAGTCAGGGATATTACAAAAGGATAAGCAGAAAGTAAGCATCCACTCAGAATACCATGCAATGTATATATATACACCAACAGGCCTCGGGGGAAAGCCCCAATGATTTTCAAAACCTCTCGATATCTTTGATCAATGATATGATGTGGTACAGGAGCAACTTTACTGATCAAGCGCGAATTAAGGAAGGCCCTGACCATGTGGACTATCAAGCGGCCCTTGACTCCTTACAAGATCAGCCTGTGGGCTTCCAGATGTCCCTGAAGTCCATCTTTGGATGGGGATGGGAACACTGAAGATGCTTGAACCCTGGCGATATAGACCATGCATACCAACCCCTGAATGCGGCTCGTTCGGAAGCATATCAAACCTCTGGTCTAACAGAGGCTGTTCAATAGTTTCTGCTTCCGAGAAATGGTTCATGCGCCGGAATTTCGACGCAAATCTTGATGCGTTTCCTCCCTTTCTTCCGGGCTCATTTCGTTGCGCCATCATGGTCTCAAGCCTGGGAGGTCTCTTAGAAACGGAACCGCGGTAGCGTGTCGTTGACTGGACACCATTCTGGAGGGCATCTTCTGTGAGTGTCCAGTAGTTGTTCTTTGGCTTTCCCCGGACAGATGTTTCGTTGTACAAAACGAACGCCTGTCGAGAGGAAGTCAATTTTGGGAGTGGTGCCGGAAAGAGTGGCAATAGACTACTTACTTCATTCATGGATAGGTTATGACGGATGCTACTCTGCCAGCCTTTCGAATTTGGGTCATTCGCCTTGTTTGTGTTGTCTTCGAACCAGCGGTATATCTCTTGCAAAGATAACCTGTGGTCCTTCGCAGAACGAAGCGCCTCATATAAAAGGTAGGCATAGGGCTTGTCGTAAATTCCATCTTGTTCTGTACATCCATATCTCAGGGGCTTATTCCGACTTCCGCTGCTAGTATGCGATAATGCAGGTAAAAGGCGTGTCATCATCTTTCTTTCACGAGGGTAGTCGAGATGCAGAGGGCTAGTTGCGTTCTCTCTGCTATGTGTATGGCTTTTCTGGGAGGATTGTAAGCTATATGGCACCTGAAACTGCGAGGCAGCGGCGAAATTATGACCAGGACTTGGGGCTTGTTTGGATAGCGTCATTTGGCTTGTGTCATTCTCGGGCAAAGGGTGCGGAGACGAGGTGATATTGGCTTTCAGGAAGTCGCGACGAGCCAGAAACACATTGTCGAAAGGGGTATTCTCCTGGGGAAGCAGTAACGTTGAGGTATAGTCATTTGATTCTGGATAAAGGGTACGTTCGTGGGCTATCATTTGCCTGCTAGCAGGCTGAGAAAACAACGATGGCTCCCATGAGCACGCTATGAACATCGAAGGCTCGAGAGGAGTAGACGCGAGTTCCGGTTGTTCGTACGAGCAAACTGCCGACCAAGGATCGCTCTGAGCTACGTGATCCCCTGTGCTTTCCCCCATGTTCGATGGATAAGCCGAGCTCTCTGCGAAAGATGTATTAGGTTGAAGCGACCTTAAGTGGCGTCGGCAGTGGTCATTCATGATATCCGGGGAGGATACGAATCCTGTGTTTCTGGCAAGCGGTATAGTAGCTGGTTAGGTGCCCTATATTGTCGAAAACGGGCTCGGACCAGGAGAAGATGTGGCATAAAAGATACAAGTAAATAACATAAAACTGGGGAAGCATTTCAGACTCTAAGACTTAGTAGGAATTCCACATATTTACAGAGCCTAGCCCTGCTGGCTACCTGCATTACTGCATTAGGTATCAAGCTACGTGCTAGGTATGCTCTGGGGGGGGCTTTGGTCTATGAGGCGTGTACACCGCCGGACAACTTGAGTGTGTTTTTATTTTAAGAGAGCAAGCAACTAATGTTGACAAGTCTATAATGCACCGCCAAGTACAGTAGATGTGTATGTGCCTGCGTAAAGCCCTGAAGAACGGAGAGCCAGTCTGAGTCACGAGGCGGCTGTAAGCGGAAGTGATGAGATTCGCGGATGAGTACTGTACGACCACAGCATGAGCCTCCACATCCAATATTAAGAAAGCCAGAGATCTTTTAAGGCCACGTCTTCCAGAGCCTTGCATGATCCAACTGGACCAGAGAAAAGAAGTTGAGTGGGGGATAGTCGGTCAACATGCCATGCCGCTACCCGATTGGCGGGCCTGGCATGGAGTTTGATACAGGCATGAACGCGCCCCCGATGGCTGTGACACTTGCGCGCCTGTGATGGAGGTTGGTTTTAAAACGTGGTGACCGCAAATTAATGAGCTCCCCTCATGAGCCGGGATTGTCGCGAAGAAAATAAACCGGACAATCCTGCACTCCAAATGCCGCGCCAGGGACAACACAAGGACACTGATCCCCACACTCAACTACATAACCAACTTCACGCGACGGCTTCATATCGAATTAAAGTGGAAGAAAGGTCAGTTTGATGCGCCGTGGTCGTCGGAAGGCCCTGAGGCGCTCCATGCACCAACAAAGTCTTACTTCCGATAGTAGATCTGTGGGTGAAATTAGTATATTCAAACAGCAGCAGGTAACCCGGGTCCAATCAAGACTTACCTTCTTGAATTGAAAATGCAGTTGTAGAATTCCCTATACGTATCAATGGGTAAGCTTACAACGGACATTAAATGACGCAAAAAGGGACAGCGTGAACGAACCTTTTCGAAACTGCTTCTGAAGCCCCTATCTCTCTTAGAACTGAAATCCCATTCTCGATCCACAATGCGAAATGCGATGTCTTCATAGGGTGGTCCTGCAATGAACCGAATGAGACATGTGTCTTCCTCTCCTGCCTTGACGAAGGATTGGCCGCGCTTCCGCCCATGTTCACGTTCAATCCGGTAAGTCGGGGCTTTCGTCTTATCAATCAGGTCTGGATAGAATATGTTGAACCTATAGCCATGGACAACTTTCGGTGGAGGATGGTCGTGGTCGTAGTGCGTTTGATTGTACTTGTTCCATTCGTATCCCATCTGCGCACGATTGAAATATCGTGGCTTTCGCGGTCGATATTTATGAGCCCATGGAAGTTGCGAAGTACTGACGACAGCCTCCTCTGCTGTGAATATTTCTTCATTTTCACTTATGCCTCTCGCAACCTCGCGCTCGTACAGGGCTCTTGTTGCTTGGGAGAAGTCTTCATTGGGCAAAGACGAGAAGCGATCGACGCTAGTGGCAAGTGCCGATTCAGGTTTCTTTACTTGGATGGGCATTGATTGGGTAGACTTTTCTGCGCCTCGTCGTAATGGTACAAATCCCATTTTAAGGACCTTTTGTCGCTCTTGAGCCTAGTCAAAAGTTAGCGAATGCGCTGTCGAAGCCAACGTAGAAGGGGGGGGAACAAACCACTTGATTTAGAAATGCTGATTCGTCCATGATTTCAAGAGCTTTATCCTCGGGCCGCAGCTGAAGTAACGGCTCCGGATCTAGGTCCAATTCTCCCTTGACTTCCATGACCTCACCGACAACAGGTGCGATTGGAGCAAGTTTGAGTCGTACGGACTCTGCCTCATCTCTCTGTTGCCTGCGGAGTGCCTGTACTCGCCCTGCAATAACCGCTTGGAATACCTTCTTCAACTTAGCTTTCGCTTTCCAGACGGTCAGACTGCGCAAAAGCTCTTCCCAGTAATCGGTATCGATCGGTTCATTGGAATCCAGTTTGCGCTTTACTTGAACCTCAAGTGTCTCCAGTTGTTCATAAGTCTTAGGACTGAGGATCCTGTTAATATCGGCTGACACCGAGCTGAGAACACGGCCTTCGGGTGCTGAGGTTTTCTGTCGGTCACGGCAAACAATTTTCATGGTCTAGTTGTTGATCAGCGTTTGTGTCAATTTGCCTATGTTGCTTCCCCACTCACCTTCCAGAAATCGCGATTCTTTGAGGCCTGTTCAAGACTCAGAAATGTATCGATATCATTCTCCAATTCCGCCAATTGATCCTGCGACAAACCCTCAAACACTCCTTCCGGATCGATTAGATCCAGTTCTGAGTCGGGAATCTCATCATCCAAGATATTCCTTGTAGGGTCTATTATACGCAGAGTAACCGCTAACCAATCTATGGGCTTTGCGCGGCCTTCCTTCACGCGGATCTCTGCCTTCTTTTTAGCTTGCTTGAGGATGAAGGTATCCTCTTGCGCAACCCACTGGCGCACTTGCTCGTCTTCTTGCAGCTGATTCAGTCGGTTTTGTTCCCTCCTATCCCGTTGCTCGGATCTGCTATTATCCCTATCCCACTGACCAGGGTGGTGTCTGTCGTCTTTGCGGGGGATCTTTTCGGAACGCTTCCATGGCGGCGAACTTGACCGAGATCGCGAGCGGCCTCGTTTGGCGCCTGAGTGGTACGTCGACATGAGTTCTGTACGTGATATAGAGATTATGAGGGAGGAATAGTAGACACCTGATATTCCGGTAGGTAGCTGCTTTGGCGCCACCACAGTTGAACAGAGGTTGTTGAAGGAGAAAAAGAGAGCTACCGCGAGGTTCTTACCGGAAACCATAACTCGCTATGATTGGACGGTACAGCAGCCGCCGGGCTAGGCTCCTTCCGTTTGGAGTGAGCCCGCGGCTACAGTTTATTAACCCTTAAATATCGCCTATCTGTAGCTCTTCTTGTTCAGTTCCCTCTATTGCATGCTAGACCGCCATTCATAGCACGAGCATGAGCTGTGGAGGCGATCTCTGCAGGGGAAATGTCACCGCGATGGCAAAGCCTTCCAACGCGCAATGAATCGGCGCCGCCACTACTGTATAGCTTCGATTACACGCCTCAATTCTACGAGTTCCATCTCACAGATCTAACGTACATATGGTTCGAACACCTAGACCATAAGCATATTCTGCGGAGAGCCGAGGACAGCGAGACAAGTATCGATCCAAGTGAGGATGCAAACCAATATGCTGTGTTTATGCAGAAGATACAAGATGCTCTCCGCGGGGCAAAGTCTAGCATTGTGAATGTAGCCGCCAATGGCAAGCCAGGGTCTCTTTCAGTCACTACCAGTACCAACTTGCCAGGTGGGTTGAGACCCTTAAAATGGTCCTTTTCGCTTTCCAGAGAACGCCCGTCGGCAGTCACGCGACAGTTGCTTCTTCCTCTGCTAAAGGGTGAAAAGGAGCACGAAAAGCGAGAGCAGTCATTGTTAGACCATATCAGAGACAAGGATAGTGTCTTGTCTAAAATTTTCGACAAGATCGATGCGTCTCAATTGACCACGATGTTCCCGGGGACTACGGGTGCCCGCCATGCGAAGCCGAAAATATCGGATTTGATCAAGCATATCAAAGGAGCCACCAAATTTGACGAGAAAGAATGGCGCGGAAATTTGAAATTTGAGCATACTGTCGTATCAGATGTAGAAAATTTTGCGGAATCTGTGTCTAAATTTACGGGCTCGGCTATCTCTGACACCTGGTGGGAAAATCTTGACAATGGCGGATTGGCATCAAAATCATCGAGCAGACTACAAGATGTAGAAACAAGGAGAAAAAGCTATTCTTCCACCGTTGATACGGACGCTGAGGGGCAGAAGGATCTTGATGAGGACAAGAGCACTGAGGATGAGGATGAATTCCAGGTACGGAGAGACAATTATACATATGAAGTCCATTTTGATTTATTGCTAACTGTTTTTATGCAGCGTCAAGAGACCCCGCCTCATCTGAAGCGGAAGAAAGAGGAAACATTCAAAAAACAAGTGCATAAGAATGCACCTGACGGTGTGGCTGGCACCACGGAATCAGACCAAGAGAATGAATCGACTGATGAGCTAGAAAGCCGGCGGGCGCCTGTTCATAAAGTAAAGCCTCCTCCGAAGAATGCGGTAGGCCGTATTGGAGGGCCAAAGGCTGTTACTCTTGGGCGATCAAGAAAGGAATCCGCCTCATTGTCTACAGATTCCGATTCAACATCAGAGTCACCGAAGTCGAAGCAACGCACTACTGGGGCCACACGGAAAATGCCTGAATTGAACGATGACTCCTCCATATCTTCCGATTCCGAACTCGGACCATCTGCAGCATCGAGATCTAAATCCCCTGGACCTAAAAAGGACAAACATGCTGGAACGACTATTACCATCACCACAAAACCAAAAGGGGCTCTCGGCAGGATAGGAGGCAGAAAACCAGAGCCTAAGAAACCGTTGCAACCACCTTCGCCTGAAGCACTCGACGACGTCGTCGAAACGCAATCTTCTTCTGAGGACGATGAGAGGCGCCATCGTCCCCCCAAGCCTCTTCCAACTCCAAAAAGGACCAAGAAACTTGGCCTCATAGGTGGTGGCAAAAAGAAAACACAACCAAACATAACCCTGTCGCCCAAACATGAGAGTGATGGTGACGACTTGGACGCTGGGTCTATTAGGAAAGCTACAAAGGCGAAACTACCATCATCACCATCACCACCTCCACCACCATCCAAATCGCCTTCACCTATACAACAACGACGCGCGCCCAAACCCGAACGCGAGCCCGAGCCAGAATTATCTGCTGAACAAAAAGCAAATCGAAAAAGAGAAGAATTGAAAAGACAATTGGACGCAAGGAGTAAAGCTCCTGTAAAGAAGAAACGAAAATTCTGACTCCTCTCCTCCTTTTATACATCTTGTGAAATGAACAGTTAACTTTCCACCGAGGGATGGTTGGGGTACTGAAATAAGCACATTGTATTTATTTCTTCATCATGTAAATAAATATCGGTTATCAAGTTTTGGACCGGCTCCTTTATTTGTTTTTCTATTTTTGTAACCTATCATGGACGTAGGAAAGAAAGGAAAGTGGCCCACTGTATGTATACACAGGTATGCTTACCCAAGCAAATGGACTTGAATACTATCGTTGTTCCAAGATTAAACATACCTAGCAAGAGATAAAATCCATGGACGTATAGCAGAAAATTACAACATTTAACATTGTACAAATATAATACAGGGGTATATCGATTAAATACAGAACACAACCAAACCCGAAAGATTATATCAAAGCTTTGTTTAGCCAGCGAAAGGGTCCGATGTCGACTCCTTGTCACGATTCAAAGGATCTAATTCCTTGCGCAGGTCTTGCTCTACTGGAGTGATTAGTCTTACTTTCTTCGCTGATGACCCTGCAGCCGCGCCTCCGGAAGCCGTATTTGGGCCAGTAAGGGCGGTGCTACCGCTGCTACTTACGCCGCCACCTCCCAGTAAGGTTTCGCCAGATGATGTTGGTGCTGCTGCTAACATGCCGCGGACTTTTTCAACTGCTCTGCTCTCACCAGTAACCCATGGATCTCGCTTGGCGGGGATATTTGAGGCCATCCTGCGGCCGAATGCAGCTGTTTGCACAACTTCACGGTTCTCGGTGCGTCGTGGGCCAGGACCACAGTCATGCATACAACCAGGTGTAGGGCAGCCGCCTTCGCTAACCTCGAAGTCACCAAGCCATTTCTTCATGCAGGCTAGATGCCCACCATGTCCGCAACCTTGGCACCACGACCATAGGCCTGAACCTTGGGGTCGGTAAGAAGCGCAAGTTTGTTGCCCAAACTGTCCTAACTCTGATTGCGGAATTGGTTCCGTCGCATTGGAGGAGATAGAGACTTGGGATTTGGTCTCCAAGTCATCTGTATTTGAGTCACCGTCGCCATCCGTAGATTCGGGTATGATCCATTCAAGAGGCGGCTCCAAACTGAGGCAGACGGGACAAGGAGCTTGCGGTGTTAGGCACCTGTAACATCGTCGATTGTCTTTAATGGGATTTTCGTAAGGTTTCTTGCATGTATAGCAGTAGACATTGATGAACGTGTCTGTTTGAGCGTACTCATACACTGCTGGATACATGGGTACACAGAAATTTCGGAGCTCAGCAGCCTCAACATACATAGAGTGGCGAATGAGCTGCTCATTGTATGTCTTGAAAACCTGTTCGGACTCATGATATGGTAGAATAGTCTTGCAATCAAGAAAAAGTGAGTGTATCGTACGTAGCAGATGAGCCGCCATCTGAGTATCGACAGGAGCGGTGCTATGATAGTGTCGTATGGCCTCTCTCAAAATCACTTGCACGCTCCATGGCTTGCTCGCCGATATTTCAGGCGAGAGAGGAAGCATAAGATCTTTACTGGATCCTCTGGCTGCTTCGCGAGAATCTAGGGGTTTCGAGTCACCTTCATGATCACTCGACTCCACTAATAAAGGAGCAGGGCTCGATGGACGTTGAATATGTATTTGATTCATGTCAGAAGAGGAACTACCGGAATCAGTTTCATCTTCATAAGGTGCATACTCGGGGACACTAGCAGCATCAGAGGATGCTGGTTCATCCTCCTCAGGGATTTCTTCTGTTTCCCATCCCACACTATTTCTCCTTGAGGTAGGCACCGCACCTGTTCGAGGAGATAATGAGATATCAACCGACTTAGTACGTTGTGAGCTATCTGTAGAAGCTGAGAACATGGGGAAACTTTCAGTAGAGTCGTGTCGAAGATAAGAACCGGGACGGGATGGACGGCTGGCTTCACTTGCGAGGGATTCAAGATTGAGGACTTTTTTCGGCACCGCCTTGTAGTCACGGAGTAGAGCCTTCCGGCTTTCAACCTTTTGCTCATAATCATCTTCTGAGCCTTCCTTCGCTGCAAAATCATTTGACCTGTCAAGGTGCCAGTCGGCACGGCCAGCTATCGCCCGAGGCGCTGACCGCTGGTCGGTATCGAGGCTGTCGTCGAGATCACGAGCCTGCTCCGAGTTAAAACTGGCTGAATAAAAGGGCATGTAATCGCTAGATTCGGATTCGTGACGCTGCAACCGTGGTGCAATTGCAACCTCGGCTTGATTTTTAGTACTGTAACGAGAGCTTATGACGGGGGGTGGCAAAGGTTGTAAATCGATCAAGTCATCCGTTTCAGTTACGCCTTGAGTGACCGAAGCAAAATCAGTACCCGAAGGAGAGTCCGGGAGAGGCTTCGCAAGAGGAGTCGTCATGTTAGATGTACTCTCCATGTCCGGCACTGTGCGTCGCTGAGATTCTGTCTCGATCATCACGCCTTTGAACAAGTGAGACTTCACCTTAGCCGACTTTGATCCTTCGGTTATACGCGTTAGGTCACCGAAATGTGCATGCGGAGACTTATGGTCGTGGCCTGACTTTTCTTTAGGCTGCCGTCTTCTCTCTTCTGCTCGTACTTCAAGTTCTTGAATCACTGTGTACTTCACGATACTCCAAGTCTGTGCGAGCTTATGTTGACCTGCTATTTCGGCCTGTTCTGCATTCCAGTCCAGGTCATTGAGCAATGCTTGAACCTGATCATTCAGCCGATAGGTGACTTCGCCGTCTTTCATCAAAGTGGCGTATTGTTCGGCTAAATAACGGAAAACCACCGCGTCTGATGCAACACCCTCAACTTGTCCTATCGCGCCGAGTTGATGTGGTGAGGGATGATCGCCAGATAGTGCGTTCTCAAGAGGGACGACTGTAATTTTCTCTTCCGGGTCTGGAGGCGTGTTTCCTAGTGACTTTGATATCCCCAAGGCGATTCCTTTTTGATGCCTTGGGTTTACCGTGGAAAGGTCGTTCTCGGTAGTGTCCGTGAAACTCTGGTGTCTATCAAAACCTCGTTCGTTCTCCTCTGTAAAGTTGAAAAACTCGGGTTTTTTTGCCGCCAAAGCTCTGCGTCGAGGCCGCTTTTGCACGGTAGCGACGACCTCTCCAGTCGGGCTCCAGGCAACTGCACATGTTGGTCGCCGAGTGACGACTTCGGGAACAAATCGAATATCTGTTTGAGTGAATGACCCGGCTTCGCCAACAGTCCAGAGCAAGTCACTGGATTTCCACAATAGGTCGGCAGCTGGTGTCTCGTAGCGATCGATTTCTCGGTAGGGAATGTGTGGACGTCGGAGATCCCATAGATGAATGCGAGGATCTTCTTTATCATAAGATGTAACCACTTGTGTAGATTTCCAATTTCTTTCATCAGAAAATTCAGAAACACGACTAGCCGGTCGCCATCTCACGTTGACCACTGGCTGGGGTACTCGGAATTGAAAGGTAGGCTTCTGTCTGCGTTCTGCCGATGAAGAAAAGTCCCAGACTTTGACCTGCTTATCTGTTCCTGCACTCACGAGATGCTTTCCATCAGGATGCCAGTCAACGGCATAACATGGCTTGTCATGGGCTGCAATTTTCAGCTGTGGAGCCTTGGTCTGTCGGTAATCCCAGCACTGAATGGCTCCGCTATCTGTTGCGGTAGCAAACACCGTCCCATCACCTGTAGACCATCGGATATCGCGCACGGCATCGCTATTACCACTATAGCGAGATATGCTCTGAATAGTGGCTGCGGGAGAAGCTGATCTCAAATCCCACATGCGAATTGTGCTATCTTGGCTGCCTGATAAAAGCCACGCCGAACGATGAGGGTTAAATGCCAATCTGTGAACCTGACGACTGTGACCGTTGAGCCTGGAGAGTTCCAGACCTGCTCGCTGCAGGTCATATGTGATGATACGGCCATTGGCGGCGGCAGTAGCGATAACGGTATCGAATTCACTGTGAGACCACTTCACATCCTTAATGGCAAGCTGATCTTTAAACTTAGATGCTAAGCCAGTCAAGACTTGCTTCTTTGAGGAGGCTTTGATAATAGCGTCGCGAAGATTGAACTCTTCGGAAGAACCGTCCTGAGAGACGCGAATCGTTTTGAAGATTTCTCGGCCGGCAATCACGGCGTGCGTCTTCTGCGGGGAAATGTCAAGCGACGCGATCGATAATCCGGTGCGATGTGTGACGGTCTGAGATGATCCAGGCCTTGGTTTCTCGAGTTAGCTAGACGGCTTGTTAGGGAAATATACTCAGCAACCTTACAAGGACCTTGACCTCGTCAATCTCACGCCCTGGTGATCCTCTTCGGCCAAGCGGCCAGAGCCATCAGAAGGGCTCGGTGAACGTGAGCCGGTGAAAAAGGGCTGGGTAAGCCTGGCTAAGGCGCTGGTTGCTCGATTCGAGTACACCTTGTGCGCCTGGGCCTGCGATGCTGGCGGGGGTGGCCGCAGCGGCGGTTGAGGGGCTTCTGCGTCAGGTGGTGGATCTGCCATTGTGACCTCTCATTGCGGCTGTGCGAGGTCAGGAAGACGCGCACATTACCAGCACAAGAACAAGACAACTGAGCAAGTCGATATTAGACAGGGGCGAGGTGTGTACGGTAGTTGGCTGGCAAGATGTGGAAGCTGGAGCTGTCGCGCTTGGAAATGCCCCCGGACCCACCATTCAGCCTTGCCTCTTCCTTGACTATCCTTTTTTGGTCTTTGATATCATTTATGCCTCTTATAATGAGTTATTGTCATCCATCGTGGACTAACGCAGTAATTCAACATACAAAAAATGCTCGAACTGTCTGCGAAAAAAAATACAGGCGATCAAAAAAATCAAACGTCCCCGAGTGGGGTCGAACCACTGACCTTGAGATGTTCCTCTTCATATGTAAATATGAATAATAACAGTCACACGTCTTAACCACTGGACCACGGAGACTTGTTGTCGTCGTGGCGGTAAATAAAATCTACATGCGAAAATCCAATCAGGCTTGATTTGAAACGGTAAGGTACTTGCAAGTCTTGCTGGGAATTAGGAGTAGCCACTTATTTCTACAGGAAATCATCTTGCGTGGGAAGGTGGGGGTAGACCACACCTGGATCTATTTCCTGGAGCTTACGGATATCCGATTAGCTAACCAACCTCAACACTGAAGGCTGAGGCAGCACGGTGTATTGTGGCTTTACATCGACTGGTGTCTACTTGGGATATACTAATTGGGTAAATACTAAACACCGTCTCTTTCTCTTCGAGACGTGCCGCCGGTTCATGCATCGTAGTTCTCGCATCACTTTTCTCTTTCAAGGCAGATATTCCTAGCTTTGACACCGAAAGTAAACAAAAAATTCCCAAGGTCTCATGATACCTGCCCACTGCATATGAGCAAACCACCTAGGCAAGGCGCTCAGATAGAATGCTTGCAGCCAACCCGATCAGATCGGGAGCCCATGCGAGGGGTCAGATTTGCTTGAAGCTACGGAGTACCACGCTGCAACGACAGCATAGATGCCTAATACGGGGCAACCAGATGGGCAATGTTGGAGCATCTGCCATCAGATATGTATACATATGTGTGTATGCGAGATTCCAGTTCTAATGTCTGCCTAGGCTGGGAGGAGAACAGAAACGACAATGGCATGTGTGCAATGACCTCATGTCCTTCCTAACCCATCCTAGGCCCCTTTTATTCACCTTGTTTGCCCTTGGAAGGAGTTGTCATTGTTGTCGCACTCCCAGTCAATTAGCGAGGCTTCTTGTCTGGCTGAACAGTGATATCCTTGCAGAGCCTAGTCTAGAACTGACGTTTATTAAATGCGACTACTAGATGCGGTATTTCTCCTGCAAATCGCACAAGCATGGTGGTAGAAATTCAGATGATACGTACGTAGATGCTACTACATCGTTCATGGTTTCCGATGGCCGGGGCTGCAGATAACTTGTCCTTCTCCGTATTTAATACGTAGTTTAGTTCGCGGTAAACTAGTGATTGGTTAGGGAAAATAATTCGAACGTTTGCTATTTCCAAATACCGAGTAGCCAACGTCATCTCATTGGCCGATGTATAGCCCAGGATCGCACCGCGGGAGGATATCGATTTAGTCCTCACTGAGCAAGCGTAGACAACAAGCATAACTAAGTGTGATTGAACAGGCAGATTTCCCGTTGGAATGGCACTAGAAAAGAGCCGTAAACGAAATCCTCCGTACAAAAGTTTGAGGGAATGAAGCGGTGTGTGAAATGGGCTGCAGCGTCAAGCCCGTCACAACCCTCCAGAATAGTTCTGGATCTATCTATTTTATCACTAATATTTATCAAACACCCTTTGTTGTCCGGCCCCCTGTCCAAACGAATCGAACAATGGAAATTATCTCCGCTCTTCGTCCCAGGTAGACCAAACAGAAACCCTGTACGGGGTTAAATTGGCATTGTTTTTGACAAAGAAAAGGTTGTAGACCCAAGCTGATTTAGCCAGAGTCACACCGCTCTCCTGGAGGGTTGAAACGTGATATGATTCAATCAATGTTGCTCCAACAGGGTGGAATGCAGCGGCCCTTGCGGTCTGGTATTTCCCTGTCTTTCCTGTATTTTTTGGCTTTTGACTTTTAGTTTCTGGTTGTCGCTGATGTCACATCGAAGAAACAAGGTTCGGATTGCCCGTCATATTTGTCCACACCATCCATCGATGCTCACCGCATCAGCAGAGTTGCAAAGGAAAAAGAAAAGAAGAGGAAAAAAAAAAAAAAACACGCGCGAGTCAAACAAAAAGCCTCGGCAATTTCTGCGCAAATGCTTGTTAGTTTAGACCCGTTGATCGCGTAGATATGGCTAAACAGTCCGGACTCCGGAGTCGACAGCGTCGTTCTCCGGCAGGCTGGGTAGGGTTGGGCGGCTGGCGGGACGTGCCGGCGCCCGCATACCAACCTTTGCGGGACCACGCGTTGGGCAGAGTACCGGCATCATCCTTGGATGAACGATGCATAGCTGCTAACTACCTAGGTAGGTGCTAGGTGCCAGGTGGTAGGAGGACTCTTTATCGGGAGGCGTTCTAGAAGCTCTATCTTAGACCGTTCCAAATTGCGTTTTCTTTCATACGAACCTTGGAACACGTTGTGTGTTTGTATATATACCCCGGCCTGTTGTTGCAGCTAACCAAGTATGATGAAATTGACTAGCCGAGATAAAGTGGAATAAAATAATGTACCCGTGGTTCGTCAATTGACTTGCTGACCATCATCTAATACCTGGCAAATGAATAGACTTCTGAAGGCTAGGCCAAGTCTCACAGTATGCGCTGTGCCGCCACCGTGCCCGCCAGCGATAGCAATAGTAATAGCAAAGGCAAAGCAATCTCATGCCAAGAATTGAATGAAAATAAATCAACCAATGCCGTGTATGTATGCATAATGTATGTATTGTCCATCATCATGGAGTAGGCGCATGCGGGTGGATTCCGGAGACGATATTTCAATGATTTGTTCGCTGTTCGGAGAAGAAAAGCTTGGACACCTTCCTCAAATACGAAGAACGCTTGGAGCTGTACAGGTTGTGCCGCCACGATCTCGGAACAAAAAGGAAGTTTGGGTTGGTGTGCAGAGTGCCCTAGGCCGTCTGAGTTGGTAGTGAGAAAGTCACAAGCAAACCAAGAAAAATTGGATCCCTGTCAATTACCGTGTCGTCGGCACGATTCTAGAGGACAGCTCATACGCTTGATGATATAGTTCACAATTTCGTATGGCCCTAATAAGACTAGTATTATCGCAGTAAGGAGGAACCCGACCCGCGCTGAGTGGACTGATCTGAATGCTAATATTACCGTAATAGTATCGTTGTAGACGTAGTATATGCTACATGTTTGCCGAGCGGTATAGCTTAGCGCCGATATGCTGGGTTGAAAGTCCTATATTAGCGAGTGCTTCCTTCTGCTTGGGTTGCAAAGTTGTTTTCTTCTTCTCCCTTTTCTTCTTCTCGCCTGCTCAGGTCGATGCGACTACATTCCCCGCTCCCCCTTCAACTGACTTGGGTAGTTCGTGCTTCGCCAAACAAACCGGGTTTCGCCATTCAACTTCCTCCCTAGTCTGATCAGTCTTGTGTCTGGGAGCGGTGCTGCAGATCCATCAGATCTCGGCTTCTTTGCAACAGAATTCACTGAATTGATTGGGTGGCGTGGACTCCTGGTGACCTCGTCCCAGTTCCCGCACCCGGCATCCACATTCTTCAGCGTTCACGGGACCGGCCAGAATCGCCATTCAGGTAAGGAAAGAGCCGAATCCTGTATGTACTATTTTGTTCCTAACGATTAGCAGTCCGCGCGGATAAGAAGTGTATTTCCCACCCATCAGTCGAGCTGGTCTTTCTTCTTTGCAGTGCTACTGCATGGTAGAGGTCCACTACTGGTTCGAACAATAAAGAGAAGAACGCCTTTGTACGGCTGGAAATCTAGACCCCGACCGCGGCAGCATCTGAGAAAACTCGCAGGACGCGTCCAGCCAATCATTTCCATTGACCGCGATCTGACGATTGAGCGATTTGAGTCAGTTTGTGGAGCCCGTCAGCTTTGCAGTGGACGCAAGCTACTCATTCGACGGCGGAGGGAGGCAAAAGACGCAAATTCAAGACATTTGAGGAGGGGAAGAGAAAGAGTAAGAGAGAAAGTTCAAAGCTGACGTTGGCTCGCTCCTTCCCTGTAAGTGCTGGACATCCTCCACCCGCTCCTTCCTGGAAACACAGCCCAGTGTGAGTGGCGGGCAGGTGCCCGCCCGCGGACTAGGCCCGAATCGAGAGCTCCTTCCCCTCTTGGGCTATTTTGGCTGCTAAGAAAAACCTCTGCCTCTTCCCTCTTCTGCTCGAAGAACAGCATATACCCTTTCACTACTTCTTCTTCTTCTACTACTACTATCTTAATTTTTAATCGTCGTTGTTGTGTCTCCTTGTTCTCTTGCTATCCGTCATTGCTACTTTCTTTTGTCCTCTCTTCAACTTTCATTTCTGTGTTACGGGTGGTCATCTGTTGTCTAATCTATCGTTGCTGCATGTGCTTTTCGCTGCATTCTAGGCCCGCCTTGTACAATACCGTTCGAGCTTTCGACATCTGCAATTAATATCTCTCACAAACCCTTCCTGACAGACCCTGCAGGCATTGTATGCGCCACTGAAAAGACCGCCAGACGCCCTTCGATCTCCCTCCCCAGTTTCTCCGCCTGCAATCCGCTTCTTCCTGTCCCACTCGCCGTTTCTTCTCTCCTCTGCCCACTCGACACCATTCTGTCGCTACCGATTGTGACCCAGAGCCCAAGCCCAAGCCTGCTCGAGCGTGGATCCAGTGACATGGAACCGTGCTGAACATTGGACTGTTATTACCTGCGTGCGCTTGATAAATTCGTGGAGGAATGGCGGCTCCCGGTACTGTGGGAATGCCAGACATGGCGCTCTCCTCAGATGCTCTGGAAACTGCCCGAAGTCTGCTGTTTGCTTTGCAGATAGCCTCGCCAATTGCCCTTTTGTTGGCCTTTGTGACGGCCTTCATTGTCTGCTCAATATTATCCGCCAGGCAGTTGACCCCCGCTGTAAACACAGCATGTGGCCCCGGGGGTCGACCGCTGCCCAAGCGGACAAGGAGCACTATGGCGGTATTGAAAGACCGCCAGAATGTCTCACCTCGATTCCGACTTGTCTTCCAATGGCTCTCGCTAGCTGTGCTTTTGACATTCCTGGTCGATGCCGCCATTAATGTCTCCCATGCCATACTCTACCGCTCCCAGCACTGGTGGCGTGGTCAGGCAACGGTGGTAAGTTTCTTGCAACACGACATTGATTTCCTATGAAAGCCCAGCTAAACTTCCTCTGCTCTTCCCACTGCAGATCTACATTGTCGGCTGCTTTTTTGTGCATGCCTTGATTCTGATCTCGCTTGTTGATGCAAAGCCCTCTCCAACAGGGGCCCAATTTGCCCCATGGACACTGGCTCTCTTGCTCGATGCGATTATTTGGACGGCTTCATTGGCCATATACAGCAACCCACACAATGAACCAATAGTAGGTGACCCTCAGGGTGGCCCATGGCGATACGGTATAACTTCTTGGGAGGCTCCCGAATTGGCTGTGAATGCAATTCGTTTAATCCTCCTCGCAGCCCTCATCTTCCTTTATATTATCTCTACCATCCGTAAATCAACTAGCCGTAAAGCCAATCCTCGTCTAGCCGGGGAGGCTGGGGAGACCAGAGGTCTTTTGGATTCTTCGGAAGAAACTGCAGGAGCCAACGGATCGGCATATGGCACGACACATGCTAACGGTCACTCATCACCACCGCAAAAGCCAGTTGATCCGTGGGTGCGGCCAACGACTGTGCCCTCGACGAGTTGGTGGGAATATCTTAGCGGCTACTCGCTTTTCTTCCCCTACCTCTGGCCATCCAAGTCCCGCAGACTTCAACTGGTTGTGGTCATCTGCTTCGGACTTATCCTACTGCAACGTGTTGTCAACGTGCTAGTGCCTTATCAAGTTAGCGTCATCACCAATATTCTGTCAGACGAGGAGGGAGACAACTTGCGAATACCGTGGTTTCAAATTTGCTTATATATCTTTTACCGCTGGCTACAAGGCAATCAGGGTCTTATTGGATCCTTGAGATCAAGCCTATGGATTCCGGTTAGCCAGTATTCTTACATGGAATTGTCTACCGCTGCGTTCGAACATGTCCACAGCCTGAGTTTGGATTTTCACCTGGGTAAAAAGACCGGAGAAGTCCTGTCAGCTTTGAGTAAAGGCAATTCAATCAACACGTTTCTTGAGCAGATCACATTCCAGGTTGTGCCAATGCTAATCGACCTCGGAGTTGCAATTGGGTACTTCCTGATTGCCTTTGATGCATACTATGCCTTAGTCGTGACTATTGTCACATTCTGCTATCTCTATGTGACAGTTCGCATGGCACAGTGGCGAGCTGAGATTAGGCGAGAAATGGTGAATGCTTCTCGACAGGAGGATGCTGTCAAGTGAGACACATAGTAAATGCCCAAGTGTTCCTACATTCGCTAATTATTCTAATCTCACAGGAACGATTCTATGATATCATATGAAACCGTCAAATACTTCAATGCAGAATCTTACGAGTTCAGTCGTTACCGTACCGCCGTCAACGATTTCCAGAAAGCTGAATACCATGTCCTGTTCTCTCTTACATTGATGAATACGAGTCAAAATACCGTGTTCATGCTGGGTCTCCTCGTGACGTGTTTTATTGCTGCTTATCAGGTGTCAACGGGCGAACGCAAGGTTGGCCACTTCGTAGGTCTTTTATTTTACATGGCCCAACTTCAAGGGCCGCTGAACTTTTTCGGCACCTTTTACAGGTCCATCCAATCAGCCTTGATCAATTCGGAGCGCATGCTGGAACTTTTCAGAGAACAGCCAACTGTTATCGATCGACCTAATGCCGTGCCGATGGGCTGTTGCGATGGCGGAATAGTTTTTGACGATGTCCACTTCTCGTATGATAGCCGCAAGCCGGCTCTCAGTGGACTGACATTTGAGTGTCGACCAGGCACGACCACTGCCCTAGTGGGGGAATCAGGAGGTGGTAAATCTACAGTATTCCGCCTTCTTTTCCGTTTCTATGACGCCAAGACTGGAAACATTCGCGTTGATGGCAAAGATGTTCAAAACGTTACTATCGACTCGTTGCGCCGCCATATTGGTGTGGTACCTCAAGATACCGTCCTGTTCAACGAGACTTTAATGTACAATTTGAAGTACGCGTGCCCAGAGGCGACAGATGAACAGGTTTACGAAGCATGTCGCGCGGCTAGCATTCATGATAAGATTCTTTCGTTTCCTGATGGCTACTACACTAAGGTGGGAGAGCGTGGCCTCCGACTAAGTGGTGGGGAAAAGCAACGTGTTGCTATTGCTCGTACAATACTGAAGAATCCTCGCATTATCCTCTTGGACGAAGCAACTGCAGCTCTTGACACTGAAACCGAAGAGCAAATTCAAGACGCCCTTTCGACCTTGTCAAAGGGACGTACGATGCTTGTTATTGCACATAGATTGAGCACTGTCACCGACGCGGATCAGATTTTGGTTTTGAGTGACGGCCAAGTCTCGGAACGTGGTACTCATGAGGAACTCCGAGACCTCAATGGCCGGTACGCCAGCATGTGGCGCAAGCAGATACGGGCACAGAGGGCTGCGGAGCTTCGTGGTGCAACAGTGACCGATGATAGCTCTAGTCAGTCAGAAGGAGAAAGAAAGGCAAAGATTAATCGAGAGCTACCTGCTCGACGTTCAAGTCGAGCTGGGGATGCTCAAAATTCCCAGAACCGGTCATCATAAGGGCTAGATTTGACTTCTTATTGAATTTGTGCCCTCGTCTCCGGGCCGGCCTTTATACCTTTTATTTTGCGCCATTCTTCTTCTTTTTATTTCTAACTTGTTTTCTGACTCTTCTTTGACCTCATTGATACCTTTTTGTTCTGCTTTTTTTTTTTTTACATAATATCTCCTTGCATCGTGGCTTGGCCTTGAGTTATCTGCACTATACGAAAGTTGTTTCTGCTATGCATAGGATGCATAATAGCAGATGTGAACGTCATGTTTGTACACCTCTCTATCGGTTGCATCGGATCAGGATGCACAAAAAATATATTCTTGGGTTGTAGATAGATTTTTTCTACCTTCTGTCACCTAGTACATCAGCAATGAATATAGTGTCAGCTAACGATCTTGAGTTCTCTGAAGTATTAAGTCAAAGATTGAAGGATGCGGTTACAAATCCCGCGCTGCTGGTTGGTTAGCCTCAGGCCCACATGCAGCTAAGTAAGCTATGACATCCGTCTTCAACCATTTTCTCCCTCATATACCTATATAACTATTCTATCTTCTTTTATTTGTTTTATTTTCAACAATTGAGAACGAACAACCAATAAGTTGTCCGCCCAAAAAAATTTTTTTTCCACAACAAAATGCACCCGCCGTCCCTCCAACTTTTGCGTGCTTTGCGCACGTCGATAACGAGCGATTTCCGTCAATTCCATCCTCGGTTGCCTTCTTCATTTCGCCCAGTGTCACCATGTCGCAAATATAGTAGTGCCACTCACAGGCCTTCTCAAATAGCCCCTCGCCGTCAACCGTCAAAGCCCCAATCGCATGACCGCGGCCCAAGGTCGGAGGAAAAGACCCAGACTGATTTCACGGAGCTGAATGTTTTGGGAAACCTGCCCACTCCGGCAACTGCAGTTGATGCGTGCTTGGACGATGGGTTTCACTTGGATAACGGCGTCAAGATTACTAGTGGTGATGGAGTATTACTTGTAGCTGGCGAGGCTTTTGCCTGGAGACCCTGGCAATTGCTGAAACAGAATGCGCAGGATATTACTGGCGGTCATGCGAAGACATCCATGGTAAATGGGAAGGGACAGTTTGAGATACCGGAAGAAGCGTGGGGACTCTTGAGTGTGGTTTGGCCTCGACCTGGTGAGTGATCATTCAATGCTTTGATTCCTTGCTACGTTACGGTCTTTTCGGGTTGGTTGAGCTAATATGACTTTCTTTCTCTCCTCCAAAGACATCCTCATTTTGGGCCTGGGATCTGGTATCATTCCCTTATCGCCTCAGACCAAGAGGCATATCAACTCGTTGGGCATTAGAGTCGAGATCCAGGATACTCGCAACGCATCAGCACAGTTCAACTTGCTGGCAACCGAACGCGGCGTCACTGAAGTCGCAGCAGCCATGATCCCAATTGGATGGAGAACTCGATAGGTTGACGTACTGTCTGGGTGCTACTGTGTAAATATTGTACGATAATTCAGAAGTTAGACTGCATAGGAATGGATGGTAGAAGAGTGAATCTCCTTTTGTGCTCTTGAATGCTTGAATACAGCTGTTGTGGTGTAGTATAATTCCGACTGTTACTCCGCTTTGAGGCGGCGCCAAGCTCTGATTGCGGCCTGAGGAAGCTCCCTCCGCCTTCCTTCCCTTGCTGCATCATCTCCTCCCATGCACGTAACATCGACATTCCTCAGTCGCTTCTGCCCTTTGTCCACGGATCCAGACAGAAGTTACCACTGGCCATAGTTTCACGAAACCATGTCGCGTGAGGAGCCCTTGCTCGCTCCACGCCATTCCTCCGAGCACTCGTCGATCCGCAACGAAGACGAAGAAGACGCTCTCTTGACAGGCGAGCGTACAAACCGCTTCCGAGATGGCCCACAGCGAGACTGGTCCTTCTGGCGACAGGCCGGCCTGTTTGCCTGGTCACTCATAGCCACCCTGGCCGTCATAATCCTTGCTGTTCTGTACCAGCACAAGGTAACTACACCGCAAACTGGGTCGGACGGACTCACCTGGGGTCCTGGAGGCAAGCCTGTGGGAAAACGCAATGTTATCTTTATGGTCTCGGATGGAATGGGTCCAACCAGTCTGTCCTTGACACGCAGTTTCCGCCAGCTCGAGCTGGGTCTCCCTGCCAATGATACCCTAGTTCTAGACCGGCACCATGTTGGAACCTCGCGAACTCGTTCGTCGTCAAGTTTGGTCACGGACTCAGCCGCTGGTGCAACTGCGTTTTCTTGTGGCCACAAAAGCTACAATGGTGCTATCTCTGTCCTACCAAACCACACAGCCTGTGGAACTGTGTTGGAAGCGGCACACCTTGCAGGTTACAAGACAGGGCTGGTCGTCACCACACGCATTACTGATGCTACACCCGCATGCTTTGCATCGCACGCAAACCGACGAGAGTACGAAGATCTTATCGCGGAGCAAGAAATTGGTGAACACCCCCTGGGCCGGGTCGTAGATTTGATTCTCGGAGGTGGCCGATGCCACTTTCTACCGCGAGACGTCGAGGGCGGTTGTCGTGCAGATGACAGGAATCTTGTGGAGGATGCGCAGGATAAGGGCTTTCATTATATTCAAGACCGAAACGCATTTGATGGCCTTAACGAAGGCCAAAATGCCAAGCTCCCGCTGTTGGGTCTATTTGCGGAAAGGGACATCCCCTATGAAATCGATCGTCGATTTGTTGGCGATACTTACCCTTCTCTCGAGGAGATGGCTCGTACTGCGCTGTCTGCTCTCAGCAAAGCTACCGAGGAAAGCGACAAGGGCTTCTTCATCATGATCGAGGGTTCCCGGATTGACCATGCCGGCCATGGAAACGACCCGGCAGCACAAGTGCACGAAGTCCTCGCATATGACAAAGCGTTTGCTGCTGTACTGGAGTTCATCGAAAAGGACGATACCCCCACTGTCCTAGTCAGCACCTCTGACCATGAGACAGGTGGACTCGCTGTCGCTCGGCAATTGCACAAGTCGTACCCGGAATACAAATGGCTTCCAGATGTTCTAGCCAAAGCTAAGCATTCCGGTGAATATCTCCAGAAAAAGCTGAACGAATATCTTAGCTCAGATGGCAAGGTCGATAGCCAGAAGGAGCAGCGTGAATATCTACGCGAGTCACTCTTGAAGCAGGGATTAGGCATTGAAGACGCCACTGACGAAGAGGTTGATTCGCTGCTTCAGACTGACAACGAGGTTTCGCCCAGCTACTTGTTTGCCGACATGGTCAGTCGGCGTGCTCAGGTTGGCTGGACTACACATGGACATTCAGGTAGGTCGTAGACAGCATACACAGAAAGTTATTCCAGAAACAAGATTGGTCTGGGCTAATCACTTCTTTCTCAACTTAGGCGTCGATGTCAATATTTATGCGTCGTCGACAAAGGACGCCTGGCCATTGCATGGCAACCACGAAAACACCGAAGTTGGTGATTTCCTGGCCGCGTACCTCGACCTTGATGTGGAAGCTGTCACACAAAAGCTGCAGGAACAAGCCACGCTGTCCTGGCTGGGTGATCCACTGGGAGCTGATATTCGAGTCGAGCATCTGGACAGCTACCATGGAGATTTCCGCAAGCGTGGAGAGATCTGCAACTGTGGCCAGCACTAACTATTGGTATATAGATAAAGGGAAGAAACTGTCATTTATTGTATAGTATAAGATGACATGCATGTTTATTTAGGTTGTTGTTGTTGTTGTTGTTGCTTGTTTGTAGGTTTTTGCACCAAGGCGGCGTTGGGAGATTATGAATTCACCTTCACAATAACACGAGCTTCTTTTGATTGACTATTTAGACTCATCACAACACTTGCAAGGAACTGACCAGACCTGTAAACCTGTTGAAAAGCATAAAACCAATCCTCTTTTTTTCTTTCTTGTGAGCTTTGATCTTGTCATTTGCTTAGTGCTCACTCTTATTTTTTTTTCCTCCTTCGTTCCTTTTCTTTGTTCTCTTTTCTCACAAACTCAGACACACACACAAAAAGCACTTTCTTTTCACTTCACCCCGCCATTTCATCTACCAAGAGAAAACACCATCCATCGTCATCACTATAATCACTTCTTTAATCGCTGTCATCATCATCTTTCCATCTGCAAGCAACACAGCAGTGACTGATCCTTCTCAATCCTCTCCCCCCTCAGCCTTGTCAGCTGGCTCCTCATTCTTGACAGCAGAGTCACTGGTCGAAGCCTTCGATCTCGACCTCAAGGCCGACTGCCAACGCTCTGACAGACGCTGCACCGTGCTTGCACGCTGTCTAGGCCTAGTCTCTACCGTCGTTGCCTGAGCCTCAGTAGTGGGCTGTACTGGTTCTGCTGGTGCTAGTGGTCTGTTATTTCTCGCAGCCGTTGCTGCAGTAGTAGCAGCAACAGCAGATCGACGCACTCCCTTCCTCAATTTTAGTGCCTGCATTTCCAACCGACTGGGCCGATACTTGCTGGGCGTATAGGCCGGCAGGTTGCTGCGGTCGTTGTCATTGGGCTCCGCAAACCTCACATTCTTGTCCCGTGAACGCTCCTTATTGGGGGAGGCAGTCTTCTGGAACAGACGAGGAATAGCAACCTGCTGGCCGTTGGTGTTGGTCGTGAGAAAGGGGTCTTCTGGCATACCAAGGTTTCGGACGATACGACCTCGAGAACGGTTCTGCTGATACATAGTGTTATCGCCATCGCCATTGCCGTTGATACTGTTGTTGGTTGTGTTGTAGTAGTGGCCATTGTTGCTACTGCTGCTGATAGGATAGCCGTTGTGGGTGTAATTTGCCTGTGTGTTGTGGTACAGGGTCTGGGGCTGCTGTTGAACGATCATAGCTCCGTTTTGATCCCCATTCTGGTCTGCCATTCCCATAATACTGGGTCCATGCATGTTTGTCAGATTCGCATCTGCGTTTGAGTTTAGGATTCTCGGGTCTACGGGCACGGGCATATCCGCATCCATTCCATTCATAGTCGTGTTCGTGCTCATGTTCGTGGTGCCCATGAGCATAGGATCGACATTGGCGTTGACATATCCGGCTTGACTTGGGAGAGTCGACAGCTGCTGATCAGGGGGTTAGGAGGAAGAAAAGTGTACTCGACTGGAAGCATCAGCTGAACTGCTCACCTCTGCACGGGAGTTGTCGAGGTTGTTGTTCCCATTATTCACGTACTGAAAGTACGCGTTCATTCTACTGGCATCGAGGATATACTCGCTGCTCAGGCCGAAATCGGGTTGCGTTTGGTGGATTTCTGTCAGTGTCTGGGCTGTTGCAGTGCAGTTGGCACATAAGCCTGAGATTTGACTTGGGTTGCAGGCAGGGATAGAGATTTGTGCGCCAGCCAGTCCGTTCTTGTCTTTGTCTTCGGCTTGTTGCAATCCCTGGGGGGGATGCTGTTGCGAAGGCAGGTAGCTGGCGGTTGCTGCTCTTGCATGATCTGGAAGAACCACGTTGTATTGAACAATATTACCGGCGTCATTGCGTTGAGGGTCACGCAGACGCGGCATGCATGTTGCTCCTGGTACTATTGAAGAACTGCCAGTTAAGGTTGCTGGGTTCAGAAAGTTTTTGCAGAAGACCACGATTTGGAAGTCGGTGTGCCCACAGAGAGCGTAGCGGTAGGCACCGAAGAAACACATTTTTCCTTTTTTTCCCCTCCCAAGAAGGCAGAAACAATCAGCCCTCGATCGAGTACTAGGTGGGGGGACAAAGGTATCTCCTTTTCTTTTCAAAACGAAGATGGAAAATGGAACATACCAGCAAGATCAAAGTCAATAATATATCTCGAACAGTTCGAAAAGAGTATTGACAAACTCGATCACGACAATGATGAAGAGGACTAGAACAAGCAATCCAAAGAAGAACTCTTGCCTGGGCATAGCACTGAGAATGACAAGGGCAATTAGAAGAGTTCTCATCACTCACCCTTTCACTTGCTCAGAAGAAAGCAAGATCAGAATGAAAGAAGGGCAAGAAAGAAGAAATCTAGAAAGAGAATGCTTGATACCAAGAGGTGGTCACAGTAAATGTGTGGTAGCAGAGATGTGATTGCCAAAGGTGATAGCTAGGGTGACAAGAAAAAGTTGAGAGAAGAAAGAAGAGACACAAAGAAAGGGAAGAAGGAGGGAAAGCTTGCTGCACTGTGTGTTATATGCCTATCGTCCTGGCGATGAAGACTCTATGGAAGATGATGTCGACAATAACAACAGGAGGAACGATGTAAACGTCCATTTTCATTTGTTAGCAGTAAAGCTTCAAGTTCCAGGCTGTAGAAACACTTTGATATTAAGAGAGCATTCTTATACATCCCAAATAGGAAAGATTCAAAAACTTCCTAATTGCGTAAGTGTGGTTAGGGTTAGGTTTGGCACAGCTTTAACAATCACATATCTGCAAGTTACTCTGCACACATTAGCCCTGTTTTATGCATTTACTATATTCTGCACCCCAGATACTTGACTATCTGCAGTTTGGTGAGGCTTGTGTAGCAGATAGTAAACCGGTCAGTAAACATGGAAGAAATACATCTACTAATCTACTAGTCAAATCATGGGATAGGATCAAAGAACGAAAGATCACCAGATTCATGATCAAAGGTTTATTTACAAATCAAAAGCAGTAACCACAGATGAAGAAGGGAGCAGTCAAACAAAGATAAAAGATCGTAAGAAAATAAAAAATATTATGCCATAGAGATGTGGCCATCAAAATAAACATGTTCTGGTATCCTCAGATTCGATACATCGAAGACCGGGTAGCGAATCATCATCATGTCGTGTGCAGAAAACCTACGAACAAGAAGTTAAAGAACAACCAAAGCGATGACTGCGACCAGGACAGCGAAAATCGAGCTTTGGAACACGTGCTCATTGACTGCAGCGGCTCCGGTTTGGGTGGAACCTCCCTGGCTGAACCCGGTCGAAGAGACATGGCTACCAGATGATGTGCTTGAGCCCTGGTTGCTTTCGGCTCCAGAACCGCCGCCGTTCGAGCTAGGAACAGACACTGCAGTATTTGTAGCAGACGTGGCTGTGGCTGTTGAAGAACCCGCAGTCATGTTGAGGCCCGTGTCATCAAAGTTGTTCAAGATAGTGGCGTTGTTGACAATCTCGACGGTATTGTTTGTGACCGTGTAACTGGTGTAAATGTACGAGTTATTGCCCTGGATATTGGCACCACTAGGGGGATCGTAGCAGGTGATGCTAATGTTGCGGAAAATGGCATAGTAGTATCCGGGATCCTGCATATCCTGACTATCCCAGTTGATTGGACCACCAGCCCAAGTAATAGTACCTTCTCCTTGATTCGATGCACCACCAGGCCAGAGAGAAAGTTCCAAGCGAGCCGGGGTCTGAGGGTACTCGTATTGATTGGTGGTTGAATTATAGGTTTCGTTTCTGTTCAGAACGCGGATGGATTCACCATCCAGATACCAAGTGATGGAATCCGGGGTCCAGTCAAGTTCGTAAGTATGGAAATTTTCGAATGAGTCGGAGGATATGGTACCATTCACCGCATTGTCGTCTTGATGCGCACTCGGTTAGCTTGTTATCCCCTCGAATTGGGGACGAGACAATTAACTTACAGTCCAAAATGCCCTGGAAGTAGTAATTTGTCTGCGCGGTGGTCAAATTGGCACCAACAAACTCGTAGTCGATTTCGTCTTTCACGTCGGACAGCAGGATAAAAGCGGTGATAACACCGGCATCGCGAGATGTTTTGAATGTTCCGGAGACCTTTCCGTACCAAATATAGTGGTTGTAAGACACCAGCGCACCACCGCTGTTGTTGGGCATGGTCAGGACAAGGTCCCCATTATCGGTGAGCAAGGTTCCACTGTATACCCAGTCGTAGTCGCTGGCGTTTCCGAGGTAATCATAATTCTTTGCCAGGGAGTCTAGATTGTCCCAGCTGTCAAAGGACTTGCTTTCGCAAATCGGCTCAGGGGTACACGAGTCCAGAGAAAAGGAGTATCTCGGATCGCAGCCACCGAGGCAGTAAGCACCAACACCACACTCTCCGTACTCTGCAAGCATTCAATCGAGCCGATGGTTAGCCAGAGACGTCGGCTTTCAGAGATGGGGGGCGAGCTTTCACTCACGGGAACAGCACGGAGCGTCGGAGGGGCAGTTGGAATCGCCAGTGCTGCCACAGGAGATGGTAGCCGAAGCCACTGAAGCAGACAATGCCGCAACAGCAAGAGCAGCCAAACGGAACATTGCGAAGAAAGCTTTCGTTCGCTCGCAACTATATACTAAACGTTGGATCCACACAAGGCTGGCCTCGCTAAAAGATGGCAGGTGAAAAAAGAGGGGAGGGGGTGCAGGACCCTAAACGATCGTACGAAGAAGAAAAAAAAAGAGCAAAGCACAAACAAAAGCGAGCGGCGTGTATAACGAACAAAATGTCGAAGAGTTGCAGATGAGGCACAAAAGAGGCTCGGAAAGGACGGGGCAGAGGCGAAGATACTAAATAGACTAGCCTGATCCCTGTTGTCTTACGCTAGCCAGGAACAGGCCTAGCGGGCCCCGGATCGCGCGCTGATTGGCGGTTCAGCCATCCACATGGCGGGGCGCTCTATTGGCTGTGGGCGCATCGCCGCCAGTCAGAGGAAGGAGCGACGGCCCCCCAGAGGAAGGTGCCGCCGGGCTCTGAGACATGCCAATGCGGTTAGCGCGTTCTCTTTTCCTCTCTTTCTCCCTCTTCCTTTTCTCTTCTCTTTTCTCTCAAGTTACTTTGACTCTGTGCGTTGACATACATGACTCGCCGATCAAGAATGAATCCAAGGCAGCCCTGACGCCATTGGCCCGAGCCTACCCCTGGATAGGAGATACTGATAGATCGACGCCTCTGTTGCAAGGGATATCAACGATAGTCATGATCGTACGGAGTATATGATATGCATATATACCAGTTGATAGGTAGCTGTAGTTAGCACTATAGTTAGTTATAGTTAAGTTATGCAGTGAGCTGATTACTAAGTACGTAGTAGATGTGCAGGCAGCCAATCAAATCGACGCCATGTGATCATGCTCCTGCCTCATGTGTCATTCATTTGGTCTAACTATCTAGAGACTCCTTTTCACTTCCCTTCCCAGAAAACAAAACCATTATGCCCCGAACATCTGACCGCTAGCTCTCTGCCGCCTCCAGAGCGAACTGCTCGTGGCAATCAAGATAGGGAAAACAAACGTAAACAATCACCCAACGAACATGAGGCCAACCAACATGGGCCGCCCCTGATGGCAACCCCCATCCAACCAAACAACGTCCAAAACAGAAAACTGGAGGAGCAAGCCAGACGAATGACAAGAAAAATGGAAGAGAAGAAAAGACCCAGGCTGCACGGTTTCCTTGTCCTCAATGGCTAAATTCTTCTAGCGCTCCCATGCCCCAGATGGCCCCAACTGCTCGAACTGGCGGTGCGGCGGCTGTACATGGTATCGAAGCTGCGTGGTCAACTGAAGTTCCTTCTCGCACGGGTCGGACGAGTATGTCACCGTCAGATCTTCATAGCAGCCGCGGTTGGAGCGCCAGTTCGTGAAAGTCTGCATCACTTTGCGAGCGACTGCAACGCTGAAGAAGACTGCCGTAGCTGTTGGCCGATGAGTCAGTATCCTGAGAGCAAAAGAGAATGATATTATCGTGACATACCGTTTCCAGTGTTGAATGCCCATACAAAGTCGACATTGCCGGCGCCTGCAACATCTTCCACTTCGCGGACCCATTTCAGGTAGCTTGCATGGTCTGCAATGAGTCGAGACTTCACAAAAGTGAGACGGCGCCGTTCACGATAAGGATGGCACATCCGCCTGAGTGTGTCGGTCCATTCTAGCGGCTGGCCGAGACTGATAGTCCAATCCCCCTTGCCAAAGATAGATTCGCCGCGAGTCGCCATTGACTCGGTGTTACGGTCAACGAAGATTTGAGCGTGCAAAGCGTACTGAAAGACGGCGATTGCCTTGTGATCGTCAATTACGCTCAAGTCATAAATGGCACCTTCATGAATGCGTGTGGCCACAAAACTCAAGAATCGAGGGATGCTTCTATTCGGTCCTTCCAATACGACAACCCCGGCTTTACCGTCCTCAAGGAGACCGTTCTTGTTGTCATCTTGGCGGCTAGTGTTGGATGTCGTCAGTTCAACAACATCCTTAACTGCCGCCGCCTTGACACGATTTTGAGCACGAATGGGCTGGTAGGGTCCAGTAGTCTGTTTCGCAGCTCTGGTGACCCGGAACACGCCGCGCTCGACCAACTGATCCTTGGTTGCGGAAGCAACCCGGGCCCAGGTATTCTCAGAGGCAATGGGACGCTGTGATACTTGCTGTCCAAAGTCCAATGTGGGAGGAGGTGCTTGAACGGTCTGCTCAGCAGCCACAGGGGCCGCTTGAGGGACTGGGAGAATCCCGAATCCAAGCCCAGCATTCGAAGCGGTCTGTCATATGTCAGTTCCTCGTTCACATTATTATTAATACTTGGGGAAATCACTTACCGAGAATTGCTGCTTTTGTGCTTCCTTGAGCTGGAGCGATACAGCGCTGAAAATGGTGACCAACTCAATGCTCAACTGGCCAATTCGGTTGGCTTCACCGTTGTAGCCTTGCTTGCGAAGCTACTGCAATCAGCCTCACGTGTTCTAGGTGTTTTGCTTCTTAGTATCAGACTTACCTGCTCAGCAACTTTGGCCAAGTTCTGCAGAGCCTCGCTTACGCGTGATTCCAGCATCTCGACAGGCTCGACTTGCTCCATGTGTATTGATTTCTGGGAGACGAGAAGTGAGTCGAGGGGTGCTTTCTTGCGATTTTTCTCGAGTAAACGCGCTAAGAGAATGCAGACGGGCTCAGGCAGTCAGTCCGAGCGGGGCTCGCAACTTCGTCGGTCTGTTGTCAACTCTCGAATCGCAGCTATCTCACTCGAATTCTTTAGAAAAGACACACGGATCAACAATAAGGGATTCCTTTCTTGCAAGGATGGAATGACTCGAAGAAGGATGACAAAAAGAAAGAGCACACAAGAGATGGAAGAAGCCAACCTTGAGGTGAACAACAGGGATTATCTGAGAGGAAATTTTTTTTTGTGTGTGTGTGTGTGTGTGCACATGTGAGAGAGGAAAAAAGGGGGAGCTTCGTTGATTGCTAATCAGCAGATCAGCAGACCTAGTTTCGTGTGTGTTTCCTTGTTTGTTCTTCATTTCACCAGACAAAGGTGTTCATCCAGAGGCTGAGATAGATGGTTCCGGATTACCAGGTGGTGCTAGCAACAGCCACCAGTGAGCCTCTTATTGGTGCAGTGAATGCAGCGAGCAATGGTTAAGATTACAGGGTAACGCTGGGCTTCACTGTTGCCTGGTTGAGAGGGGAAATTGATCTCTTTGTATGCTGCAGTCTTGCGCAGGTGGCAATGTCATGTATGCTGGAATTAGGGCTTATCGAATTAGGGCTAGGGATCCGGACTCAGATGTATAGGCAAAATTCTTCCTTCTTGCCAAGTTCCTAGCATTCATCTCAGCTTTACAACAAAGAAATAACTATCATATATCTTGTTTTGAAGGCATGTGACTCATTAAATTTGCACAAAGAGTCTTCCATCGCTGAGGGGGAGGGGGTTACAGCTGGCCTGAGGCTCACATTAACATTCACACCATCACAAACACCCACAATCACAAATGTATCAACCTAGCAAGCTGCGCCGCTTCAATTCCTTCAACATGGCTGCCCTGGTGTCCCTTGTCCTGGAGGCTGCATCTCGATTCTCATGGCCCCTCCGGAGAAGGTACTTGGTGCATTCTCCGACTGTGCCCCAGACAAGATACTTATATGGCTGTGGAATTTCACCGGACAGTTGCCTGCCAGATGTGTGTTTTGTTCCTCCTGCTGCTGTCATTGAATGATGGACCAGCTCACAGCTGATATCGTCTGCCATGCCTTGAAGCTGCCCATAAACCATCTTGATCAATGGCTCTCCCCGCCGGGCCTGTTCGTCGCGAAGAGCTCGGGCTTTTGCCACGGACGCGCGATTATGACCTGCTAGCACTAGATCTGCTTGGGGGAAAGAAGGGGGCGGAGCTGCTGCTGTTTCTTCGCGTTTCAGGAAATCGTTGTATTGTCTCGTGATTAGGCACTGCGCGATAGTGTCGTAGGAATGATCAGTCTCCGATTTGGTGGGCCAGAAGAGATGACGAGGGTCGCTATTGAGATACGCCCCTCGGACGAGTTTCACGCCGAGCACGAATGATTCTCTCTGCGAGATTGCGAGGTGTCTCGCAAGTGTCTTCGGGGTAGACTGAAGATAGGCCTGATATGTGTTATATATAAGAGCGTGAGGCTTCCCCTTCATAGTGAACGACCCGTTATATTTCCGCTGCAAGTCAAGAACCCAAGCATCGATAGTATCCTGGACAGCATGCTGCTCAGCATCAAACAGAAGCAGGATCTTACGCTCTCTAGCCTGGTCACAGATTTCCGTTATGGCCCTTTCAAGATCCGGGGATGGCGGAAGACCATGGACGAGATGCCGGAGTGCATGTCGACCAGCACCGGTGAATTTCAAGGCCACAAAGTCGCCTTCCTGGGCCAGCTCGACGGTCTGCATGGTGCCCCGTTTCCATTCGTCGATTTCGCGCAGGCGTCGCTCTTCCTCGGCGGCTTCTCTCCCGGTCTTGACGGATTGTGCCCCCATCTTCGACGCCTCGTCTCCATCCATAACGACTTCTCTGGCATAACCCAGAATCACGCCTGCGTATCCGAGCTGCTTCAAATCGGACATTGTCTTCCGGACCTCCGCTGGTGTCTCTCCGGCACAAAACTGCGAGTATATAGTCTGGCGAAGGAGAGACTTTAGAACGCCATTCTTATCTGGGTTCAGGATGGCGGACTTGGAGTGTGCCAGAACTGAGAGCGAGCTTAGAGCTGGCCCCAGTAGCGCTGGTACTGAGGTGCATGTGGTGATTGCCAACGAGCGTAGCACGGTGCTTAAAGGGAGGATGGCCAGGGATGATGGCGGTGACGGAGACAAGGCATGGTCTTGTTCTGTCTTTTGAGTGTGCTTTTGAGGCGCGAGTGTAGAGTGTTTGGCGTGCTGGATGATGCCAATGGATGGCTCTGTTGCAGCTGGTGCTACCCCACGGCCGTCGCTCACTTGATGGCCAAGGGAGTAGTGATGTCGGCGGTTAAAATGATATGGTGGTTTGTAGACAGCAATATCAACATGCCAGTTCTGTGACGAAACCTGACTGTGTAGACTACGAGAGAACGTCTTTCTGGGGCTTGAAGAGAGCAGCATGGTTTTGATATGACCTCGGTTTTTCTAGGCCAGACCGGGGACAGAACAATACCTGAATGAATGCTCCTGGAAAGTTCGGCCTCTTCTTAAATAATCTATTCTTTACCTATACCCTCTTAGCAGCTGCAGCCCAAGTGCGACCTCTCCTAGGTATTCTTTTCGGGCAGGCCAGAGGAGGGGTGGTTGATAGCACCGGCCCGGTTGACGCTTTCCAAGTAGCCGGGACAGCTGGCAGTCGATGTATGACTACGACCTCGCTGATTGGTTAGAGTCAAGTTGTCACTGCTGTATACAAGTATGTATAAATGCAAATAACTATACCCAACTGCTCCGCCACCGGCCAGTTCATGTATGTGCATCTCCGTAGATCCGTAGATCCTAGATCATCAAGGTATTTATTTATATATTGTCATCTAAGCGAAGAAAATCATGCATATTAGAGGAATATCCTATTCATGAGAGGCAGGCCAAAGTCGAGGTTCGCCGGGATATAGGCACAGGTCATTCCGACAGAGGCGGGAAATTTCTTAAGAAGCTGGAGGGGAAGGGGGTGAAAAAAAAAAGTCAGACAACATTCTGAAAGTGTACAGAAGGGTAAAACTCACTGCGAAGGACACTCGTAACCATTCGGATTATGCTCGAGATAAAGCTGATGATACTCCTCGGCATCCCACCATTTCCCCGCCGGCACAATCTGCGTGGTTACAGGCTGCTTGTACCACTCCTTGGCCACCTTGTCCGTGATTTCTCTGGCTATCTGCGCCTGGTCGTCGGTATGCGTGAATATGGCGCTGCGGTACTGTGTGCCCACGTCCGGGCCCTGTCTGTTCGCGGTGGTGGCGTCGTGCATGCGGTAGAAGAATTCGAGGAGTTGTCGGTATGTGACGATGGAGGGGTCGAAGGTTATCTGGAGAGCTTCGGCGTCTATACCCAGCAACTATTAGTTAGCACAGTGATCCGAGTAGAGTTTCAAGGAAGAAAGCAAGACACATACGTCCCGTATCCCCAGAGCACACCTGCCGATATGTCGGCGACTCTGTCTTCCCACCAGCATAGCCAACCTTGGCATCTAAAAGACCCTTCCCGTTCGCGAAATGCTTGCGATATAGATGCTCGACGCCCCAGAAGCAGCCTGCAGCCAAGGTGGCCTTTTGCGCGTTGTCGGGCATGGTGACGAAGCTATTACTGTTTTGGCGCGGAGTGGCGACGGAGAATGCGGCGGCGGCACTATTTGCAGACGCAGAGAGAGGTCGGAATAAGCGTGAGAAGATGGAAGTCATGATAGCGTCTGGAGTGGAAGGGCAGATGATGGAAAGAAGAAGAGGGAAGAGTAGATGGATAGAATAGAACCACGTACGTTGTTGATTAGTAACTGTAGTTGAAGAAGGCAGCTTGGCCGGTGGCGATCAGATTATAAGCTTCGTGAACCGTAGAAATGTTATGGCTCGAGATACTTCCAAGGTTGCTCGAAGATGGGAGAGAAAGATATCTCGAGTTCTTTTTTTTTTTTTTTTGGCGGAGCTCACCTGGTGGCGTCATCGCGGGTTCACCTCATTCGTTAATGGTCTGGTCTACAACAAACAGTACGAAGGAAATAGAATGGAATATATTCACACACAAGTCCAGCTAGCGATTAAAGGATACAAACACCATCAAACTACCTAGGGAGTTCCTGCACCATGACCCAAGTTCTCAAAGTGAAAGAAAAAAAAAAAAAAGAAAAAGAAAAAAGAAACGAAACGAAAAAAAGTAGAGAGAGAAGTGGTATACACTGCAATCCGAACGCCGGCATGAAAAGATATATAGCTATGCAGTCAAGGGTTATCTCAATGCTCCTCCTCGAATGCCTGGTCCGAGACTAAGTCGCGTCTCGGGACTTGTAGCAGCTGCCATGCTCAATCTGACAGCGTCTCGCCCGGACAGACTGATCTCGCGGGGCCGCACGTCGCCTCCCATGGTAATCCGGCGAGAGTTCTTGGTCACTGAAATGGCACGGGGTGCGAGAACGCTGGGCCTGGATTCGTAACTCTTGTCGCTTTTGACCATGCGTCTCGCTTCGGAAGCCGAGAACAGCGCGCTTTCCGGCGGCGAGCTACCCAGAGTAGGGCTTCTGCGCCGCTGTGTTTTGCTGACAGGCACTCCAGATGCACCGGCCCCGACGGAGATGCGTCGCATGGCGGCGCTGATTTTGATTGCGTCCTCTTTCTCAGCTTTCCACGTCCTTCTCTCACCGTCAGAAACGGGGCTGCTTCCGAGATGGCTTCCGCTGGGAGACCGAACTGCAATCCGGGATGGTCTATCCAAGGACGGCCTGTTCAGGAAACTGCTGTTTTCGATATTGCGAAGAGGGGTATGTTCATCTGAGGAGAGATTCGTTATCGTGGGTGGTACCGGCGATCCGGGTTTCTTGGACAAAAACCCAGCCTTGAACCGATTATTCTTGCTAGGCATTCCTAAAGTCGGCTCGGGCGCTGGTGGAAGAGGAGAAGAGGACCGATGCGAGTCTTCCTTCTTAGGGTTGTAGACGGCTATATTTCGAGGCATCGGGGAGATCCTCGGGAGAGGCAGCTCTTCTGGCGAATCTTCCACAGTTGTTTCGGCATTCTGAGGCGTCTTCTCGAATTCAGCGAGAGATCCATCTTCCTCATCATCCTTCCATCGTACAGCTCTCCTGCTTGTTGTTGTCTTGTTCGTAGCCGGCGCCTTGACGGGCGTGAAGCTGACTGCCTTCTTCGCCATTCCTAGCTTACGGCGCCGTGGAGTGTTCTTCAACGGGGAAACTGACACGTGTGGTGCAATGGCCGTCACTGGATTCAGTGATTTAGGGGGAATTGCAGCAAGACTGGACTTTCTTCGGCGTGATGATGTATCGGGCTTTGGTATCGAAGGAAGGCCGATGGAAGGCATCTTGCCGTCAGGCTTGACGACATTCGAGACCGAGGAGATACACGAAGATAGCATCTTCTGAAGTATTTTCTTGCCAGCTTCGATTGCTTCGGTTTCCGTGAGCTGCATAATGTTCTCAATCGAGGACACTATTTCAAACTGCGCCTGGAGGAGTGTTTGCACAGTAGATACGTCTCCTGCTTTGTCTTGCTCAGAAACAGCACACAGCATTTCGCGTTCCGCATGTGCTTTGAGCAACTCTGCTTCACGCGTAAGATTGGCAATATCTGAGTTGTCGCTAATTTCAAATTCTCGGAGTTGCTGGATGCCATGTTCCAGGGCAGTGTTAATAGGCCTATCCCAGTTGTTCTTCGAGATGCGTTGATTGAAATGATGGCGGGTATTTTCCAATTCAAACAGAATACCCTGTGCCGTTTTCCTGATAGCTTGCAGGTTTTCCATGGGCGTCTCACTCTCGCACGAGGCACAGACTTCTTCAAAGGCAGCGATCCAGGATGAAAGCATGGCGATTCTTCGGCTGACTTGCCTCAACTTCAACATGCTTGCCGTCTTCTCCTGTCTCTCCGCCGCGGCATTATCATAAGCACTACGCAGGCGAGAAACGCTTTCTCGGGAGACAGCCTCTTTCTTTTCACTTTGTTTCCGGAATTTGGCAAAAGCAATCGACTCGTAATCTCTTTGCTGAGCCTTGAGTTCATTAATAAGAGCCATCTGTTCATCGATTTTGACCAAAAAGTCCTTGACGTGGCGATTCACGTTATATACATTCCTCGTCACCTTGGTCTGAATGTTCTTTGCTCTATTCGCATATCGAAGTGTGTTTTGTGTTTCATCAAAGTGCTGACTTGAAGGGCTGACGCAGACAATCATCACTGTCTTGCAATTTCCACCGAGAGAGAACTTTAGGAGACGTGTGAGTTTAGAATTTCGATAAGGAATATGATTTCGTTTTCGCGGATCACAGAGCGCATTGATGCAGCTTCCTAAAGCAAGCAGAGACTTGTTGATGTTGGCTCCTTCCTGAAGTCGCTCGCCGCGGTTCCTGGTTGCACTGGCTCTTTCGCTTCCGGCAAGATCGATGATGCTCAGAGTGGCCATTGTCAGAGGTTCGTTGACGTCGGCGTTGCGGTCCTTTTGCGCAATATTAATCTGGAGCACGGCGTGTGATCGGGATGATGTGGCGTTGGCTTCGGTGGGGGACATGGTGCGATTCTCATTACCACGCATTATCATATCCATGACCTCCTGTACATTTTGTGGGTGATGGCTCGATAGACCAGCTACCGAGACCGCTTGATTAGCATCTTCACGCAGCATAAGCCCTTTGCGGTCCCCAAGGACGAGCAAGTCTCGGATTGTCTCGTTGTAAATCTCGAGATAGGAGAGAGAAACTTCGGTCACCGTCTCCTCTTTTCGTTCGTCGATCCTCTCGAACAATTCCTGCATGGTCAGAAAGATGATTCCAGGTTGTTGAGCAGTGCCGGTGATAGTGTGTGTTTTCCCACATCCCGTGGCACCGTAGGCAAACACAGTTGCATTGTACCCATCCAGCACACTGTCGAGAAGGTTTCGTGTAGTAGACTCGTAGACTTCGGCCTGTGTCGTATTTTCGTCGAAAATCCTGTCAAAACCAAACGTCTGATCTTTGACTCGCTTTCCATTGGGTACAACACTCCGAGAAAACTTCTGGACGGGATTGTCCTCTGGTGGATCGAATATACTGTTTTTTATTTCATCTCTCTGTGAGTGAGTGTCCGTAGTTCTCGGTAGGAACACAAAACTCACAGGCACTTATCGTCGACAACCTTGATGACTGGCCGAATGCCCCTTTGAGCCAGTTTCGGGGTGCTGGGGACGCCAGCCAGGGAACCGTCGCCGAGGAACAGTGGCGCTTCGTCACATTTGGATAGCTGTGCAGCCTCTCGAATGGTAAAGGGCCGGACTCTGACCGTCACCGAGATTGATGACGAGGCGCTTGATGCACCCATGCCGAAAGCGAGCGGCGGGAACGAGGGCCGAGCAGACAGACAGACAGTAGAAGAATACGCAGATAAGCAGATGCTGTGGGTGAGTAAGTGGCCGCTCAAGGGCGAATGCAACGATTTATCGATAGGATGACAGCCCGAAGACACGAGAAGCATCAGACACGAAGGAATGTTTGTGGTGGAGTTGGCAGCTTCCTGTTTGGCGCTGATTTGCTGCTGTTGTCCCGGCAACCGCTAGCGCCGCCGCAGCTTCCACGTGAAGCTCTCCTCCATTACTCTAACTACAGAAGTTATAGATGGAAATGCTCGACTTGACATCACATTTGCCAGAAATGGACTATATAACACATGTAGTTGGTGCATCGTATGAAACATAGCTTCCAGTCGGGTCTTCGTCTCCAGCAGACGACATGTAAAAACGCCAAATTGCCAGCAACGCCAACCTCCTTCCATCCGGTCTACCCAGGGCGTTGCGCCGTAAAACAAAAGAGAAAGAAGATAGAGAGAGAGCAAGCAGCATCTACTCGGGCTCTTCGTCGTCGAGGGATGGGAGCACTACGTCCCATCCAGCGTCTGCAAAATCCTCGTCTGACTCGGCACCGTCGCCCTCGCCCCCAGAAGCTCGCTTGAACCGAAAGGCAATCGCCTGGCCATCACGGATATCGGCTCCCTGTAGACTATCTGCCAGCGACCCCTTCTTGGGACGTCCGGCGCCGTTTTTGCCTTCGTGCTCAGCCTCTCCGGTTTGAAGGGCTAGACGAACCCAGCCTTTCTCAAGCTCATTTCGGTCGATAGGGACGCCAAACTCGATATCGGCTGGGTTTTCCGGGACAGGATCGCCGTTGATTTCTCGAACATTGCGCGATTTGAGCGCGTTGTGAAGCTTCTCCTTGGTGGAGGGGATTGATTCTTGGGCGGGGAGCATCAGCAGCACCGTCGTCTTGTGCTTTTTGAACCGCAAGGTCCAGCTCAACGGGTCTGGTTTCGACTAAATCCGTATCAAATACAGGAGTCAGCGTTTGTCAAGTATTATATATTGTATTCTATTTACTGGGCCAAAACTGGACACTTACCATGGGCGGCCGTCGGGATATCAAGTCTCGTTTAAGGACGTATCTCAAGTTGGGTTTTTGAACGGGCCGGAGCGGAGAACACCAAAGCTTTGCCTGCCTCCCAAAGATTGATTGTCACCCTGCCTCAATCAACAAAGCTCACATCGTCGTCTCGCCTGCTCTTGTCTTGTCTACGTTTAATTGGCGAGTGGCTCATTCTGATTCATCTTTTTCTTTACTACACTTTTTTTCTTTTGGTTTTCATCAATCCTTCTACCAGCATGGCAGGAGCTCATTCAGAACGAACCTGGGCAGAGGAGCCGGCATTGGTGAAAATCATCCACTGGTACAAGCTGTTCGACTCCGACACGCCCCCCAGACTCGGCATTGACATTGAACGGCGACTGCCATATACAGCCCTCTCTGCATTTTCCGTCGGTCTCGGTGTTGGCTCAAACCATGGAGCGCGAAAGGCCGCATACCAGTTCCGAGCGGAAAACGCCCACAGATTCCCGACTACGTCGACAGGCTGGTTCCAGTACCATAAGACGAAGAATTATAAGTCTATTGTGGGCGGCGTGTTCGACGGAGCCAAACTGGGCACAAAGCTAGGTCTTGGTGCTATGGCTTTCTGTCTGTTCGAAGAGACGGTCGATTGTGCTCGCCATGATCGCCGAGACTTTCTCTCGACCGTCATCGCTGGCCTGTCATTCTCTGGCATCTACAGTGTGCTAGGTACTGTTTATTTGCTTCCGAAAAATCGCAATGTGTAACTACTTACGTGCTAACTGTCTTTTGTTTCTTTCAGCTCGTCATGATATATACACTGCTGCGCGCACCACGAAACTGGGTCTGAAGCTGAGTCTCGCGTACGGGTTAACCCAAGATGCTCTCGAGACGATGAAGGGAAATCGTCCTGCCTACATTCAATATCTCTTTGGTCCTGGCAATTCCGATACACCCAAGTACACTGTGTGAACTAGACCTGTCGGATCTTTCCGCTATCGAAACGCCGCTCAAAGAAAAATCCCAATACTGTCTCGTGAAAATCTTCACCTTCACCGTCAGCTAATCATGGCCTGACTGTCGCTCGCATCAGATCATACGATGTGCCCCCCCACCCCCCGTCTATCAGGAGAAAATACCTACGTGCACGACCCTCCACGTGAGTCGATGAGACGGCTCCATCATCGGATTGGATTGTGAAGGATCTACCTCTACCTTGTAGGCCTATACCTACATCTTACTCCGATATCAAGTGGGCCAGGATTGACAAGGTTATTTTGAAAAATTTTCGAGCTTTCGTCATCACTTCTCGCCTGTCACCTCAAGGCTTAGGCTGAAGAACATGTCTCCGACAGCCAATGCGGATTGGACAATCGGACAAACTCTCAGGCACGCTTGTTGAGATTAATAATAATAGGAGTAGTTAGTAACTAGTAGTAGAAAAATGACCGTGGGGGCCAGTTTCATCTGTCTGCGGCCGATGGGCGAGTGTCCACCCCGAAATCTAAATATGCTTCAATTTTTTTCAGGGCTGTAGCTGTAGATGGATGTAACCTGGAAAAGGCATAAAGCGCTCTCTCATCGCATAGATCTTTGAAAAGGGACATGCGATACAAGTGAATATTCACCTGTAAAAGATGCCCGAGCAAGCCGCAACGAAAGAAACAAATCGCTCTCGAATGGCCCCCATTCTCTCCCCTACAGTAGTGCTGCTCTAGTGACAACGCGCTTTCTAGAAGGCTTCCAGAAAAGACTAGCTGACCAGAGACTTTGTGATTTCACAGACATCCAGTCCCTGGCACTAGTCTCGCTCTTCTCGAGGGATAAAAATAACTGCATATGGACAGGGATTGCGACTATTGCTCTGCAGAATCTGCTACTGCACGAAATGTGGTCTGATGCGCATCGATTGGATGCGAAATCTCTCAGCTGAAGATAGCCTCTCTTGCCCTACATCACGCATCCGAACCCCCAGGGCAGACATGGATGCTGTCGCTAGAACAAGACTGCAATCGCATATGCAGCCTAACTGTGTGTGTGTGTGTGTGTGTATGTAGTAGTATCCCATAGATCCACCCGGCTTCTCTGCACACGTATGGATTGTTCCCCCCACCACTCGCTCCCTATTCCTGTTCCCTCGTGTCTCCGGCTTGGAAAAATTCTGCTTCTCTCTTCACCATCCGTGTTCTCTCTCCGGCGGTCGTTGGTCGTTGGTCGTCAACAAAGTGAGGCTTCGGTTCGGCAGTTGGGATTTGGTGGTGGATCTCCCGCATTCGCTCTTTCCCCGCCATCCCCAACTGCGCTTTTATGCTCCGACTATTGCTCGAGCTGGCTCGCTCTCTCTCCCCTCTCTCTCTCTCTCTCGCTCTCTCTTCACCCTCGTCCCAGCCAGCTGCATTCCGCTTCCTAGCTAGTGCTGCTTCACATAGCTTTCTCAAATAGACGCACTCTGGCATCTATCTTATCCTCCCGCGTGCTTCACGGCCCATGCCACTATCGTCGACGTCATTGAACCCTCGTGCGCCATCATCGCATCATGTGTATTCCCTAATGTTCGTTGCTTGCCGACTCGAGGAATAATACTAGAGGAACAATTCTTGAGCAGTCAGTCATGCGGCGTCAGCGCCGTTCCAGCAGTGCGGCGTCCTCAAAGGGCGCCGCGCCCATCCCGGAGGCGGTCTCCCTGATACACTCATTCGACTCGGCCATGAACCCCAACCGGCCGGTGCGTCCATCGCCATTGGCATCTTCGCAGATCCAGGGAATGCCGCTGGATTTGATTGACCGCATTCGCAACTTCCCCCTCTTCCAATCCACTCCCGAATCCTTTCTAGCCGAAGTCGGCCTGCATCTACGTCCGCAGCTCCATGCCGCTAATGACTACATCGTGACCGAGGGAGATGAAGCAAAGGCCATGTACTGGCTGGTGCGAGGCGCCGTTGCCGTCACTTCGCGAGATGGAGAGAGCGTACATGCTGAATTGAAGCCCGGAGCCTTCTTTGGCGAAATCGGGGTCTTGATGGACCGACCTCGTACCGCAACAATCATTGCCCGGACTCGCTGCATGCTGGTTGTCCTCACAAAGGAAGACTTTCGCAAAATACTTCCTCGATTCCCCGATGTCGAACGCGCCATCCGAGACGAAGCTCTGGAGCGCCTGGCCATTCTGGAAAAGAAGAATAAAGATCGTTTTGGTGAGGATGACAAGACAGCGGGCATGAATCGGCGCGGCTCTAAGAGGTTGCGCGAGAGTACTCCTTCCGGGGGCCTTTCACCGGGAGAGGAGCTCGACTCGAGAACGGTGACCACGAATAAAAAGCGCAAGTCCCCGAGTCCAGGCCTCTCGGACATCTCATCGAGCGCCCTCGCAAATGGATCAGTCAATGTCCGTTTGCTGTTGAAAGAAATGCCACTTTTCTCAAGTCTTCCCCCCGATCTCCTCCACTTCCTGGGATTGAAACTCCAACCCCAATCGTATCCACCTTTCATCGACATCATACGTCAAGATTCCCTAGGTCGCGAAATTTATTTTATTGCTCGAGGCGAAGTTGAGATTCTCAACGAAAACAAAGACTCTGAGAATCTTCGGAGAGGGTCAGACGACCAGGCCGGCCGCACAGTCGAAGTCAAGGCACGTCTTCGGCAGGGACAATACTTTGGCGAAATCGTTAGTTTATCATTGACTCCTCGCCGGACTGCTACAGTGAGATCAGTTACCTCGGTTGAGTGTCTCATGCTCAGCGGAGATGTCTTGAAAGAGTTCTGGGAGAAATGTCCTGACGGACTACGGCAACAAATTGAAGTCACGGCAAAAAGGCGACTTGAATCGGCCACAGACGGTGATGTCTTGATGCCTGACGTGAAAGACCCGACGCCTCCAATAAACCAATTGTCCATTGATGACAAGTTTAAGCTTACAAATTTCCGAAGAAAGTCGATGCCAATGGTAACTCTGACTGAATCCGAACTGGACAACACCCATCATAATCACGCCAACGGAGACGAGGAAATGCCGGTCCTGAGCCCGTCAGATCCTGATCCGTTTTTGAACATTGGACTCGATAATGTGAAACTCAAGTCACGTCGAGGCTCCGTAGCCATCATCGCTCCCAAGGAAGCTGGTAGCACAGGGCAAACAACGCCGACTGAGCCGCGTCCTGGCAGCTCCTTCAGAGCAATGCCACATACGAATGGTACAACCTCGTCGAGACATCGATCAACGAGTCTACTTTATCAGTATCAGCTGGGAAACCGCGGGTATCTACCAGACAATGTACTTATATGCATTTTCCAGTATTTAGACCTTCATCATTTATTGCGCCTCCGTGCTGTTTGTGTCCATTGGTCCAAGATCCTAGCAGAGTCACCAGCGCTCTGTCAATATTTGGATCTAAGCGCCTACAATCGCAAAGTTACCGACGATGTTCTTTCGACGATAATCTGCCCATTTGTCAAGGATCGTCCATTATATATCGATATCAACAACTGCTTTCACATCACCGATGAAGGCTTCAAGGCTTTGGCAAAGACATGCGGCCACAATGTTCGAGCATGGAAAATGAAGAGTGTGTGGGATGTAACGGCAACGGCGATATTAGATATGGCAGGAAAGGCTACAGGGCTGCAAGAGGTTGATTTGAGCAACTGCAGGAAAGTGAGCGACACTCTGCTGGCCAGACTTGTTGGATGGGTAGTCCCATCAACAACACTAGTCCATCATAACCAAACCAAAACCAACATGAAGCCCACCATACAGACAGCTTCGGGCGCAGTATATGGCTGTCCACAGCTGAAGAAGCTGACGTTGTCTTACTGTAAACACGTCACTGATCGCTCCATGCACCATATTGCGTCTCATGCTGCTCCGCGCATCGAGCAAGTTGACTTGACGAGATGTACAACTATTACAGATCAGGGTTTTCAATACTGGGGCAATGCCCAGTTCACGAACCTGCGAAGGCTTTGTCTGGCGGATTGTACTTACTTGACAGATCATGCCATTGTTTGTCTGACAAATGCGGCGAAGAATTTACAGGAATTGGACTTGGTAAGTTTGCAACGCCACATTCTAGAAAAAAGTCGAGAGCAGAACTAACAGTGAATGTATTCAGTCATTTTGCTGTGCGCTGTCGGACACGGCCACCGAAGTCTTGGCTTTACAATGCCCCCAGCTACTCAAATTGAACATGTCATTTTGTGGCTCCGCAGTCTCTGATCCCTCACTCAGGAGTCTAAGTCTACATTTATTGTTTCTCGAGGAACTATCCGTCCGAGGCTGTGTTCGAGTAACCGGTATAGGGATTGAAGCTGTTGCAGAAGGATGCCAGAATCTCACCTACTTTAACGTCAGCCAGTGCAAAAACCTTACGCCTTGGCTCGAGCGCGGAGGACAATTTCAATATCAAGACAAAATCCATTTTGAGACTGTTGCTAGAAACGGCCTACTACATTAATTACTCACCTCGGTTTCCCTTTTTCCTTATTCTCAGCGCCATTGACCTTGGGACGCATTCGGATTGTTTTATTTCGGCTTGGATCGCAAGTTATCATTTTTCTCTTTTTTCTTTCGAAACTTGGAGTTTATCTATTGCATACTATCACGTTATATTCGATCATATAATTGATGTATTTGATGACGGTGACGACTTACTTTTTCGCACTTCATTTGTCAGGAGCAAATATGTACTTTATCTACTTACTCTCTCTTGACTGGTTCTTTCTCTTCTCCTTCTTTGTTTGCTATCTTTTTGACCAACCGACCTTAACGCTGGAGTTCTTGAAAAGAGGCGTCGGGGTGTTTCAAGAGGGGCTTATACCTAGGTATCTGAGGGATATATTGGATCTATTGTTTCGTTTTGTTCTTTTGTCTCTTCTTTTCGGGTCTGTCTTGACTCTTTGGCCAGTACTTTCTTGCAAACAGTGTGCAACAACATCAAAGCTGGGTGGGATGGAAATAGTTCAGCAAGCGAATCAGATTGTTTGATACAAGTGTATAATTGTTATTGGTTAATTTAAAGCAGTTCAATGAGGAGTCTGCTATATTTTTATTTTTTGTTTATCCTTTACAGAAGATAGTTCCTTGAAGGGGGGTGATTGAAAATGTGACACTATGTCATTGATCATGATCCGTCCTGATGCATGGAGTTCATTGATTTTAGTTACAAGCTATATAAGAATGAATGAACAGAACTATCTAGTAGTGCCTTGACCAATATATCCTTCAAAAAAAAAAGACAAATAATCGAAACACCTGAGTTAGAGCTTGTGGTTGACACACTCGATGGCTGAAACAGGGCTGTATATCTTCTTTCATATTACATGACAGGAGAGAAAAAGTAATAGAAACACAGAAGAGAGGATGAAACTATCCAATATACACATTGATTCAGTCTTTAGTAAATAAATACAATATCTTTGTCAGATGATTCACGGATTACCCCGTGTTATAGAATTGGATTGTGAGGACAATTCAATTTTTGTACAGTTACAAAGAGTGCATACTTATGTGTAGTATGTTGCATGCAATGTCCTTTGTGTATATATAAACAATGCTGATTGTCTAGTTGTTACCAGTAGAAGTATTTAGGTGTATATAAGAGACGCCTGGCATCTCCCAGCCAGTTCTGTTTTCCATCGCTCATCATAACACACTCTTCTCTCCTACAAACATCAATCTACCGGGCTGTCTGGAACAGTTACTGGACTCTCTTTTTAATCATACATTTCTAACATTTCTGTCGTTTTCATACACATCATCTACATTTATACTAATATAAATCAACCAATACAATGTCTACGTTCCCGAACTTCCAGACCTCCGCCGCCGAAGACTTCGACATGATCGACAGTTTTTACCAGGAATATGACAATCTGGACTATCTCTTTGAGGAGGAGCCTGGTGCTACTCCAGAGGATGACGTGCAAATGGATTACGCTGCTGATGCTGAGGGGGGTGAGGGTGCAGAAGAGGAAGAAGAAGACAGCAGCGATGAAGATTGCGAGTGTGAGATTGATGAAGATAGTACAGCAGCTTCATCGGGGAATACTACTACTATTAATAACAATGCTAATACTACGACTAATGATAATGATAATAATAATGACGAGAACGAAGACACGGTTATGGAAGATCACCATCCTATGCAGCAACAACAACAAGAAGAAGAGGAAGAAGGACCAACAAGGAAAGAACTGGAAGAATGGCAAATCGAAAAACTAGAAACGCTCCAAAAAACCATGGCATCAACACGGGCCAGAATTGCCAAACTCCACGACAAAATCGCCGGCGACCAAGCCGCCATCTCCAACAAGCAAGCAGAGTACGACCGAGAATGGGAAGCGCGGAACATGGGACAGCATGAGCTGCAGCAGATCCTGGCTGCAAAGACGAAGATCGAAGAGCAGCTCGCGAAAAAACAAGCCAATTTACAGAAAGCGGTTGAGAAGATTGGCATGCTGGAAAAGGAGGAGCGGGATGTGATGTCTCATCCACGGGAGGCGTTTATGAAGGGGATTAAGAAAGTGGGTAGAAGACGCAAGACGAGGAGTACTGCGCAGTCTCAGACGGATCTTTCGTATAGACTGGATGAAGGCGAGGACTCACTCTCGGAGCAGGATGGCCCCGCTTATAGGACTAGTTCAAGGAGGCAGAGGAAGAATGCTGCTTCTGCCTGCAGGCGTTGCAAAGTAAGTATTTTATATATGCCCGGAGTAGTTAGGGCTAGGGCTAGGGCCCGGCTTCCTCCTTTCCTCTTCTTTCTCAAGACAGCAAGACAACAAGAACGAGAAGAAAACTGACCAAAACGATAGGCTAACAAGGTCAAATGCGACATGAAACGAGGACAGTGCACTCATTGCAGACTGCTGAACAAGAGATGCCGCTACAACGACCCTTGGGACTCTGCCCGCCAGCTCCGTCCTTACCAGCTCCAGGAGACAGAAGCGAAACTTGAACAATCACAGAACGATGTTGATTACTACAAGCAGCTGTCCTTGACGTCTGTACTAGCTGACAATCCTCTGTCGGGAATCACTGGCTACGGACCTCGTCCGGCCACAGGGGCGAGGCAGAATTATGCCCGGCTGAACCGGGGGATGGATCCTATTACTCGGCCCCTGCCTGTATGTATTACTGCTAGTGGTGGTCAAGATGGAGCTTGTACAGTTTTGTCAGATCCTGTATTTCCACAGAAACCAAGGCAAGTCGTGCCTGTGAATCCGTCGCTGCAAGCACCGCCAGCACCAGCGTCACAGAGGGAAACAAGGACACATTGTAGGTTGCCCTTTCATTTCAAGTTTTGCTATTCTATCCAAGTTTATCTAACTGTCAGAAAATAGGGATTTACCAAACAGTACCGCCAACAATCCCCGCCAAACGCGGCAGAAAACCAGGCCAAAAGTCATCAAAACGACCACGACTATCCGAAGATAGTACGCAACCTGGCCTTCACCTCTCACAACAAAGAGAGGAAGAAGAAGAAGAAGAAGAAGCAGAAGCTCGCTCAATCACAAACATGCAAACCTGGTGGCGACGCCAAATATTATCATCTGGAAGACACCTGCCCGTTAACAATGACTACACGACCCAGTGGCCTGCATGGATCTTCCTATCGAACGAGAAACAGCGTCTGTGGTTCGACTACATGGTAGCCGCTCAAAGGGAGATTCCGTCGGTGGCCGTGGCGGAAGGACGTGCAAATCCGTTCCCTGGTACAAGACGAGACGTGCTTCAACCGTGTTGGCCTGGTTGGACAAGGGTGATGGAGGCTCCGTTGGGTGAACAGAGGGCTGGTTATTTGGTGAGTTTGCTTCGTCAGAGGCAGGAAATTCAGGAGATGGTGAATCTGGATGGTACAAGGCAGGGGAAAATCAACTGGCACTTTTATTCATCTAGATAGATTGAAACGAACCTTGGGAATTGACTTTCGATGCCAATATCATAAATATGTAGACTACCTAGGTATATAAGAAGTATGCTACAGTCAACGCCGATGCTATGCATACATAATGCCTAAAATACAAAGTTTATTAGGATATGGTACGGTATATAATTGCAGCTGCTCAACTCCTATACGTGCAGCAAATGCCTTGACTCTCGCACCAGCCTCGAACAAATCCTGCGCTGACCTCACCATCCTCGCCAACCAAGGCAAAGCCTTCAGTGTTGAGCCAGGTCGCAAGATCTTCCAGTATTATGGGGTCGTACAGGAGTATCTTTTCGTGCCACGTAAGTCGTTCTATTAGTCTGCCTTGTTGGGAAGACTTCTGTGGCCGTTGCTGTAGGCGAATAGCCTTGGTAATCTGGCCAAACAGATCTGGAATGGATGCATCCGTATTGGACGTGGTTGAAGTTTTGGAAGAAGCTAATGACCGTTTACCTTTGTTGCCGAGGGTGAGACAGCTGATAACGGGCGTGGTTTGACGACTACTGCCCTCTCGCTGCATGCGTATCCGAGTCGGAGACGGTATGATCTCTTCTTCAGAGTCCTGGATTTCGTCTATTGTGATAATCGACGTAGGTTCCGGTAGAGAAGAGGATTTCTCTTCAGATTTCTTGTTCGTCTTGGTTGCTGGCTTATAGGTTTTCTTTTTCTTTGAAGCTTTGGGCTCAGAATCGGATAGCTTCGTCTTCTTGCTCTTCCCTGATGGCTTTTCTCTAGCTTGCTCACCAACAACAGTACTCGTGGAAGCAGCAGCAGAAACGACCTCTGAATTTGCGGTAGGCAAAGAGACAGCACTTTTTGCTTTGTCGTGTTTATTCTGCCAGCACTTCTCAAGTAGATCAATCATCTTCTTCCGCCCCCTGATGGCTTTGAAACCGTAAGCTGCAATCTGTTTACTGAGTTCTGTATCTGTGTAGCCGTTAAAGTTGGGCATGTCCGGCGGTCGAGTCTGAGGCTGTTCCGTAGAAGATGTGATATCATGCTCGACGACAGCGGATTTGTGGTTGGAAGAAGCGTGCTGCGTATCTGTCCGTGAAATAGTGTTCAATGGCTCGTCTTTGTTGACAGTTAGGTTTGATTTGAGAATACGCGAGGAAGGAACAGGCGAATTTGCTTTTGGCGCATCACGTTTGGCTGTCTCCGACGTTATTCGGTCGAAAGTAATGGAAGTGTAGGGAGAGTTGGTCATATCTATGATCTCAGGCTGCACCACAGCGCCATCAAAGTCTCGAGCTGCTACATTCCAATGACTCTTTGTACCCGTGAATCTAGTCGCAACGCTTCTTGATGACGATGAAACTCTAGAAGCTTTTTCAGAAACCAAGCTCTTGGACATCCATAGAGCTTTTTGCGTTTCTTCGAAGGATGTAGGAGGGCCATCTCGTTCTAATTGGCTACAGGTTCCAAATAGGAAATTCTGATCGTTTAGAGACTTGGTGGCGGCATCTGGTGAGAGTATTATATGTTCAGGTTCGTTTTGTTTTGCAGACCTTTTCTTTTTCTGCTTGGTAGGCTTTTTCTTAGTGGCAGTATCATCAGCGCCATCTAACGGTTCTTCGTCGCACGACAGTACTTCTAGAGGATCATCGATGGGCTCATAGCGCGCTGTCACGCGCGCCGTTATAGTCTTTGGTGGTTTTCGGGGTTTTGCTTTCGTCTTGCGAGTCTCTGAGTCTTTCTTTGGTTTCTCTGTTTGTTGCTTGTTTGGGAGCTTTGCTTGCTGTATATCAAACTCAACGAGCTTCGGTTTTGGTTAGCTCTACTTCCTATATATTGTGATTTTTGTTTTAACTTACCTCTAACCGTCGTCGTTTCGTAGCCTTGCCTTCTTTTCTCGTCGGCATGGATTCGGGAAGGCTGGATTTTCGATTGTAATGGTAATCGCGTAGAATGTCGCCAAAACTAGTATTCGTGCAGCTACTCTGAGAAACGCTATCCTCGTCAAGCGAGATGACAGGCGCACTCTTTGGAGGCGTCCAGTCTAACCGCCGCCTCAAAGCTTCGTCTAGATTTAGTCCCTCCAAGTCCAGGGTTCTCTCCCTGTCTGCTTTTGGCGTATTGCTGACATCCTTTTGTTGAGAGTTTGTTGTATTCTTGTCATCTGCTATTGGTTTTGCTTTGGAGACTGCAGCTTTCGCGACTCGTCCTTTGAGAATCTTGTTCTGTGTCTCCTGGGGCTTTGCGGTCTTCCGGTTCCGCGCTGTCTTCGCTTTCGAGGTACCCAATTGCACGGCCCTTGTAGAAGGTTCATTGGTGTTATGTTTATCTATAGTACTTAACAAAGCATTGGCTTTCGCGATATTCCTGGTGAGAGGCGACTGCAGCTCCGACTGTCCCGTGACAACGCTTTTAAGTACTTCAGAGGGCTGCGGCAGCGAGGGAGGAGAAGAGCTCAGCGGAGGGAGCCCAAAAAGACGTGCTGGAGTGCATGGCGACACTGATCGAGCCCAGTTCTGTTCCGGCGAGGACGAAGGGATCACTATGGCTTCGAGGTTTGAGGTCATGTTTGGAGGTATACCGGTCGCTGGCCTCTGTAGCGTATTGTTATATTCCGAGTCGCAGACATACAAAGATACTCATTTTGTGAGCAGGCGAGCAATACCCTGCATGGCAAGGTTTGTTGTATAGGATGGATGTTGATGTTGTATGTCGAAAGATTCTCGCGGCGGGCAGTTGAGGGCCTTGGGCAAAGCTGGGGAAATCCCGCCGGGGCAACGGACTAGACAACTACATAAACAACTCAGGCATTCCTCGCATTCATTGTATTTTGCCTTCACTTACGCTCACTTTTTCAGTGTCTATTGGCTTTATTCATATATATGCTATCTATGATATTCATGTCGCCCCCCGAATTGCTATTGCACCAATAATAGGCGCCTCTAACGCTCTCGTGCCATTAACAACCTCGCCATTTCCCAGTTTTCCAGCTGGCTGGCTGATTTTGTATATTTTCCGGATCCTCCCCAGATCAGACATCAGGGAAAGTGTTTCGTCGGTGAAGGGTACAGGTGTTGCTTCCACAACACTCTCAAGATGTTTAGCGACCGACTCGTGTGTGACCTCTGGATTCACTGACACTTTGACCACGAGCAAGTTTTTGGTAGCGTCTGTAATGCCGAATCTGCGAAACGAGTCTGCTATCTGCATTGGCTGTTAGCTAGCAAGCACAGCGACGACAAGATAACCCTAGGGATTCTCTCGCTCTCACTCACATTATTAGTAGGGCTGAGAGAGACAACTATTTCCGAATGCACATTGTATGATATTAAACGGTCATTTATGTGGTCATTAACGGCCCTAAAGACTGCAGCAAAGACATGCTGCCTCGAGAGAATCTGATTCGCGTGCCATTAGTTATGCGTCCGTAGAGAGAGAGAGAGAGAGAGAGTATGAGAATCCAGGCAGACAGCGTACCACGCTAGCGTCAATGAATGCATACTGAAAATCTGCGTTGCCAGATATAAGCTGCGTCCGCAAGAAACCGGCGTTTTTCAGGTCCTTGTAGAGCGCGACATGCACGGGGATATTGTCGGGCACATGCGAGAGACAGACTGTTTCTAGAAGAGACATATTTGCAGCTGGCTTTTCAAGGGAGAAGGATGCGAGCCCCCCGCGCTGTCCGCAAACTTTCCCGGCTTGTGATTGCAGCCTGAGGCAGCGCATCCCAAAGCGGTGGAAGTCACGTGCCGGACAATTACGAATGAGGGTTAGCGCTTCTGGAACGTTCCCGCGAAGAACGTCACCTTAACTCCGCCCGGACGAAAGACCCAACCAAGCCCTTAAAAAGCAGCTCGAGGCTCTTCCACCTCTTCCCGTCACCATCCCACCTCACCTTTTTTTGTATTCTCCCCCTTCTCAATAATCACACCATTGAGATCTGCTCGCCATGGCCTTCATGCTGAAGCGGCCGTTCGCCGTTACAGCGGCTCTCAAACAAGCTGCACCGCGCAGTGCCAACCTAGGCGCTCGATTCCTTCACAATGCGCCCGTCAAGGGCTCTCCAGCCGCCAAACCCTCAACACCTGCATCTCCATCTTCCATCCTCGCGCGGTCACGACAGACTTTCCAGAATGCCTTCCGTCGCACCTATATGCAACAGACCTACCGCGTGCCTAACCAAGGCGACCTGACGCAGAAGCTGCTCTATGGTGCTGCCATCGTCGGTGGCACTATCTTGGCTACAAACCTGGTCTTCAACCGCGAGACTCGTGAAGATGGCGGCATGCCCGTCTACGAGAGACAATACTTGAATGAAACATTTATGCACACTGGTCTAGGACTTGGTATCATCGCTATTGCTGCCCGCGCTTTACACACCAGTGGATGGTCTATTCGGTTGATGTCCTCAAGCCCATGGGCTGTTGTCGGCCTGGGTCTTGTTGCTAGTATCGGCACTATGTATGGAACGATGTACACTCCGCCTGAGAAGTAAGGATTTCTTCCCCCCCCCCCCCCTGGCGCAAAATTTCTAGAAGTCACTAACAATAGCCTTTTTATTTATATAGCTACATGCTCAAATACGCTCTGTGGACCGGTTTCAACGTGACTCAAGCTGCTCTGTTGTCACCTTTGATGTTCTTGTCGCCCGCTCTGCTCGCCCGCGCTGGTCTCTACACAGTCGGTATGATGGGTTCGATTGCTTTTGTGGGCGCCACTGCCAAGCAGGAGAAATACCTCTACCTCGGCGCTCCTCTTCTCGCAGGTGTTGCTGTTGTCGCTCTTTCCGGCTTGGCTCCCCTCGTTCTCCCAGTTACTGCTACACGTACATTGATGTGGTCTGAGCGCATCTGGCTGTACGGAGGGTTGGCTGTCTTCGGTGGCTTCACTCTCTATGACATCCAGCGAATCCTGTACCACGCCCGTCTGGCCGAGCGAGGACTTGTCCGAAGGGACCCCGTTAACGAGAGTGTCAGCCTCGAGCTCGACTTCATCAACATCTTTGTTCGTATGGTGCAGATCTTGGGCATGCAACGCAACAACCGACGATAAATATCAAACAAACTACTCCCCTTTGTCGACCTAGACACATCTCCTTTCTTTGACTTTCGCATTTCTCTTCCTTCTTCTGTGTTATGACTTAAAAACATGCTATTCCCCTAGCTATTTGTGCTTGTGTCAAAAGGGACACGGCGTTGTACATATATACTCGACGGTTGGTACCGTTGCTGGACCAAGAATGAATTCAATAATATTTATTCCTTTCAAGGACTATATTCCTGCTTGAACTTTGACGATTAAAAGCTAGAAGTAGTAACAACTGAAGTAGTAACAACTGAAGAACCCAAGCTGGTAGGTTACGTAAGCGGACCCAGAAGGCGCCGCACTCCAGCCACATTACGCCACTTCAAGTATTCCCATCGCTTTTATCTCATCAGGAACCAAATCAGCCTTGCTAAGTCGCTCCAAATCCACCTCTTTTTAATCCTGGGGTAGGGAAAAAGACAAAATCTATTTAGACACCATGTCAGCAACCGAAATGGACATCGACCTCCCAGTGGAGGGCGACATTACCACCCCATCAGCACACTCCGGAAACGCAGAAGCGAAGACACAAGCTGGCGCAGTCGCCGTGCGAAGTATCGAGGGGTGGATTGTGCTCGCAACAAATATTCACGAAGAAGCCTCCGAAGAAGATGTGACCGATCTTTTTGCTGAATACGGTGAAATCAAGAATTTCAATCTAAATCTTGACCGTCGTACTGGTTATGTCAAGGTGAGTTTCTTTCGTGTCTTTTCTATTCGAGCTTCTTTTGGGAGCGAGTCCTTTTAATCTTCTTTTTTTTTTTTTTATTAAAAAAAGAAAATGCTGAATTCCGTGTGTTTTCTTTTTTCAGGGATATGCCCTTATTGAATACTCGACCCTGCCCGAAGCTAGCGCTGCTATCAAAGCCCTCGATGGCACAAAGCTACTCGATCAGACCATCCACGTAGACTACGCCTTTGTTCGGCCGCCTCCAGGAAGTAAGGGCAAAGGTGGGGGGCCAAAAGGTGGCCGTGGTGGTCGAGCACGCAGCAGAAGTCGCGAGCGCAGTCGCAGTCCGGGAGCGGACAATGGAAGAGACTAGGAGAGTGTGTGTATCATGAATATGAAATGAAACGCTACGTCTCTTTGACTTGATTATGCATGCACAATTGGAGGCAAACAAAAGGACAAATGTTTGCAGATGCGCCGGCGGTCTCTCCACCGTGCAGAGAACCCCTTGATTGCTGTCGAAGGGCTTCTTGATGCATGGAGATTCCTGTCGGCACGCAGAGTACCGAGATAAATTGTAGGTCATTGACCTATCTGGACGATCTGGTCAGAGGATGTTATACTAACAGATCCCGCAGATCAAGATTAATTATGAAGAAGTTTTTATGGCAGCCAACATAGGAGGCGCCAGCAGAATCCTAGATTATGTATTAAGCACTTGCTTTTATATACGCTAATTTAGATTAATGAAGATATACATGAATGAAATCAAGACCTTGCATCGTATGATTACACGTGAAAGTCGAACAGATTTCATCTCTTTGCCACTTACTTTCTGGATGTAGGTACCTAATCGTCGCTTGTATTCGCGCAAATCCGTGGTTATATTCAGGTGTAAATATGATATCCATTCTCTATGTTGACCCTTCTTTCAGAGAGGATTGGTCAAGGCAATAAAGCAAAGTCATGATCGTGCGCACCCTGTAGGTAATCATAATCATCAGACACCCATTTCACCTTTGGATCAACCGAAGCCCAATCGATCGTCCCCTTCACAGTCTCCGGCAGCACAACCTCCAGGTTACTCCTGTACCACTTCGGAAACAGGACAGTCACCAGCATGACTCTCGGCTCATCGGTCTGGTTGGGCCGCCCAGCATGCCACAGACGCATGTCTCTGATCACCAGAGAACCCTTGGGCAAGGTCGGCTGAACGGGGGGACGAATCTTCCTCCGTGCCTCCACGAGCTCTCTTTTAATTCCCGGTTCGGTGTCTGACACATGCTCGACAGTCGTAGCAAGATGCGAGCCCGGCCAGACCTCAGTAGCGCCATTCTGCGGCGATGTATCAACCAAATTGATATTGACACAGTAGCCAAAGGGGACGCCGCGCGGGAAATCAAACTCGACATCAATATGCGGCGGTTGGCGGCCCGTGGCTTTGAAAGCGGTGTTCGCGCTGTAGAATCGCAGGGCTGGGTTGGGGCCTAGCATGCATTCTACGGCTTGCGCAGCGAAGGGGTTGGCGATGATGTCGGGGAAGATGTATCCTTGTTCTAGCACGGGTTCTTGCTGGATATTGCCCGTCGACGAACCGAAGTTGCGGTGCGTGGTCTCGCGGGCGTACAGGGCTTGGGCTTCGGGGACCATGCGCTTGTTGAGTTTGTCGAGGTGTGCCGCGTTGACGGCGTTGTTGAGGACGACGATGCCATCGCGATGCAGCGCTTCGACTGCGGCTTGCAGGTTGTGGGAGCCTAGTTGTTTGGTGTTGAGTTCTTGGGGAGTGAGGTGGATGACTGTGATGTCGTCTTGAACTGTAGCTGTGGCCATTTTCCTTCTCTTGACGTCCGGTGTCTCTCTGCTTGAAATTGTTTTAAATCGAGTGCTGGAACTCACATTTATAGCAAGTCAACTGTTGGAGATGCCCCGCACAGCAGTTTGTTTATCACTTTTCAATATGATAATATTTATCTATGATTCCAGATTGATAAAGAGACTCCACTGGCTGCTACGTTACACTTCTTCCTATCGCCGCGTATCAATAACCGCGAGAGAACTCAAGAAACATCGTCGTAATAATGGGGTATGCTATATACAAGAGTAGAAAGAAGAAAAAAAAGAAAAAAAATCGGTATCCACCCAGGACATGACCGCCTCAGCGCCAATTGATGATCTTTTGTCATTATTATACATTAAGGAGAAGGCAGATTCACTTCCGTGCTCGTCGAGCGTGATTGACCAGATTCTCAATCACCCCTTCAAACGCCTCTTTCTCCCCAACAAGCCCATCCGTTCTCTTAACCCAATAGTCGAGTACGTCCCTAGCCTTTGCCGATGCCATTTCCAGCAAGCCGACATGCTCTGTGAGCTCGGAGTCTGTGTATCCGTCCAATGCTGCATCCGTGGTTGAGCATAGCCGCCGCACCGCGGAGAGATCCAGTTCTGGGGGAGACAGAGGTCCTCGACGCCGGCTTGACCTTGGCCGCGACCCTGTTGAATTGACCGATGTGGTGGAATCGTTTTGCGGCATGTTTCCCTCGGTTTGCTTTAGCCTGTTGAGTGCCTTGGATGCATCACCAGCAGACACGCTAGAGTCGTCCGCATTGATTGATGGCAAAATAAGCTTTTTCTGTTTCGATGCTGGCAGTATCTCGTCCAAGTCAACCGGGACGCCCAAAGAAACAAGGAACAGTCGTCGGATCCGAGACTTGACCCAGTTTGGAGGTTGTAGTGGTGGCGGAGCGACTAATTGTGACCATAAAGAGAGTGAACGATCGCTGCTGAAAATGGCTGTAGAATCGGGTATCGGTTCCAAAGGTGGTAAAGAAGAAATTGCTTGTGTTTCAGGGAAAAGGGTATCAAGGGAATCATTAGTTGCTGATAATATATCGGACAAGCATGTGATAGAGTTGAAATCTAACAACGGCGACTGTTTTTTATGTAAATCCCAATTAATAAAGGTGCGCGGAGCCTTATGGTTGTTGCCTTGCTAGCACTTACAATAGCCAGAGGCCTTGGAGGCTGTTGGAAGGACTCGGCCTCTGTTGTATCCTCCCCAACAGCCTCCTCTGCCGGTTCTCCAAAGCCCTCGTCAAAGTCGCCAAAGTCATCATCTGCTGCTGCGTTTGCGCCTTCTTCGAACTCATCAAAATCATCACCGAATTCGTCATCGCCTCCTTCTTTAATTGAGCCGTTAGCACGGGCGCCTTGTACTCCAGAGGGTCCATAGTAGAATTCTCTAGAAGAACCCAGGCACGCTACGAACTTGTCCAGAGAGCGGGCCTCAGCCATCCGGTGTGTCTAGTGGATATCAGGCTTACCAGTCGTATCTTGCACGGTCTCAGTGAAGTCTGGCAATGCATCACTAGGGCTCGGGCTGTGGGCGCGAATGCCCGGCGATCCAGGATCCTTTGGAAGCGTATCAACGCGGAATAGACGAGTTCCGGGAACAGATTGCTCCGAATCCTCTCTTTCCATTGTAACTGGCGATTGTTGATCCTCTGCTGGCTCTTTCAAGACAAGGTCAGGAACGACATCTGCCTGTCGCTGATTGTATGCTTCTGTTCCTGGGACTTCTCCATGGCTCGGTGTCTCGTCCACTTTGACAACGATCGTTCGCGGGACGGGACTTCCGCCGGGAGAGGTTGGTTCACCTGCTCTCGACGAGCTCCGACTTCGAGAACCCTCCGGGACGACCTCCAATACGTCGGGGACTGCATCCTGCGCCCTCTGCTCGTATGCCAATGTGCCTGGTATCTCTCCATGTCGAGGTCCGTCGTCGACTCTTTCAACACGTGTTAGGGGCACGGGGGATGGCGCTCTAGAAGACTTTACGGATTGGGGTTGTTGACGACCTTCACTGGCATCGGAAAAGTGGTCTTCTTCACTTGCTGTAGGGGTAGAGTGACGAGAAATCAGCGACTTGCGGTTCGAGCATGGAAAATACAAAAATGACGTACCAGAATCCTGAGCGCCAGTATCCTCAAGCTCAGGGCCATTGTGCGGCGGCGGCTCCAGAAGGGTGCTGGAAGGACGTTTTGGACTATCCGACATTGAGATTTGTACAGTACAGCATTTATTTGTTCAGAAGGAAGTTGGAATGTACTTGAGACGGCTATGAACAGAAACAGAAGGAGAGAGAAGCGAGTCAATCGATGACTTGACAACTCTGGGCGATGTTGGTCCAGGCCATGCCGCACTTCCTGATGCGGGTGTGGCAGCCTTGCTGCCTGAGGCTGCCGCCCAAGCCTGAGGCCGCGAAGCTCAGGCCAAGCCAATCGCGCGTCGAAACTTGAAGTTCTTCTTGCGTCAGTCCAACAACACGCTTTCGCCCAATTCCAGTCGCTTTCAGTATTTGAAGGAAGGAGAGGCTGCTGGATTGCTACAGTTTCTTCTTTTCGCCTTCCAAGGCCCTTTTTGTTTGTTTGTTTTTTTTTTTTTTGGCACGGGCTCGTGCTGTCTTTGTGAGCTTTTCATTACCAACCCAGCATGCGAGAGACCCAAAAAAAGCTAACATTTTCCCTTCTCAGTGACACACACATCTGATAAGCGAGAAAAGATATGTCTAATAAAGGATTCTCCTCTGGAACGCCAGCTTCCACTGGAGCTTCAACTGGTGGGCTTTTCGGCTCCAGCTCTCCATTCGGATCCAACCAAGGGACGACGAATACTGGTGGCGGCATGTTTGGAAGCCTGGGTGGTGCATCAAGCGGCACTTCATCGCCATCGCTATTTGGCACGGCTAATGCTAGCTCCGGACAGAAGCCTCTATTTGGCACAGCTAATGCTAGCTCTGGACAGAAGCCTCTATTTGGCACAGCTAATGCTAGCTCTGGACAGAAGCCTCTATTTGGCGCGAACACAACATCTGCAGGCAGTGGCGGCACTACACCTACTTTCAGTTTTGGCAATCAGAACAAGCCGGCAGCGACGACAACGACGGCTTCTCCGTTCGGCTCAGCTTTGACCCCAAATAAAACCACTGAAGCTTCTGCTCCTTCTCAGACACAAACTACTGGTGGTCTCTTCGGTGCAGCCCCAGGCGGCCTCTTTGGTACGACGAGCACTACTCCAGCCCAGCCCAAAACCGGCGCGGGCTTGTTCAGCACAACACCAGCAAATCCTCCTCCAGCTGGTACTTCCTCGGGCCCAACACCGTCTCTTTTCGGCGGTCAGAATACGACAACCACGGCTTCCACTGCAACATCTCAGCCACAAGCTACTAGTCTCTTCGGGCAAAATAAAGCTAGCACCACAACGCCGCTATTTGGTGGTGCGCCTTCTGCTACAACTGGAGGCTCCCTATTTGGCGCTCCAAATGCAAACAAAACCACTGCTCCTACTCCAGCTGCGACACAGGCTCCAGCGGCATCTGCTGGCGCTACCAAACCCTTATTTGGCGCCGCGCCGACTGGCACTGCAACGACTACACAGCCATCTTCGAGTCTATTTAAATTGCCTACTGCCAATGCCGGTGGTGCTGCGTCCCCTTCTCCCTTTGGTGGCGCTGCTGCTGCTGCCTCGGCACCATCGACACAGCCTTCGACAACGGCTGCATCTTCAGCCACTCCTCAGAAACCACTTTTCGGGGGTCTAGGTGGTACATCTTCGACAACCCCATCTTCAACACCAGCTACTGCGCCTTCTCTTTTCTCCGGTATAGGTAAGCCGGCATCTACCACCACAAGCACAACAGCAGCTCCCACACCGACACAGGGGGCACCGAGCGGTGGATTATTCGGCGCAAAACCGGCTACAACAACTACACCTGCTACGACAGCAGCCGCTACGGCGACTACTGGTGCTTCTGCTGCAGCAGCTCCTGCAACAACAGCGGCTTCTACTACCACTGCTACCACCACTGCGGCTGCCAAACCAGCGACACAGACCCCCAATCTTGGTGCGTCGACGTTTGGACCTGCGCCACCTGCGCAATCACGGCTTAAGAATAAAACAATGGATGAGATCATCACACGGTGGGCCACCGATCTTACCAAATACCAAAAGGACTTCCGGGATCAAGCCGAGAAGGTGGCAGAATGGGATCGCATGCTTGTTGTGAACGGAACCAAGGTGCAGAAGCTGTATGGAAACACAGTGGATGCAGAGCGGGCGACCCAAGAAGTCGAACGGCAATTGGCGTCAGTTGAAGGGCAGCAGGAGGAGTTGAACGCGTGGCTTGACCGATATGAGCGCGAGGTTGACGAGATGCTCTCGAAGCAGGTTGGCCCTGGTGAGACGCTTCAGGGGCCAGACCAGGAGCGCGAGAGAACGTACGTTTTTTGTTCCCCCTGTGTGTTTGCAGGACTCGGAGGATTAGAATTAACAATGATGTCTAGTTACAAACTTGCGGAGAAGCTTTCCGAGCGCCTGGATGAGATGGGCAAGGACCTCGGAAGCATGATTGAGGAGATCAACAATGCTTCGTCTACATTGAGCAAGACGAACAAGACTGACGAGCCGGTGAGTTTATATTGTGTTGGTGTCTGGAAGAGAGACCGAGCTGACTTCGAATGCGTGGGATAGATCTCACAAATTGTGCGAATCCTGAACTCTCATCTATCCCAACTCCAGACGATCGACCAAGGCACTGCGGAGCTGCAGGCCAAGGTCAGTGCGGCACAGAAGACGGGTCAGTCGCTGGGCTCGAGGCTCGCACAGAATGGACACGGCATTGGAGTGGGAGGCAGCGCGGCGGATGACTTTTATCGATCTTACATGGGTCGTAGATAGCGTGTTTCTTTTTTCCAATCGAGTGAACGTATGATATTTCAGTCATGATCGTTTTCACCATTTGCATTTAATGTGCTTGTGTTGGATATACTTCTAATCAATCTACGTTGAGTGATTTGACATTTACGAATTGGAAAGCTCGGCTTTGATAGATTCCCTTCCATATTCGACAGCAGTGCTTAGTCAAATCCCCGGATTCCAAGCAGACGTTTTTTTATTTTTATTTTTATTACTGGATACGGTATCGATTGCCTATACGGGAAACTACTAACCCGGAAGCATGATAGGCCGTCAGAGTTGGGAATGGTGGCCGATCAAATGCAGGGTTTGGGGCTGGTCTACTACTACTCTAGAGTCTATAGTGAGCTAAACAGCGTTTGTAGAGCATTTTGTCGCCGTTGCTCGGACCCTGCCCGATGTCTGATCCTGGGCTATCTCCTCTCCTTTCCTTTTCGACCTGCTTGTTCTCTGTACTCGACGTTAGGTACAAACTTAGGTACTCAGACATGTCCTACTACAACCAGCACCATGTGATTGACGGGCGTTACGTATGTCTACCCGACCAGCTAACACGAGTACGGAGTAATTTGTTTAACTTCGAATGTTATTCTCCTTTTTTTTAAAAAAAAAAAACAACAACTAATATGTCACACAGCCAATCAGACAGTAAGCAGCAAAGTTTCCGAAATTCAATAATCCCGATGGACTCCCATGGGTCGCAGGTTGAGAGTCCCACTTGACAGTAACGTAGAGCCTCCGCTTTGAACCATCAATCACTGTCACTGTCGGTATGGATCCAAGACATGAAGAGTCGTTTTGTGTCAGACAGTTAGCCTAGTCCAGATTAAAATTGCGTGTATGTCTTATAATCCAGGGTCATCGTGACTCTAACTACCGCAGCAACTTGGCTAACGAACGAACGTTAGTAGATACTATATACAGACTAAAAAGTCTTAATTGCCACGTGAAACTTTGCTATCCACCCGAGTTAACAGAGTCAAGCAGAAGCTGAACACTTCACAGTCACTAGCAAGACTCAACACATGATCTTGAGACTGAGTGCACTAAGAGTAAGAGTCTTGACTATAGCTTATAAGACAGATACATGGGTCCGGAGTATTATCCGAGTATCCCATAACGGCATTACCATCTCTGATATTGCCCAATTGGGTATATGCGAGGCGTTCCTGCGGCGCCTGAATACGCGGCTGTCTCGGTTAGTTGTCTATAGTGACAGGACAGCCTACAGGAATAAATCACTGGAGTGCTACTTGTCCACTGCCATAGGCCTCCACCGCTGTTGAGCTGGTGGACATCCTGTTCGATCGGTTCATGCAGCGTGGAAGTCAAAGTGGAGATTCTCGCAATCAAGGTTGAGATCTGAGAATCCGGATTCTGTCGACTACGTCGAAGGGTGTGCTGGGAGGTTCGGATATCATCACGATGGCGGGTTCAGGGACGGATTGCATGAGTGTACGTACCACAAGGTCCAAACCAAGCAGAAGGACTTCCCAGAAATATCCGACGGTGAATCAGGAACGTCCAAGTCCAAGTCCAAGTCCAAGTCCAAGTCCAAGTCCAAGTTCAAGCTCAAGTTCAAGCTCAAGCTCAAGCTCAAGCTCAAGGCACTGCTGAATAATGGCCTTGCCGTGGCGGCCACGCTACGACAGGGATGGCATCCTCCGGCGGTGCTAAGTTAGTTAGCGGTGGTTAATACCAGTTATCCATCATTCATAAGGAAGTAGAGTGGGGGGACAGGTTTTAGCGGTGCGACGCCAGCCCCCTTGAAAGGCAGAATCACAGCAATTAGGGAGCAATTAGTAAGTAGTTCGGTTAGGCATCTCAAAGGATGGTTAGGCTGCAAGCATTCGGGGAGCCTTTGTTTGGCCACGTGAATTTCTCGCGCTAGCAGATAGGGGATAATGACAGGGAGTTTCAACAGATTTTGTGTCCTAGACCTGCCTATTCCGGGATAAGCGCCGCCAAATACTGTTCAGTCTTTGAGCGTTGAAGTCGATAGTAAAAGAAGAAAGAAAAAAAAAAAAAAAACAAAAAAGAACAGCCAAGAAATTATTCATCACCAAGCGGCAAAAGCTTAGTCGCCTGCGTGGCGTCCCGATCGAAGGCGCGTTCTTCATTCCTTCTACGGTGCTTCCGCTTTCGGGTTGGGGTTTTCATTCATTGCTTTCAGTCTTTATCCACATTTCACCTAAATGTCTGTCTGTCTGTCTGTATGTAGGTAGATAGCCTCAGTTCCCATCGGATAGTTATGCCTACCGCGTTAAGCTAATCTGACTGATGATCCAGCGGTGAGGATCTCACGCACGCCAACGGCATTCTTGGATTCTGACAGGGATGGCATTGCTCGTATTGACAGCGTTGCTGGGATAGCGATCAGCACAATGATGTAACCGCCCAGCTGATCGTTGTTCGGCTCATCGTGCGCAATATATTTCTGAGATAATAGTAGTATACATCATAAACCATCGTGCCGCACAGAGACCAGAATTATATAGTACACGTCTAGTTATATCGACCGAATCCCGTAAATGGACAAATCCGCTCAAAAAGAGAAAAAAAAAAATAAAAAATAAAAAAATAAAAAAATAAAAAGCAACTAAATCAACCATGCATTAGTGCCGCGATTCTTCAGACTTTCGGTCCTCTTCCATGCTATTTTTCCCGTTGCTCGATTGTCGTACCGACGGTATGTAATTTATTTATCGCCGCCGCTTTCGTTCCCCGTGACAGACGTTTCGTGTTACGCAGATGGTCGTTACATAGGTGAACTGCGGCTCGCCCTTGTCGTATCTGCCGTCATTGGCATGCAGGGAATGCTGTTGATTCCATGCCGATGACTTCATGTAGAGTACAGAGTAGTCATACGGAGTAGTCAACTACTCCGAACTTCCTGAAGAAGTACGCTGTATTCCCCCCCCAAATGTAAGTAAGAGTAAGATGCTCTTTCAGCCAATCAGATAGCCATCCTTCGACCCTCTGCTTGACTCTAACCCCTCTGGGCATGGCGGTTATCCCGGGCGCGATGTGATTGGCCGGGGCTGTTGGTACGTATCTGTGTATTACTCTTGACGTACTATGATGGTACCTGCCTCAGGAACAGGCCCTTTATTTTGATCTCTCATCTTCTGACCGACAGAGTCTTGGATTATGCAATTCTGAGTAGGCACTAACGAACTAACTAGGTAGGTATGATTTGCACGTGATTATTACGCAGACATACCGCTGGAGATCGCCTATTGTGATAACTTAGTATTGCCACGGCCGATCGATTACCTCCTTTCTGGGTCGCGGCTAGCGTCGTTCTTCTGGCTGCTCTTCTTTCGAGTCAGAATACATGGGTTTCTTCTTCTTCTTCTTCTTCTTCTTTGATCATATATAGTTAATTTCCCCCCAGGGTTGAACGTCTTCAGAGCGTAGTCTACCGTCGTCGTTCGTACGTAGTAGTATTCGGATACCCGTACTACAGCGTAACACTGTAATACTAATAAGGATCTTCAAATCAACCTAGCACACAGAGGGGCCTCGTCGTAGTAGCGTACCAGAGTATGCTTGACCTGTGCTGGGTCTGTGCTATTGTCGCCTCTGGCCCAGTTATATGGTATATGGTATATCGTAACCGGGCAATTTCATGCCAGACAGACTTTCTTGTGCTCGCGATCATCCTATCCTCGCCACCACCGGGTGTCTATTTCTCTCACGAGAATTGATTGATTGCTCGACAGCTAAGTCACTAACTAACAAGCATGAGGATGAACTGCTGACTTCCTTCGTTCCCCCTTCCCCCCCACCGGCGGCGCGCTGACTGGCCCATCTGGCTGTTCCGACATCCCACCCCTCCACCAGGGCCAGCTCGCGCGGCGATTGGCTCGCGCTCGCAAAAAAGATTCAAGTGAGACGGACCCAAGCCAACCCCTCTACGTTTTAACTTACTTTCCCCTCCCAGCGCCGCGGTGGATCGCGAAGTGTAATCTGCTTGCACTTCCTTCTTGTCCGGGTGAGCAAACCAAGCGTACAATCAGAGAACAAAAAGGGTACGGAGTAAGACATGACGAAATGCGACATGCAGTTAGGTGTATGTGTAATCGCGTATGTAATCGTACATCCTACATTGCCGGTTTCTGATTGGACGGCGCACTCCACATCGCGCGCTAGGGAAGGCAAGAAGAAGCCGGGATTAGGGTGGGAGCTTCCCCGAAGCGGTTAGTTTTGCACCATTTTTAATGTTTGGCTATGCCGTTTAGTGCGCCGACTAGCGACTTAACCGTGATTTCTTATTAACCACACGCTAGCCGCTTCGGGACTAACCGCCAAGTCGCGGGTTGCCCTCTGCGCTGCTGGCCCTGGCGCCTTCCCAATTTTCCTTATCCTTCCTTCCTTAGTGAACGGAGTCGCTGCTTCCCTATTTCCTAATTCTGCCACCCTTCCTTCTTCTTCTTCTTCTTACCTCCGTCCCCCTCTTTCTCTCTCTCTCTCTCTCTCTCTCTCTCTCGCCAAGCTTGCTGCATTCTCGTTTATTGCTCTCGTCACGCTGATGAAGAGTCTGGTTTGACTGCCTGAGTCATCCTTCGTTTTGTTCGTTCGGTCATAAAAAAAAAAAGAAAACGAATTGCCACCAACCTTCTTTGTCGGATTGGAAATTGAACGACACCCCAAGACATGATCTTCGACTAGTTACGCTGTGTGACCTTCCTGAACCGACCCTTTTAGAAACTACAAACGCAGATTCACCTCATCCGTTGACGGCAGAGGTGCTTTCTTTCCTTTTTCCTTACCCAACAATTTCACCCGGATTGTGATCTTTTCTTTTTCCCCGCTGCTGCTGCTGCCAGCTCCGACTCCTTTCTAGTCCGTCACTTGGAAAAGAAGATATTCAAGGTGGTTGTCTCTGGAACACCGTCGATTGGGGACACGCTGGGCGGATCTCGAGCGTTTGGCGCTCTTTGCGTGAGGACTTCAAGGGGCGTGGGTAACTCGATGATGACTACGGTCTCTAGTGACATGCAAGGCGCAGATCCTGTGCCCGTAGTCCCTCTCCCTGTTGACACCAATCGCATGCACTTTGCTTCGATATCGTCCTCGTCATCTTCTATTTCCGACGGCGAACCTGAGCGCGGTCGCTCAAGATTGGATCGTCCCCGCATGGCCAGCCGTAAACCTAGTGCGTCTATTCTCGTGCCACGAGATCACCCTGAGATTGAGATTGAGGAGGAGGAGTTTCCTCCAGACGATGCTCGAGCCATGAGTCCTCGTCGTGATTCCGCTGATGTTGAGCGCTTGGGCAAGGAAGCTCGCCAAACCTTGCAAGAGTGAGTGAACAAATACCTTCCTGGGCTCATTGGTCATTTTAACGTTGTGTTTCTCTCCAGACAAGCCAAAACTCTACAATCATCATTACAAGCCTTAGCGCAACGCATTGAAGAAGTCAAAAGTGACCATGACAAACTCGAAAGCGAGAACCGATATTTACAAGACTACATTGGAAGCTTGACGCAAACCATATCCAAGTCCGAGATCACTTCTACGACCGCGGGAAAGACGAAGAAGAATCGCAAGTAGTTCAAACTTGAGCATGGGCTCTTCCTTTTTTTTTTATACCAAGCGAAACAAAAACGAAAACACTGCGATTCGATAATCGCAAATCTGGCTTTGGATGATTGTTGGAACTCAATACTCTTTGATACGTGTAACCTTTTCGTCTATTCGAGATATCAAAACGACTCTCGCCACATTACCTTTTCCAGATCATCAAGCTTCCTCCTATTGATGGTCCCTTTCTACTATTTTGTCATGGCAGATCAGAACATCATCTATCCTCGATGTTCTCTTTCTCTTTCTCAGCTTGGGTGGCTATCTGTTCAATCACAATTTCTTTTACCGCGTTCTAGACATCTTTTTTTTTCCATTCGGCGTTTCACATTGCACGTTTAGGCGTTGGTTGTCGATGGGGAAGGACATGGCGGGTGTTGTTTTGTCCCAGGTGGAAGACCCCTTTTGAGTTCGTTTTGCCGCTTTCGTCATATCCCAGGAATATCGGCTCGCCTGCCGCCACCAGGATGTTGCAAGTTCGGGGGATTGTTACGATGCATTCGTGCATGATTCCCCTATAAAGCAAGCCATGAACCATCGCTTGTGTTGCATTGTGCATCTATTTCATGAAAGAATTGCTTCTTTTCGTTCCCGCCGCCGCTTGATGTCACAGCGGGTATGGTATCACTGGGAAAGGGTTGACCCTTGATTTCCTTTTTTTTTTTCTTTTCCATTTTTCAACCGCTCCTCCTCGTGAAAAAGACAGATTCGTGTCTGATGACGTTGCCTGTTTCACTGACCCGCATCCTTTTCCATCTGAAACGCCACCCTTCAACAATCTGAGACTAGGTTGCCAAGAACACGTGACGTGTCTTCCAGAATGCACCGACACCGACTCCTTATTATTTATCTTGTACACAATATCCATTCGCCGAGAGCATTTCTCCACGGGAGTTCAAGGGTGGTAGGTGTTGTTTATGGTTTTGCTTTTTTTCTTTTTTCTTCTCAATATCGACAGTATTGTTTATACACATGTCTTGTGCATAGCGCAGCGGATTGTTTGATAGTCTGCATAGCATCGAAGGATAACATTCAAAAAAGAAAAAAGAATACTTGAGTAATTGTAGCAATAAATCTAAGCTGTATAATAGTCCTTGCCTCGAACTATGGACCTATGTCAATACCGACTGGTATGTAGGGAAAGAAAGGCAGGAAGGGGATCATCCAACATGATCCCATCAATATACAGGTACCTCATACAGCTCCAGCCTCCAGAAGGACAGCCAAACCGACCAAACTCCTCTTTCAGATTCAATTTCACCTGTACGAGTCGGAGAATCCGATTATCTTCTACTTACTCTCAAGGTTACTAAGTAGGTAAGGTAAGGTAAACTAGGTGAAGTTCTGACCACGCTATCTGACATGGCTACTCCAACACTGTCAAAGCCTATCATCTATCTAACATACTTACTACGTAGTACTTCATTGCCCAGCACCCAGAAGAGGGAGGGAGGAAGGGAGAGAGAGAGAGAGAGAGAGAAAGGGATATACCTAATTATAATAAAAGCAACCCAATCCAAATCTTCTGGATCTCCAACCTATGAATCGGGTCCGATTCGATGAATACGCATTTTTATATTTGAAAAAAAAAATTGTGAAAATTGTGGCTGTAGTTTGTAGTTGTATAAAGAGGGAGTTATTGGTTAATAATCGAAAAAGTTGAGAAAAAAAAAAGCTTCGAAAAGGGGGAAGGGGAGGGGAGGGGACATGCCAGGGCCAGGGCTAGGAGGGGGTTTTGGTTTATAGAGCAAATAGACAAAAAAGGGAGAAAAAAAAAAGCAAACAAAAGTCTGCATACATTATTTGAGAGACGTTTTGGGAGGAAAAGAAGAAATTGAATAAAAGTGAAAGCATAGAAGAATAAGGAAGAAAATCATTTCTTAGGAAAGAGAGAAAAGAAACAAACAAGAGAATCAATCGTCTAAAAAGAGGCAGAAGGCATATAATTGAAAATAGGATTTCATATGAATTTGTCACCGAAAAAAAAAAAGAAACGAGGATATAAACTGTTAGAAAATCAAGGGGAACAAACAAGATGAAAAAAAAAAACTGAGGGTAAAACAACATCAGGTAAATCGCCATATTTGTTTCTCCTCTTTTTCTTTTCATGTTTGGTTACCTCTTTTTTCTCTCCCTTTCAAAATCCACATTCTGCCATAGATTAATCTTCTTCTTTGTTTTTTTTTTTTTCTTTTCTTTTCTCTCTTTTCTTTCTTCCTTTGCTCTTCTCTCTTTCTTTATTCTCCCTCTTCTCCAAGTCTCGCGTGTATCCGAAAGAACCCGTAGAAAATAAAAAGAACAGATAGAAAAGAGAAAAAAGAAAAAAAGAATGGAAAAAGATAACAAACTCCAATCCGCTCAAGAGTCTGACACGGACAAACCTCTCATCCTCTCCCATCTGACATCCAAACTCAAATCCACTCTAGGGGCACGAGTCCATGATTTCATATGTTTGCCGTTTTTTTATGTTTTGTTTAAATTGAAAATTTACTCGGCAGCTGGGGCCTCAGTAGAAGGCACAGGGGCGTCCTCCTTCTTTTCAGCAGCGGCTGGCTCAGGGGCAGTCTCGGCCTCAGACGAAGTCCAGAGAGTCTATAGTAAATTAGCGACCATCCAGAGTCAACCTCAACGTGGTTCGGTTCGACATACCAAGTTGTCACGGAGAAGCTGCATGATAAGGGTGGAGTCCTTGTAGCTTTCCTCACTCAAGGTGTCCAATTCTACACCACCGCAAAGTTAGCTGAGACCCCAAACTTGAAATATGATCAAAGCGAACATACCGGCAATAGCGTCGTCAAATGCGAGCTTGGCCAAGTGGCAAGCCTGGTCAGGCGAGTTGAGGATTTCGTAGTAGAAAACGGAGAAGTTAAGAGCCAAACCAAGACGGATCGGGTGGGTAGGAGCAAGGTCAGTTTGGGCGACCTCGGTGGCAGCCTTGTAAGCCTCAAGGGAGGCGTCGGCAGAAGTCTTGCGGCGGTCGCCAATGGCGAACTCAGCGAGGTAGCGGTGGTAGTCACCCTTCCTGTTGGAATTGTCAGAATAACCCTGCATGCCCACCATAGGTTGCGAGACACTCACATCTTGTGGTAGAAAACCTTGGACTCGCCAGTTTGAGCAGAAGGAATCAAGTGCTTGTCCAAGACCTCGAGGATGTCTTCACAGATCTTGGCCAACTCGGACTCAATCTTCTGACGGTACTCCTTGATCAATGAAACCTGAGAATCATTGCCTTTGGATTCCTCTTTTTGCTCAATGGAAGTGACGATTCTCCAAGAGGCACGGCGGGCGCCGATGACATTCTTGTAGGCAACAGAAAGCAAATTCCGCTCCTCGACGGACAATTCTTCGTCTGAAGAGGCAACGACCTTCATGTTCTCCACCATCTCTGTTTCCAGGAGTCAATGCGACGATCAATATTGGAAATGAAAAGGTGGTTACGGACCTTCGTAGCGCTCAGCCTGCTCGGCAAGCTTGGCGAGATACACAGCATCTTCGTGACCCATTGTGATTGATGATTCTGAAAATAAGCGCAAGTCAGTGATCGTCGCAAGTCTAGGTTTATATCGAAAACAAGGCTAAATGAGAGAAGAGAACGGAAGTAATGTCGCAGGCGGGATTGGCCGGGACCCCAATAAATATATATATAGTCGCGCCATATGTTCTTGTAATTTTTCTTTCCCCCCTCTCCGCATCATTCAACGAAGCCTCGCGTACAAGCCTTGCCCCAAAAAAGACAAGTTGCGAACGTCTGGCAGCGATAGATTTTGGTAGGGTGGGTTGGTAGATAAGGCGGTCGACCTCCTACGTCACACATTCGGGCCGGTTCCATGCACGACGACTGCCTAGCACCCGTCGCTAAAATAGGCGAAAGGAACCTGCGCCGCTCCAAGGCCCGCATTTGAAAATATGCCTTGTTGTTCAAGACGCACGGAATGCCAGCAAATTCAAGGCGTTGCGATCATTGCGAAACGGGGCCTGCGTCGACGACGACGGCGGTGGTGGTGGTGGTGGACGTAGGAGGGGGGCGGAGCAGGGGGCACAGAAAGAGGGGGGGAACATGGCGGCTCACCTGAATGGATAACGCGTACCAGATACAAAACAAGAGCAGCAGCGAGAGATCGAGGGCGGGCTTGTCAAGAGCAGTAGCAAGTAGCAGGAGAGCAGATGGAAGGCAAGAAGTGGACTGGTTGGTTGTGGGATGGAGAAAAAGGGGGCGGAGAATGGGAGCTTGTTGTTGATGTTGTTGTTGTCTGGGGAGGAAGAGGGAGAGGGAGAGAGCGAGCGAGAGATGTTTTTGGAGGAAGTTGGGGAGGATCCCGTTTGTTGTGTTTGGCCGGGAGCCCACCCGCTTTGTGGGCCTGCCATTGGCCCGCTGGCAAGGCGGTAAGCGATTTGACTCCTCGTCGCTCTCGGTCTTCGACTCGGCCTCCCTCCTCACTTACGCCAGATGATTGTAGGGGTTTAATTCGAGAGTCCTGTTTGACTATCTGCTTGTTTCTTGTCTGTCCTGGCCGTCCAGCTGGCCTCAGGCGGACAGCGGACGAGCGCCTGGCTGTGCCCCTCGGGTCGTCGCTGGTAGCCTCACTTCTGTGCGCTTCTGTGAGCCAATCACCCTGTCATTTCCAGCCTACTAACTCGCACGTTGAAACTCCCTCAGCTGGCTGTCCTCTGCTCGGTGCCGTATGGCGCATGCCACTTTGGGCCGTCTTTTTCGCGACCATGCCACTTATATTTCCACAAATTCAGTCGGCGTATTGCTCTGTCCGTCGTACGCTACCAGTCCGCCTCGAGGCTCTGCTGATATGAGCAAGAAATTGCGTGCTAGTGCGCGCCGCGTGACTTCTGAAGCGTGAAAGCCTCGTCGAAAAAACACTGGCAGAATCCGTGATGAATGAGTGATAGGGAATCACCATCGAGATAAGAAAACTCCGCGCATTGGATCAAACGACCTGCATGGTGGTGGCGCAGATCTATGGTGTCGTATCATATTTATTTGCCGAATCAAGTCATGACTCTTGCTTGAGAGTTGCGTTACTTTTCTCTAGTAGTCGGGGATAGATACTGTTAGTATTATTGGTGGCCTACTCGACGGGAATTCCGTACACTTCCCCTTCCCCTTCTGTCCTCGCGATGGAACTATTACGCGGACTGTAGACATCAAAGCACTGCAGATTACCGCAAGTAATCATTTATTGATATTCACTGCAAGTCTGTAAGAACATTTCAGAAGCATCTCGCACAACCCAAACAAACAGTGCAAACAAAATAATCACCTGATGCGGGCCACTGCTGCCTCAGGCTGGGCCCAGCAGTAACGTCATCAGGTCCAGCCGTCATTCACTGACTGCCTGATTTGACTCTCTCTCTCTCTCTCTCAGATCCATCCCAACATAATAACAACCACTCCTCATCATTCACCTCTCACTCTCACTCCAAGCTAAAATGTTCCGCAACGCTGTCTCCAGACCTCTCCTCCGCGTCAACCAGAGCCTGGTTGCTACACGCTCTTTCTCCGTTGCGTCTGTCAGAATGGGCGAGGGAGACACTGGTGCTCCCAGGGCTGGTGGTGTGCTATCAGGGTTCGTGTGTCTTAATTTCGATTGTCAATGAGTTGAAATCTATCGTTCTCGTTTAGTATAATTGGCTAACAGCACTCTGCATCGATCAGTGACCAATTCACCAGGCGCGAAGCCGCTCAAGAAAATCGATACGTAAAGGAGAAGGAGCTCGAGAAGTACGATTATCATCACACCAACTTTCGTTCAGATTTCGTCGGAGCTAATTCGTGAAAACAGGCTCCGACACCTCAAGCAGAAGCTCTCTGAGCAGCGAAAGCACCTCGATGAACTCGACAAACACATGTATGTGGACAATCCCCTCTTACTCTCCTTATAGATGACTAACCTGTCTCAATTAGTGACGCTCTCACCAAAGAACAAGGCGGCGAACAGAACTAGATAAGAAGACAACAACATTGAAAGCAAACCTATTCATTCGTTGCTGAACGAATGACCCCCCTCAGACAAACAAACAAGTCACTCTCGCCACTCTATTTATCATTGAAAAACAGGACTACTTTGTCTATTCTACTGTGTACATCTATGCAACTTGATAGGAAGAAGAAACTAAACCTGGTGGTTTAGTTCCTACCATCAATCACTATCAATCGTACTGCGTAGGGTATCGTAGCTTGGTAATGCCTACGTTCACAGGAAGGAATCTGTTGTGAAAGAATAAATGATATGAATTGAAACTAAAACTAATCACACACAAACTGCCCGCTTTAATGATCTTAATTCCATTCCATTCTATTTCGTTTTCTCATTGTAAAAATGGTGATGTCTGCCACTGATACCAAGCACGCAACACAGCAAGGCCACCTGATTGAGTCTCAACCGTCCGGCCTCTGCCTCGATCATTGACATCCTTGACAGGTGGTCTGCTCTTTTGATGCCGCCTTCTGGAGGCTGTGGTAGTAAAGGTATCTGAGCGAAGAAGTGGCGGGCCCATCTTGGTGGGTATGATATCTTCATGTTCGTTATTTGTGTCGTTTAATGATGATCTTCGTAGTAATGCTTTCAGCTGCTCGGAGTCCTCGCCTCCCTCGCCGTAATTCATATAATCGATAGCTTCCGGGGGTAGTGTCGGTGATGATGATGATGATGACGAATCCTCGCTATCAGCAGTGGCAGCGGTGCTGACAGCAACCTCAACGTCGCTACTAGGATACACTGGTCCCCACCACATACCGAATTTCCCTTCCTCGTCTCGCGTTGCAAGCGCCGCCTGGGCGTTATGTGCGATCCAGTCCCGGTAGCGTCGACATTTCAGCAAATGCCATTTATTAAACACGTCTTGCCTTTCTTCCATTGATTCCCCCGGCTCGGTAAACAGAGTCAGGAGTCTGATTTCCTCCGGTCTCAGAATGTGGCAGAATTCGGTTAAGTGATGGAAAAATATGCCCTTGAAAGTATGCCCGTTTTGCGAGCAAGTGCCGTAAAAATCACACGCCTCCTCGAGGACGCCGCCTCGTCCTAGGCCAGCCCAGTGACGGCGGTGGATGGTCCGCGGCCATCCAGTTGCGAACATCACGCGCTCAATCAGTTCGTGTCCGTCTTGGAGATAACTCTGGTAGCCCGTGGCGAGCCACAGACCTCTCAGCCCGCTGAGAACGACGCCCTGGTTATAAGTGTAAACCATCGTATTGAGCACGTCGCATTTCTTCGTTCCGGGGTCTCCAATGCCGTTGTAACCCTGAATATGGAACCCATCTGCATACAGGCCGCCGGGCCCAGTCATATTAGAGTCCTTCAGCCATTGATAAGCGCGCACTGCCGCTGCTAGATAACTGGGGTCGTGGGCAGTGGATTGTTCAGACAGAAAAGGCGCATCAATGGGATCGCCCGTGAAATAGAGATACATCCCAATACTCGCCGAGATAAACAGTTCGTTGGTGATGGCATTCTTGTATGGCAGCAAATACGGGCTCCAGACCATGCCGCCTCCGCACAGCTCACTGTCCCAACCGGAAGAAGCCAGCTCGTAAAATATACGAGCTCGATGCGCAGCAGGCACTCGGAGCTGTTTGCCATGCCATGGCCCGTCAATAGTCGCATTCGAAGTCTCATAGTGCAGCTCGGAGTGCAGGTTTTGGAATTTGATACTCTCCAACCAGCCAAGAACGACCCAGAGCATGTCGTCAAAGGCCTGCATTCGAACAGCGAAGGCATTCTCGCCGAAATAAAATGTAGACACCTGGTCAAAATAGCGGTTGATGAGGTTCTCGTACGCAAGCGTCTGGTCAAGGACAGAGGCACTGCTATTATTTGACCATGACACCCATTCCGGCGAGGTCATTGTCAATGCTGATAGAGCACTGGACACTTGCGTGCCAAGCACGGCCGCAGTCCAGTCGATAGCATCCGGCCATGTACCGAGCCAGTGTTCAAAGTAACACTCTTGCATAACATCGAGAGCGTGTAGCATATCTCGAAGAGTTTGCTTGGGCTCAGAAGCGACAGTTTGTTGAATCTCGTCGCTCGCGCTGAGGATGGCTTGTGGAAGTTGTCCCGACGAAGCGAAGGAGCTGCCGAGTAGTAGAGCAAACAATGGCAAGGCCATCGAAGGAAATATCGCCACCATCATCATCTTCTCCTTGATCATTATGTTGTTTGTAGAGGGGAAGGAAGGAAAAGAAGCCAATTGACGACCGAGGAATGTACGTTATGATCGGAACGCTGTGTGGTGCATCCTCCTCCCTTGTCTCTCGATTCCAAGCGACGCTCACCCAGAACTCGACTACTCGCCAGAGCAATTGTAGCCGATTGGGATAGCATCAAGGGAGGAGCGATGTCTAAAGTCAAGGGTTATAGATAGAGAAATATATAGGGAATAAATGAGTAGTCGGAACGATTAGCCGCGTGCATGCGGGGAAGTTTCGAGCTGAGCTCAGCCAAGCTTGATGGCCCCCGGACATGCCAGTTCGGGGAGTGTGCTTTTCTTTTCTTTTCTTTTGGATTGCCGACAACGACACTCGTCTAGAACGTAAAATTAGAGCAAGATTTTCACAATTTTCTATATAACGGTCTTTCTATGTAAAGGTCAAGATTGTTTGTACGCTAATCGACACCGAATAAAATCGCTTGGGTATCAAATCAACAGAAAGGCGAAAGAAAAGGCAAAAAAACTCCGGCAACAGAAACATGCATAGAAAGACACGCCAAGTATGGGGAAAATCCACTAGTCAAGCTCGATAATCTCAGGCGCTGCAGGAGTGCGTGAGGGAGTAGCTTCAGAACTCTCTTCATTCTTGACAAGGTCAGCTTCGAAGGAAGCTCGATCTCGTTTTCGGGTTGAAGTCCTGGTGTCGGATTCCAACTCTATTACAGCCTCCCAAGAGCCATCGCTCTTGACACGGAGGGCCTTTGTCGTCTCCAGCTTCTGCTGTTGCGCAAGAGCCGCTCTCACCTCGACAAGAAACTCATCGATCACCAGAAGCGAAGGCCGGGCATCCTGTCTGCAGATGGGGCATCTAACATATGCTGCACGTTTGGTTGCCGAAGGCCTTGTTGAAAGCGTCTGCAGAAAGGTAGAGAGGTCAAAACATTCCCTGTGCGTGCACAATAATCCACGGGCAGGAACTTCAAAGATTTTCGCTGTAAAAGGGTCACGCAAGTCAATAGAGACAAAGTCATCCACAATCATCAGATCATCGTCATTGTGACTTAGAGAGAGCCGATTTTGGATTTGTTTTCGTGATTCTTGGACCGGCAATTTTTTGATCAGGCTTTGGAAACTCCTGGGGCTCTTCACCTGTACAATCTCAACAGCTACAGCATATGTTGTATTCTTTGCTCGTTGCTGTGAGGTACGCAGAACATTCAACCTAATATCATTCACACCATCCTTTAAATGAGTGTTGATCTGTAATGGCAACTGCTTAGAATTCTGCGGGCGAAAAATTTCCTTATTGTTGACATGTATGTAGACGACATCGGGCCAATAGTTTTCAGCTTGTGACCAGGCAGAAACCGAGTTGAGATCGAGCCGGCCTTGGTATCTGATGCAGCGGAGTCGATACGACACGTCCCCATCTGTTAAGACCGGTAGATACCCACGACCATTGGCCTGCGGGATGAGGCGAGACCTCCTACTCAGCATCTCGCGCGGCACAGTAAACTTCCAGGAAAACGCAGACCTGTTGGATGGCAGCTTCTGGATCGGGATCGCAAAATCCGAAAAATATTGAATGATTTCTGGCGATTGCTCTGTGGTTGAGCTAGTTGTGGCTGGTCGTGGGTGTGCAGGGTGTGGTATGGCTTGATGACTTGCAGCAGGAAGCAAATGACGAAGAGCCATCGGTGAGGCGCCGTTAGGCTGCACGGATACAGCAGGAGGATTAGAAGGAATGGGCTGTTGAGCATAGTGCCCAGGAGAAGGCCGCGTCGGAATTGTCGTAGATTGGGCGACGTTGACCATATCTGGGTGTGGCACGGGTTGAGAAACAGATTGCGGGTACGTGGTTCGTTTGCCTTGCCCTTCAGTGTGAGGCGGGGGTTGGGCCACTGGGAACAAGTTACGTGGTAACTGATGTGGTGAATGAAGGACAGGTTCCATGTTGACATTGCTAACAGTACCAGCCGCACTCGTCGATACGGGTATGCCATGAGGGCCATGTTTCATATGCGAAGGAGGATATTGGTGGGGTTGAGAGTTTGAAGGTGGAATTTGGTTTGGCGCTGTTGTGGCGACTGTTGCATTGCCTTGGGGAGTAATCATATGAAACGGAGGCGGAGGAGGGAAAGGAAGAGGAGGGGGAGGTTGGGATGGGATCGCATATTGTTGTCGTATTTGGGCCTGTTGATCTGATCGAGGGGCTTGCATCGGGCCTTGATGATGGTATGACGGTTGTTGCGGTTGCTGGTGCGGGCTAGCGTTCATATTTGCTGATGTGTGGTGGTTTGGTGGACAATTCGATGATAGAGAGTAGGCATCAACGGAATGAATGTTAGGGGGGTGATTCGAAAGCGGTGGGTGAGCATTGTTGGCTGGAGGAATATGCTGAATTTGTGGCGTGTTGAGGGTTGTCGTTGTTGGCAAATGGCCAGAAGACAACCTGCCATCTTTGTATATGTTCGCAACAGGCTGTTGTGGCAAGACACCATGCATTGCGCACAGGTGTCTATACTTTTCGAAATAAGCTAGAACCCACTGTTGTCTTGCACTAGCGCTGGAGACACAGCGTTGTCTATAAGTTCGTTGATCATCTTCGAAGAGCGACATGCAAGCCTTGAACAATTCGTCCCGAGCACCAAATAAACGCCGAGAGACAGCTGTGAATGCAATTGTCTGAAACACCGGGGATACGATACCCAGCCTTACAACCAACTCATCTACCTGCGGTGGGTGACCACGATTTCGAATATCCCCCTCGAAGACAGACCAGTGCTGTGCAATCATGCTCAAACAACGCGAAACTTGTGGGAGAGCCAAAGTGTAAGCCTCGATTTTTAACATCGAATCCAGAGGCAAAGGGTACTCAGCCGACCATTTCACGAATTCGAAGGGCAATCTCTTATTGTCGACTAGCAGCTGTGCGACCACACCAAAGTCATAATCTGGTCTAATCCCATACTTAAGAAGCTGTTGCAGTTGGGTTGGAGAATAGGAGCTGAGACAAAACAATTGATGGAGAGCGAGATAGAACATATCCTCCGTTGAACACACGGCCTGTAAGATGCGCGCTCTTGGCAACTCAACGGTCTCGGATAGACTATGGGGTCTAGTCGACGATGCCAGATATGATCTGAGTTTCTCTCGCGCGATCTTCCAAATGGACACGGGAGGAGACGATGCAGCTTGGGGCTGGGCCAGAGAAGGTGGGCGTGGATTCGGCTGCGTCCGGACAGATGCTGGCTTCTTGAACGAGCTCAGGGAAGGGGCTCGTGGCGTCGTGACGGTTTGCAGTCCTCCTGCCTTCGGGGCAGGCTGGGCCGACACCGGGTGTCTTCCTTCTGCGACAGCAACGGGACTCGCATGGGAGGCATTGCTGGATTCTGGCGATGGGAACGTGGCGTTGGAGTTGACCGCTACCGTCCCGGGCGGCTTTGTCACAGGCTGTGTTTCGCCGGGCGTTGAGGGTGATGCTGGAACGAACTGTGTGGGAAGAGTGATTGCTTTTTGTTCGGGAGCGGGGATGGATATTGACGGAGAACTGCTGCTTCCAAGACGTGCCTGTGTGTGCATCGATGTTGCACTAGAATCCGGCGGGTTTTGTCGCGCGAGTTTCTTGGACGAGTGTGCAGACTTTGAATTGGGAGATGACAGTGTCTTTGGTTCGGGGCGTGTGCGCAGGGCGGGCGCGGTGTAGTTCATCCAAGGCTTTCGAGAAGTACCAAGAAATTGATTAGCGGTCGAATTGGACGACGCGAATGGGTCTGGTTGCCCGGAGGGGTATTGCGCCGGGCTCATGATGTCGTTGTACGGACATGATAGACAGCGATGGGTTCCGAAGGACTGATTTCTGCTGTGAACTGGCGAGCTATGAGCGAGTTTCTCTCATCTCAATGGCCTGGTAGAGTGTCAGCTGGAGAGTCTCTTCCGCGTGGGAAAGCCGGTCATTTCGCGAGTGTCGTCAGGTAAGTAGTAGTAGTAGTAGTAGTAGTAGTAGTAGTCAGATCCGCGTTCCACGCGGCACGATGGGGAAAAGCACCTTTTTATATAGAAAGCTGCTGCCAGCGTGAGGGAACTCGTGTGGTACGCAGGCGATAATAATTATTTGACAGGAAATGGCCGGTGGACAGACAGACTGCAGAGGAAGCTGTACGGGAGGCTCCCCCGAAACGAGGAAGGAGGCCCCAAAGTAAAACTACGGCAGGAACTCCCTCCCTCACCCCGGCGTCAACAATCGCATACAACAATCGCAATCGCACTCGTGCTCTGTTTCTAGACTCTCCGGACCGGAACGGCAGACAGACGAAGAGGTGATTCTCTCCACCTCATGCGGCCACCCAGCCTATCAAGCGTGCAGACTACGAGCGAGAGACTTGACCTATCGTCTGGCGCATCGGCTCGTTCTATGCATCAATGAGCCTGCGGTAACTACCAGCCTATTGCAGCTGCAGGTCAGGAATGGAATAGCACTAATGAACGAACGAACGAACGAACGAACGAAGAAAAGCGGACAAAGACCGTCCTCTTTGTGCTCACTCCCATCCCATGCATGGCACTACTTGGGGTAGTTAGTCAGTCTACTAATTGCCTACTTCGGGGAACCAGAACAACAGCATGAGCCTTGCTGGCAGGGGCGGCCAAATCGCTGCAGCCCGCGTCACATTGGCGCCAGAACAGTAGCCTTGTAGGATCAAGATACTGATATAGCTAGCTATGCTGAATTGTTAATATGCCATGTCGTATCGGACTATGGATTAGCTCTGGCTGTCTGATAGTGCGGTTGATTGGACACGGCCTGCTGCCCGTCGAGCTGCTAAACGCAATAGTCCCAGTTAGCATGCGATGAATTCAGCCTGATAAAGACGTCGGAGCGCGAGGCAGAGCAGGCGCTCCTTTCAAGCCGGAGACTTCTATCGCCATGGCATGGGACAAGGCCTGCACAATATACTCCGGATGCTTCACTCGTAGAATTGCCGGATTCGGACAGGCGTAGAAAGAGCTGCTCTCTTCTGCATTTGTGGCTTTGCATGTGCTTCACCACTGCTTTTCCTGTTGTCACCGAGCGCTCTGCAAGCACACATACCTCTGGTCTCGGGCTTCCAGGTCTGCTGTGCTGTGCTGTGCTGCGTGCTGTGTTGTGCTGGGGGCGGTCGGCAGCAGCCCCGCGGTCGTTGCTGTCGCTGCTTCTGTGCTGCCAGCGCCACCGCCTTCGGATCCGCTCATCCTCTCTCTCTCTCTCTCCCTCTACTCTCCTCCTTTCTGTCCGAACCCGGCTTCCTCTTCCTCCTTCCGGAAATTCGTCACAACACCTGCTTGCTCCATGTTGCTCTTCATTCCTGCCATCCGACTTCTGGCCGCTGTGCAATTCTTCCCTCACTGATCCCGTCGATCGCGGTAGCATCCCGTTGGGAGAAAGGCTTCCGTCATGGCCCAAACACCTCTGTCCCGCCAGGCCCGCCCCGGCGACTTTCTACTTGTCATTCGTACGTCCCAACATGTTCAATCGCAACCTACTGTTTTCTAACGCGCCTGTAGATAATTTTGATGCTCGCGGGGAGGACGAGCTGACCTTGCGGCGTGGCGACAAGGTTGAATTGGTAGAGTTGGACGAGGGCTTCGGTGATGGATGGTATTTGGGCAAGCACACCTCGTCCGGCAAGACTGGCCTTTTTCCAGGAGGTATCTTTCCCACCCCATTGCAGCTGCTCCCTGTTCTGTTTCGCGACAATGGCAAATGGCAGCTGACTCTTTCCCCTCACAGTTTACACCACCCTTCCTCCCAGGCTGAATATTCGACGGCCCGCGACCGCTTCGTCCACCACGTCATCCGAGGCAACAAGCACCACGACTAGTAGCGCCGTTGTGAGTGTCGACGACATTACTGCATCGCCTGCCGAAATTGAACCAAAAGGCGAAACAACCCCGCAAGCTTCTCGACGTGTCAGCGTCTCCGAGACCTCAAAGCCCAATATGGACAATATGGGCCCAGGCGCTTCCCCTGTCCTTAACCAACCGCAACGCTCAACTTCAAGCCCGCTTCCCTCGTCGCCCTCGCTTGCGAACTCTATCCAGCGTACCATCACCCAGACTCTTGGCAATCATCTGAATGGAGGAGAGTCTCCTGTGATGAACGAAACCCTGAGCGTCATTGACGAACACATCACAGATCTTAATACTCCTCGTCACAGTGTCACCCAGGAATCCAAAGCTGTCACCGATTCCGGGAGCGAATACAGCAGCCACGTTGGTCATCGTCTTTCATACATCAATGGCCATGAGACCGATGAAGAGGAAGGCGGCCATCCTACAGAAAAAAGCGTGCGCGGGTGGGATCATGTTGAGACAGCTCGTTACCTACGGGGCCTCGGTGTTGAAAGTCACCATTGTGATATCTTCCAAGAGCAAGAAATCACTGGTGATGTGCTCCTGGAGATGGGTCAAGAATTCTTGCTAATGAAGGAGTTTGATTTTGGTGTCATGGGAAGGAGGTTGAAGACCTGGCACAAGATTAAGGGCTTTCAAGAACAGGTTAAGGGCGTTAAACAGCAACCGTCTGGCTCAATGTCCAGTGGTTTTTTCTCTGCCGAAGAGCCTGAGCGATCCTCTAGTCGCGCCGGACAGAATACGTCTTTTCTACCTCGCATTCCAAGCTTTTCTGGGGACAAGCGACCCAGCACTGGAATAGCGCCTCGACGGATGTCATCATTAGTTCAAGGTAGTCCCAGCTCGCCTACGGCTGGGAATGCATTTGCCCGTGAGCCAACTACTCGTCCTTCAGCAGCCTCCATCCGTGAATTCAATCATACTCGTCGTCACTCGTCAATGGATTCAACTAGCCGATCTCCTTATCTCGGCCAGTCCAGTGTCGGTCATCATAAGAAAGGCTCCTTTGACCGGGGCTGGACTATGACGAACGGCATTCAGTCCTTTCCCAGTCGACCCGGGACCGCTACAGAGGCCACGGATGAGGATATGATTCTCCAACAAAATTTCTTAGAAAAGGCGGATATGCCGGAAAATCCCCCCGGTATTGGCACTGCCCCCGACAATGTTGATCGTGGCTACTTTTCTGGCGGCGAAATAGAGACACGTCGAACCCGAAAGTTGTTGCGGAAGCGTGAGTCAGCCGTGGGAAGTGCCAACCATTCAAGACAGTCGAGTTACATCGAAGAACATTCTTCTAATCGCAGACATTCGCGACTTGGGAGCAACGGTTCCATCCAGGATTCAGTCACCCGCGTGTCTGCCGCATCCAAGATTTACCATAACAGCTCTGTGAAAGGTCGAGTTCGAAGCGCCGGGAGTCAACTTACCGATCCTGCTTCAGGACTTCCTGCCGTGACAGGTCTTGACGGGCAAATTAGTGGCACGCCGCCTTCTTTCTCCCCATTTGCTGGAAGAAACGATATGGAAACAACTGGTCGTTCTTCTCCAGTGCCCTTTCCACACATTCGCAGCGTCGCTCCTAAATTTCGCCGTGCCGTTGGACTTCGCACGACATCAGACGGTACAAACGGAGCTCCTAATAATCAAGAACCACCGCCGTTGTCACCTGTGAGAGATTTTGCTTCTTTCGGCCTGGGTAGAACTGGCTCTACAACACCGTCGGCAACTTCCAAAAGCTCAGAACGGCATAGCACTGACGGCTCAGGCAAGGCTGTTGACGGCATAATGCCCCTATCCAGACCCCGAATGCCGTCCAAGGCTAGCAGCAAAACGAAGAAGCACACCAGTGCGTATATGCGTGGCTTGGAGAAGAAGACCCCGCAAGAACAGATGGTGGGCTGCGATTATAGTGGTTGGATGAAAAAGCGTTCGGCCAACTTGATGGCGACTTGGAAACCACGGTTGTTTGTGCTCCGCGGCCGACGCTTGTCATATTACTACTCGGACAACGATACGGAAGAACGAGGCCTTATCGATATAACAGCGCACCGCGTGTTGCGAGCCGATAATGATCCACTGACCGCCCTTCACGCGACAATCACAGGTGCCAAGGCTTCACCTACCTCGCCGGGGGGATCAATGAAGTCTCCAACGGAGAACTCGCGCGGCCCTGTTGACGTTAAAAAGTCATCGGAAAGTCCTTTTATCTTCAAGTTGGTGCCCCCGAAGAGCGGAATGTCTCGTACCGTCCAATTTACCAAGCCTACGATCCACTACTTCCAAGTGGATAGCATCAAAGAAGGACGTCTTTGGATGGCGGCTTTAATGAAAGCTACTATTGATCGCGACCCAAGTATGCCTGTTGAGACGACCAATAAACAGAAAACAATCAGTCTGAAACAGGCACGGTTGATGAACCAGCGACCTCCCGCCTTGATGGAATTAGAACCCCCTGTCGTCCCTGAAAACAAAGAAGCAGGAAAAGAAGAAGAAAACAAGGCCGAAGAGGAGCAAGTTGACGATAGCGGCTTGAAGATCCAAGGGTTGAGCCTGGAGAAACCCGCTGTCAGTGCTGAGGCCCCTCAAGAAGACGATAGTCTTGCTAAGGAAATTGGCAAGATTGAGCCTCAGCTAGCACCGGCTGCAGAATCCTTGTCGTGAAAATAGAAGCCGTGCCTATTACCACGGTGGTATGAGCTACCTCCAACTCCTCTGATGATTTGTTTTCCACCTTCGCTTTCCTTCCCCCCTTTTGATGTTTTTTCCCCCATGACTTTCTATTCTCTCGACTGCTGCGCCGGCATACCATGAATTATATGGCGATAAATACATGTGGCGTGGTAATAATTCTCTTTTCAGCGTTTTGCCCTTCCCTTCCTGTACCTCTCAGATATACCCCCCCCTTCGTTTGGACTATTGCACTTTTTATTCTATTTTCATCTTACACGGCTTTTTTCTCGCATTTATTCATCATGCACAAATATATGAGGAAATATGACGAGCCCAATGCCTGCGGACGTTATGCTTGTTGAGATTCTAAGACAGGTAATATTATGTTAGTATTAGTTGACATGCTGTTTCTGTGATTGAGCTCGTGTAAAACGAAGTTTCCTGCATACTTATCTCTTAATACATTTAATTATTTTTCAATTGATCAGCTTCGCCGCGAGAGTTATTATCGTAGCTATATATCAAGCAGTATTAACTCAAACGTGGTGCGGGCGGAAGTTGATTGACTGCGGGTAGCTTCACTTTCTGGCCAACTTCGTTACTCTGTACAGCTCTGCAAAACAAAGACACACGGAGCAACGATGTTGGCTGTCCGTCTCAACTCTCTACATTTTGATTATATATAAAAGAATCGAATTCATGACGCGCTCCGAACAACCATCCTTGGCTCAATGTCCCTCCGTCTCGTCCTCCAGAGGATCCTGTTCACCATCCTGCTTCCTCTGTCCCTGACCTCCGCGATCTCTCTATACTTATACCCCGTTCTGCAGGGATGCGCATTTCCCGTTCCAGCAACAAATACTGCAAATGACAGCGCGTCGCAATGGGTGAGGAATGGCGTGGTAAACACCCTTTTCCAGCATGCCGCCGCTTGGAGCAGCTCCATGCCAATACTCCCTCAGTTCCCGCCCCATAACAACTCTTCTGAGCCTGCCATATTCCGTCTTCTAGTCCTCGCTGATCCTCAGATTGAAGGCGACAGCTCCCTGCCATCTCCAGATGACGAGTTCGTTCCGCGCTTACGCCGGCATTGGGCAACGTTACGGTCTAGCTCGTTCAATACTCAAACCTTGAAAGATGTTGCGCATACAATTGCTTTTGAAGATTTCCCCTCGGCTTTCCGGGCTGCTCGAAAACGTCTGGATCTACTGGGCAATGATTATTACCTGGCGCATATCTACAGAACGCTGTCGTGGTGGAGTCGGCCGACGCACGTCACGGTGTTGGGCGACTTGATCGGAAGTCAATGGGTGAATGATGAGGAGTTTGAGAATCGCGCATGGAGGTACTGGAATCGTGTGTTTCGCGATGGTGAGAGGGTCAATGATGATATAACCATATCCCACGGCGAGGATGAAAACCTGGAAACCCTGCAGCGATACAATTCTTCCTGGGCAAATAGAATCATCAACATTGCCGGAAACCACGATATCGGATACGCTGGCGACGTATCCAAGCGACGACTGGAGCGTTTCGAGCAAGCCTTTGGCCGTGCCAATTGGGACATCAGATTTGTACATCCTCCTCTCGAGGGCGGGAAACAAGAAGAAGACAGCAATACCCAGACACGACCTACCCTCCACATTATAAATTTGAATGACTTGACTCTTGACGGCCCGCCGTTCGACCAAGACATCCAATCTGACAGCTACGCATACATCAACGATATTCTCAACCACAGATCACACCCAGTCGAGGACCAGACCTCATTCACTCTTCTTCTGACACATGTACCTCTGCACAAGCGCGAAGGAGTCTGTGTCGACGGTCCCTACTTTACATTTTTCGACCACGATGACGGCACCAACAATAACCCAGCCTCGCGGTTCCGAAAAGGCGGCCTTCGCGAACAGAATCATCTAAGTGAATACGTCAGTACCAATGCGATTCTTGAGGGTATTTTTGGCATGAGTGCAGATTCGCACTCGTCGCCGGCCAATGGGCAGGGTCGCCGCGGCCTCATTCTGACAGGACACGACCATGAGGGCTGCGATGTTATCCATTTCATCAACCGCACCGATGATAGCGATGCACTTGATGCGAAACACTCTGAATCATATCACTGGGATGCCACGCGCTACCACCACCACCACTACCCTCCAACACCTAACCCTTCCATCCGCGAAGTTACCATGCGCTCAATGATGGGCCAATACGACGGCAACGCAGCCCTGCTCTCGCTCTGGTTCGATTCCGATCCTGCGGTCAATCAATGGCAGTACGAAATCCAGATGTGTCCTGCAGGTGTTCAGCATATCTGGTGGGCTGTTCACGGGTTAGCGTTTGCGTGTCTGATTGGATTGGGGATTGTGACAATTCTGCGCGTTTTGGAGTTGGCTTTTTGGCCTTCGAGAGGAGGTGGTGGGAAGAGGAATGAGGCTAGAAAGAGCTAGACAATTGGTCCTCTTTTTTTTTTTCTTTCTCTCTCTTGAATCTACTTTTTGTACAAATGCGTGTATATATCTAAATACCTTTTCGCCCTGTGTAATCATGCACTTTTTACCTTATCCCTAAAATTCATCTATACAAGTATGATTTCTTTTTTGGCAAATTAAAAAATTCGGGATATCATTGATCGATGCAACTAACAAGCCAGCCTTTCGTCAGATAAAAAAAGAGGAAAAGGAAAAATGATTCAATGCAAGGTGAAAATAGCAAGACACGAAATATCAGTCACACATAATCAAAGGAAACGCCGTTCTTCGCATAAATTGATATATAATCATATTAGTCGCAATGAACATGAAAGGAGAATGAAAGGGGGAAAGAAAACAATCAAATCAGAAGATAATTCAAAGAAAACTGCCTGCAGACTTTCCAATAAATAATCATCACAATCAGATCTTATAAATATAATCGACATTTAAAAGAGGGAAAGAAAGGAAATCATGCTTGCTGCCAACCTATGCCTGTTTTCTATGTTGGTGTACGCCTAGATGCGATTTGAAATGCGGATGTTTGAAGATTGGATACTTGCTTGTGTTGCTCGTGTTTAGTCGGCAATCGGGGTGACAATATCATCATTAAAGAGATCCTCATCCGAGTTGTGCTCAAATGCAGCGAGATGGTTGTGATCAGCCTGTGCTAAATCGCCTCCACTGTGAGGGTGGAATAAAGCCGCGGGTTGAGCATGGTGATATTGGTCGTGAGCGAGGTGGCGTTGATTGATTGCAGATAACCGATTCAATGAACGCTGAAAATCATTGAATATATTATTCGAACGCGTATTTTCTGAAACCAGATCCATGAAATCCCCGGCAAACTCAGCCACTTCGTTGGCAAGCTTTCTGTCCAGGATTTCTTCCAGCATTTCCATATCCCGCTTCCATCTCTCCTCTTTCCTTGCTCTCTCTTCTTCTACCCGTCGACACGTGCCATCTTCCTCTCTTATTTTTAGACAGTTCGGACACAAGTAATTGACGTCGCAGTAAGAGCATGAACATGGAGGGTTGTTGTTAACACAATCTTGGCACACATTAATCCCGCAGTTTGTGCATTCTCGCAAAACACTCGGACAGCGCTGACGTTGGTCTCCAACGGGCCTGTATTGAGGGCAAAAGTACGACCGACAGCCTTGCCACTTTGTAACCTCAGCAGAAGCATCGTAGTATACAGATGAGCGCGACGATGAGCGTGACAAGCTAGAGTAGGTTGGTGATCGACTGCGCCCGACTCGTCGCCCAATTCTCGAACTTCCTTCCACTTGCCCGCGGGCTCTTATAAAGTCTTGAAGCGCTGCAGGGTTCATCTCGTTCCCCCCATGCCCAGCATTGTCCCCAGCCACACTGCTTGAAGCAGAAGGCGAGTCTCTATCCATACTCGGTGTCAACCCTTGCGATTGCAACTGCGATATGAGAGTAGTAGCAGCATTGTTTACGCGTGGTCTGATTGACGGCCCAGCGTTTTTAGATAGAAGAACTGAGCTGTTCGTTTTTCCAAAAGCAGAAGCTCGGTGACTCTGCAATGCTACTTTCTCGACAGCAAGTTCTCTATACCCACATATACGAAGACGTAATCCTCTAAGGTCATGTTCTTTGCAAAGTGGTTTCGAGCAGCTCTTGCACTGTACCTTCCACTGGTGTGAATTATAGCATTCATCACATAGATTGCGGGGAGAGGCCATAAATGGGCGGTTTAACGGTCCAAGTAACTGTTGTAGCCCTTCAGGTGGACAGGTTTCTGAAGAGATTTCTGTATTCTGATCCCACAAATACGCCGCGAACTCAGGGTCTTCCCATCCGCTACCTCTCGGTAGAGGTGCTGCCCGAACCACATCAACTTCGCGCGTTGTTGTTCCTATGCTGATGCCTCCCCCGCCTGAAAAGACCGGCTCTGTACAGCACCAGTGAAACTTCAAATTTGGATATTGAGCAGAAGCTATAGGGTTTTGAAGATTATTGACATTTGCGTCTGGCACCGGGTCATGCATATTAGATGGAGAGATGGTGGCACCTGGTGCCCACCATAAAGTCTCGGGGGAGGTGTTTGAATTTGATGGTAGCCAAGGAGCTGGGCCCTTGACATAGGGATAGCTGTAGGCGCAGCTTGCACAGAGCGTTTTTCGGCAACCGACACAGTGCATTATAACGCTGCATTGCTCGCATCTCTCGCTTATAGGTTCCGAACAATTATCACATTTAATATCGTCAACGAAGATCCTGTGACTGTGACGTAAGTGAGCAGGAGTATATTTCCCATCACTATCACCAGGACTATCTCCCGTGCCCAAGGGTTCACCATGGTATCCTGTTTCTTCTTGTTCCCAGAGTCTCCCGTCTTTCCTACCATCTGGTGCACCTTTCCAGTTCAAAGGGCCCAGCCAGTTCTTTGATCTCCACAATCGATCGAATACAACCCAAACGTCTGGAGCACCATGTGGTACTCTCATCGAGACATATCCACGTCGACGAAAGCAACGGCCTGCCGGACTCGTGCACCATGCCGTATCGGTCCATATTCCCAACTTGTGACAGAGGCCTACAAGCTCATGTGTTGGCTCTGCATCTGAGTCACGACGCACCAATGAGGATCCCAGGTAAGGACGGCGTCGATGATGCCGGCAACGGTAAGTGTAGAGGCTCTTCAAAGCAAGCTTCTGCTTAGCCATAGAGCCGCTTGTGTTATTGCCCATATCTACATCGAATTGCAGGCCATACATAGTGAGATAAGGAATGATGTGGTATTTGAGCGAGACATTCTTGCAACCGCGCACAGAAAGATGCTCTAGCGTTTCTCGTCGGGAGTGGAGGACCGTGGAAATGAGTATCTGACCAGATACGGCGGTGTTGTCAAGCTCTAGGCTCTTTAAGCAGGGACTGATTGGCATGACAACCATCATGAGAAGCTGGTCCAAGGCGTAGGGCCGTGACTGGCGCGAGGCTGAGGGGTCTGGGCTACCCATCAGCCACGGCCGTGTCTGGTTGCCGGTTGGGAAGAGTAAGCGGAAGGATAGGTATTTCCATGCTGTTGGATAAGACTGTAGAAAGTTGCGAAAGTATGAGGAGATATGGTATAGCTGAAAGACGGTGTTTGTAGGAATCTGTAGAAGAAGGGACTCGAAGATGGGCGCATGAGTTGAGAAAACCCGCTCGAATGTAGATAGCTGGATGTCAGAAGAGGCTAAACTAAAATTATCGTCCTCTATATGAGTGTCTGATGAAAATGATCTTTCCATGAACACGCTGCCTAGGGGTGGCTGCTGGGAGCCAGTGCTCTCAAAATCTAGACTCATGGTCGAGAAGGGCCGGATGTACACATGCGGAGGTGAACGAGGCTCTGAGGGGAAATGGCTGTACCGGCCAGCATTATCATGGAAAGCAGGGTGAGCTTTCAGGCGACGTTTATGGTGAGAAGCGAGACAGAGAAGGCCATCTGGCAAGGACGTATTCGTGTCGGATGAAGGAAGAAGAGGAGGAGGAGGAAGGAGGAGGAGGTGGAGGAGTGGTCAGAGGCTGTCCACGCTTGTCAGTCGATTGTCAAAGCGGTTTTGGTTGCGGGCCTGCGCCTGCCGCCGGGCCAGTGGAGCCGTCTTGGCAGAATTCAATCGGAGGCCTCAGGCGGCCAGCCCGGATGGGCAGCTATCTTCTATGTCATGTGATGCCAAGGCAGATTTAGTATATTTGCGATAGTGTGCGACTTTGATAGCGAATTTTCACAATGATCTACAATCTATCTATCTATCTATCTAACACTAAACAATGCATCTGTTGTTCAGTGACGATCGGAAGAACCGCCAACAGCGTAACCCCTTGCAATGCCCCTGCGCCCTTCCACGACGGCCGAACCGCCAGCCTCCTCGTCTTCTTCATACTTGATCTCGAAATCACTTCCAAGTCCCTTCCATGTCCTTTGAGAACGTAAGAACTCCGCGCCGGGAGAGACTGTGCTACCAATCATAGCTAGGTCGCCTTTTGCCCTTTTTGCCACTGCTGTGCTGTTGGCTCCTGGACGGGCATGGTTGCCATTGCTTAGACTTTGCATGGGGCGCGAGTTGGTGACAAACTGGCCAGTCTTTAAATTGAACTCTGGGGGCGCGGATTCCAAGTCCGATTGCTCATCAATGTCTCCAATTTGAGTTTCGCTCTCGACGGCCATTGCGTCTTCGTGCACTTCAGCTGTCGGACCAGGAGAAGCCGCGGAAGAAGTATCAAGAACAGACTGATAATCGCTTCTCCACGCTCCACTCCATACCCGAGTATCGTCACTTTGCAGGGCGAGCTCAAGCTCGTAGGGGGTTATCACCGGCTTCCAGAATTCCTTACTGTCCACCAAGGAACTTTCCCAGCATCCAATGACAACCCAACCATCAATTTCGCTGAAGTTGGCAACCTTTGCAGCATTGAGCTTGCCAACGACAAACATGTAACTCTTCTTACCTGCAGCGGCGATCTGCTTCCTCACGTGGTCTACAATATGAAGGTAATTCTTGACACTCAACGTGTTGACTAGAATACCAAAAATAGGCGCAGTGCTCAATGAAACCAAAACACCGTACCGCCGACGTAAAGCTGCTGCGGTAGACGCTGGGAGGGGCTTTACATCCTGTCCTGACTCAACATTATCTGTAGGGTATATATGTATGGTCGCAACTTTCGACGAGAGAGTAAGCAGCAGCGCGGTAGGCGGATCGGAGATGTGGAATAACTCCCATTCACTTAAAGAGTCGGGATTTTCTTTGACGGATTCTGGCACCGTACGATTCGGAATGGCAGATGAAGGGTTGTGCACGACATCGGTTGCGAAGAGGTTTGTATAGCCTTCTTGCACAAGTCGATTATAAACCTCTTGGGTATGATCTGTGTATGTCACGTCGGCTGCGATGATAATTTTCGCCCTGAGGTCGGTATAAGTGTGTTTGAATGCTTTCACAAGAGGCTCAAGCGGTAGAGGTCGATGTGTAAAGACATAGATCACAGGTAACCTTGACGTCGGAGACAAACAAGCTCGTCCATAGTGTACAACAACCTCCGCGTCGACATGCTCTGCAGCAACCTCATCTACACAGCATGTACCGTACGAGGTATCAGCGAGAATATAGAACCTCGGCTGCCGCTCGTCCTTCGGACTATTTTCCTCCAGAGTTAACTGAGATGCCTTGTCAGAAAGGCTGCCATTAGACTCTCTTGTATTCGAATCTCCATTTGTAGCTTCCGTGCTTCCACTACTACTCCCAGATCTCGTGTCTTTTGTCTGCAGTCCCCGAGTCAAAAGCTGAAATACCCGTGGAGCATCTGGGAGCATATCATCCGGAAATTGAAGGGCGATTCGTTTCCACCGGCTTTGCCGAATCTCAGTCAACGTCCGCTCGATGTCATAAATGATGGAAAGCTCTTCGTCGGAACGGGAGGGGCTTGAATTTTGCGGTTGTGCCACAGGCTCTGTAGCATCTAACAGATGGGTATCCGGTGTGGAAAGAATGGGTGCTGACTCCATTATTGCAGGTACAATCTTGCCAAAACCTGGAATGCACGTCTGAGGTGGTATCGCGATGGCGGGGTAGACTTCATCTAGGAAATTTTTGGACGGAGAAAAAAGATATATCCGGCGGGTCTAATAGGGCGGCCCCGCCATGAATCGCGGTTATTGCCTCAGGCCCCAGTAACCGCCATAGTTGTAAGCCTTAGCCCACAGACATACTGTCTATAACTACTCCCTATCTTGCGCAATTACCTAGGCATATAAGCTGGTTAGCGGAGAAGTGTAAGTCTACCAGCATGGCTTTAATCAGCTGAATAGAAGTGATTAGGATTGTGGTGTGATTGTGAATCAGTGCATTTTCCATTGTGAAAGGATATGTTAGGATTTTGTGCTTGCCTAAATTTATTTTATATTTGCATAACTATCACACAGTAGTTCAAAGATCGGCTCTCGCCGGCTCTCCAGCCCATACTCTGCGAATCAGCTCGCGTATCGGAGCTCTTTCTATCTCGCGGGGGTTCCAGTAAGGGTTACTAACGGCGATATCAGCGGCTTTGTCGATATCTTCCTCCTTCATGCCAAAGTCCTTAAGACCTCTCTTGACCTTGAGCTTAAGTAAAAGCACATTCAAGCCGTGGATGGCATCTCCATTACTCTCTGGGAGTGCTTCAGCTAGTTTCTTCATTGCCTCTGGGATTCGAGGAGCATTATACGATATGGCGTGAGGGAGGACGGCAGTATGCGTGTCTGCATGCGGGAGATTGAAACTGCCTCCGAGGGTATGGCAGAGTTTATGGTGTATGGACATTCCCACACTTCCAAGACATGTACCGCACAGCCAAGCTCCGTAGAGTGCCTGGGAGCGTGCTGAGGATGAGGATGGGTTTTCGACTATCTCCGGGAGAGAACTTGCTAATGCTTTGGTGCCTTCAATAGCGAGAAGGTTTGTTATAGGATTGCTATTGCGTGCATAAAGCGCCTCCACTGATACTTGATGTCAGAGAATCTCCAAGAGAGAAAAGTAATTCAATCGTTCAAACTTACCGGCATGAGCAATGGCATTCACTCCACTGGTTGCACTCGTTGCTACAGGTAGTGTCATAGTCAGATCAACATCGTAGATGACAGTTCCTGGAAGAATCTTCGGATCACTCCTCGTCTTCTTTACTTTATCAGCTGTCTCTCCCAGAATCGGTGTCATTTCGCTCCCAGCATAGGTAGTCGGGACACAGATATGCGACAAGCCAGTTCGAATGCTGATTGCTTTCCCCAAGCCAACAGTACTTCCGCCACCGATTGAGATGACCGCATCTGCTTTTGTATCTTGCGCATATTGCAGCGCTTTTTCAGTCACGTTCGTGGGCGTATGCATTGTAGCTTCGGTAAAGATGCCGGCGACCTTGCCATTGAGGACTTCTTTTACACGTTCCGCTAGGTGAACCTGCCGCGGCGTGGAGAGGAGGAGCGGCGCAGAGATATTGAGTCTTTCAGTCTCCTCTGGCAGTTTTTGAAGTGTCCCCGAGCCAAATATGACCCGTCCTGGGGTTGCGCTGTACACGAATGATTCCATCACTAATTCGACCGTGTACCTGTCTGGATGAAGTCAATTAGAAAAGCAGAGGAAGGAATAATACTCTTCATCCCCACTGCTGACCCTCCACATCTGATTAGCACTGCTAGAGGCGCTTGCTACAGTTTATATCCGGCTTCATCCAGCGCACGGTGGGGGTTGCCGCGGAAGTATTCTCTTCCGATGACCCGCATCGCATCCCCAATGGCATAAGAACCAACCCGCAAGCTTCTGATATTTTCTATTGTACAACACGTCTTTGCTAGATACAGTGCCAATGCTGGTAAAGCGTTGGCCACCAGAAAGTCAAGTGCTTGCTGGATAGTATACAATGCAATGCATAGACCACCAATTTTAGAAGACTCCTCGAACGCCACGCAATGCCATGCTAAGCCGCAAGAACCCTTTTGTGACCATCCCATGTCTTGGTTACAGGATAATCAGTCTAGATCTGCAAAGGCCATAACTTCCCGTCCGCTGTCGCGGCTCTTCCCCTTGTCACGCTTTCTTTTCTTGCGTGATTTGTTGCTATCTCGTCCCCTGTCAGAATCGTCGCTATCGTAATCTTCATCACTATCGCTTGAGCCATCAAAATGTCTCACAGAACCCGCCAAAGTATGGCCTTCATTATATATGCTCGGACCCCAGACTTTGACGATCTGACCACCGCCACTAACCATTCGTCCTTCGACATCGAAGCCAACGGCAGTGACACCCTCAAGCTCGTCATGCCGCAATCGGGACATGACTTTGTTGCGACCGATCGAAACTAAAGAAACCTGGCCATCTGCCTGACCAACAGCAACCATTTTTCCGTACCCAACATCATCTGGAACAACTGCCAGTGACTCTAGGGCTTCATGCTCTCCACCTTCTCGTGCAACATAGATTCGTTCATCTTGATCGTCCCAGACGCCCTTTTCCCATAGTGTCAAGACACCCGAGGCACCTCCGACAATGACTTTTTCCCCGACACTGGTTCCACTTGAGGGCAGGCCTCCGATGTAAACAGAGGAAATCAGCTCTTCCTCCTGATCTTCACTGCGGCGGATGATGCCCTTTCGTAGATCTGTAGCGGCTAACGTCGTGCCTCCCGTCGTAATCCATTGTTTACTAAATCCCGAAGTGCTGGTGTCTGATGCCGGTAGCGGTGTGAGGGAAGAAATGTAGTCATCATGAGGTCGGTATGTCTGCTCGGGACGTGCGGATTTTGGAGAGTAAGGGATACGCAAATCGTAAACATGGAGGGCACCCGAGTCGGTGGCCAGCAGGAGGGTTTGAGGAGAAAGCGCGTGAATAGTGGAAGGAGAGTCGACTTCATTAGTCGGCGATTTTCTTTGAATCGTTAGATATTCCATAGACGCGTCGAGCCGTTCTCTGATCGGACTCTGAGTGTGTATGAATATGCGGTACGAATATACTTACTTCGATTTCGCAAATGGAATCGCAATCTTATTCTCGACCACGCCACTCTCGACCTTTGCAGCCTTCACAATGCCATCCGTGCCGGCAGAATAGAGAGTCTCGCCTCCAATGCCAAATCCTAAACACCTGCAGCTGCCCTTGTGCCTGCGCGTTGACCAGATGGTGTCTATATGACCCATTCCATTGGTAGATGACAGGCGCGACGACCCCTCCCCTTCATCATTGTCTTCTTCTTCGCCATCGTCATTGCTCTCCTCACTAGGCAGTCGAAATGTCTCAACATGGCCGGAGCTCAAACCCACCGAAACAATTGGTTCTTGCGGGTGAATCGCCTGGGCAAATAGATCTGCCTTCAGGGGAAATGAGCATAACGTCTCGAATGTGTTGAACGACATTTTTTTTTTATCTGCGCCCGTTCATAACAGAGATGTTAAATTTCTTGGAGTTGGAATAATTTTTCCCTTCCTTCCTCAAGGTGGAGCTTTCCGTCAGGGCAACCGCCGCTTAGCTTAGTTAGTGTTAGTGCTAGCTTGGCTACCCCACAAAAAAGAACGTCCTTAGCATCCCAGAATTGTCTAGTTTGTTTTATCTGACTTTGAGTAGCTGTGATCAATACAGTGCTATGTTGTGTGATGAATGGGTGCCTGGCGATGTGATAGTGGTCAAGCCAGTTGTCACGGTGACATCCACCGTGCCTGCAGAGGAGCGACAGCGACTACATCTCCATCAACAAATCCTGTTGACATTTGAATCGAGGGTACGGATCAAACCATCTAATGATTTCAACTTATTAATCGTCAGGATTCGGTATCACAATGTTCGTGCGAACAACAGTCGTTGTGCTCCAGAATAGAACGTAAGAGCAAGCTGATGGCCAGTTTCCCTCAAAAGCTTGACCGCTTGGCAAGGAATAAGATTGTTCGCATGACATAGTTCCGTCACCCGAATTTTCAACAACATTGTACATCGCTGCTCCCGATTTAAGTACCCTGTCAAAGTCCCAGGAGTCGTTGATAAGAGAGGTAGGGACATGGGTTGGGGGAGAGGCAGGCACTGTGGAATGAGAGAGCATGAACGCTGCTAAAAAGGGTAGTCGAGATTAGTCATGGATGATACGGAGGCCGACCAATGAGATCCCCAGATGCAGCAGCCGCATACTCTTTAGGTACTCACCCCTCAGGTACTGAGCAGTAACCCCCTGCTGAAACATGTTTACACTGGTTAGTCATCTAGTTAGGATTTCAATCTTAGTACAATGGGTAAACCGTTGAGATGAGAAATTTCATTTGGCACAGAGGTAGGTAGTCGCTAACAGCTCGTAAAGGATGTCCCACTGGTTGACAACCTAGGTAGCACTTTATGTAGACGCATCTACAGATTTATTTCACAAGTAGACGAGTCATACATAGGTAGTAAGTCAGCCAGAATTGTTTCAATGCAGCTAACTGTTGCAAGAGTGAGGTTGAGTCGCATGAATTTCCGTTTATTCCTAAATCTCCGCCATCGCATCGGTACTAACAATCAAATCTTCCCATTCATCACACAGTTCAAGCGTGGCTTGACATTTGGTCCGTATCATTTCGAGGCTATCGGTGCCCAACGGTAGGCGTGGTGGTAGGTCCTTTCCCGCTGCCATTCCAGTGCTAGTAAGAACATCGATCATGCGGGCAACCCCTTTGGCTGAATCGCCATTCTCGTTGTGGTATATTTGACGCTGGTGCTGTCCTACTAGCTCACAGAAAGCTTTGTATTCGGGCAGCTTAGCGGGCAGATGAATAACATTCGAGTGCGAAAAAGCTTCAGTACGGAAATAGCCTGGCTCAAAGATGATGAATCGTACACTATTGTCAAACAATGCGGCAAATTCTGTTTGCAAGCATTCTGTAAGACCTGTGAGAATGTTAGATCTATCCCCAAAATTGAAACGAATGGACTTACTTTCCAATGCAAATTTAGTTGCAGAATAAGCTGTTGCTGAAGGATGGCCGCACCACCCGCCCTGCCAGTTCTAAGCAAAGGCAAAGCCTGCCATTCGGAAGATTTGCTTACTATAGACCCAATGAATGCGACCATACCAGACCGTTGCTCGCGCATCAAAGGGAGGATGGCTTTTGTGACTTTTAATGGACCGAAAAAGTTTGTCTCTAGACATCGTTGTATCCTTTCAATCCTATAATGTACTATTACTTCGGCTGAATTCGATGGCCATGGGCATGGAAGGGGACGTACGACAGCTCTTCCATTGGGCCGCTTTCAACATAGCCAGCGTTGTTGATCAGCAAGTCGATTCTCCCGTAGATTTTGTGTGCCTCTTGAATTACGGAGAAGATATCCTCCTCGGGAAGTGTCACGTCCAGGTCTAGAATTGCTGCACCTGTGTCTTTCAGATGGGCCAGCTTTGTGGCTGCGTTACGACCAGTAGCAATGACTTTGTCACCGCGGGCAATATTCTGTCGAACGAACTGTTCTCTATTCATGGTTAGACAAACAGATCCTGCGCAGGGCACACGTGTTTAGAACCCAGAGGGACTTACCCAAATCCAGAAGAGCAGCCCGTGATTAGCCAAACCCTTGATTCCATAGCTATTCGCCTAAAGCAGAATGGACGAAGCAATAGAAGAAAACATGAGATCTTGTATCGTAGTCAATTGTATGTCAAGGTAGGTAGTCATATTACCCTCCACTTCCCAATGAGCAGCCCGAAAGAAAAACCACAGGAGAATGCCAACTAGAGCTGGGGGGCACCCCATCTTTAAGGAAGCTCTTGGTGGAAACTCTGCAAAGACCAGAAGACAAAGAATGGGGGGTTATCGGCAGTTGAAAGACACTGAAAATTGAGACGAGTGACGTATATGGCCTTTTGAGACTGGTGAACCGTGGCCGAACAATGGGCGGGTAGCACCTTCAAGTTGACTGGCGGTCAAAGCATGGGATATAGCGGGGCAATGCCCGGGGATGCAGACGGGAACTCTCATCCTAACAATTTGTCAGGGTGTATGGCTAGATTTGTTGCATGGCGTTGCAAAGTGCAACTGCCAATTCGGAGCAGACACGGAGAATGTGTCTGAAACTTACAGCGCCAATACGTGATATTCACGGTAGATCGCTGTAATAAACGGAAACAGCGTGTAATGTATGGTATTTAGGGAATCTATTATACGGCTAACCGTATACGAATGTTGGACAGGCGATGTGGGCCTCTGGTGGCTGATCCAGGCCAATCAGATGGCTCCAATACATTATAAGCACTGGACTCCACGCGCATGATTGGCCGATAAGAATAGAGACGCACCGTGCGGCGTTGTTCCCTTCCTTCTCCGAGGTGCATGCGCCTGGCTCCGTGAGTACTCCGTATGTAATATCACTCTTCGCGGTTTCTTTTCCCTTCAACCATCTCATCGCGTGGTGCAGCTGACGTGCGCAATAAAATGGCCTTGGAATTCTTCAGGCAGACGGCCGATTTCATTGCCGATTCGTGGATTAGCCCACACAGCCAGCGGCCGCTCTTAGCTGTTGCGGGGGCTTCACTCACCTTGGGACTGGCCCTCGGTGCAATCTGGTCGTCGGAAAACTCGCATCCGTCCAAGATCATCCCATCGCCTTTGAAGTCTCTGCAGTCTTCGCCGAGCGAGTCGACTGCTTTCCCATTGGATGTTTTGCCTGGTGCGCGTGACGTTGCAACGCCTTATGGCTCAATCCGTGTATACGAGTGGGGACCAGAAGACGGTCAGAAGGTGCTGCTTGTTCATGGTATCTCGACTCCATGCCTTTCACTGGGAGGTCTCGCCCATGCCTTGGTAGACAGAGGATGTCGCGTCATGATATTTGATCTGTATGCATTCATTCATCGTTTCATCATGACTTGAAGTGAACTTTGAGTCGAATTCATGTAGAGCGAGATCACTAACACGCCAAGACAGTTTTGGAAGGGGATTCTCCGATTATCCAGCTGATGTTCCTCAAGATCATCGACTTTTCTCCACACAAATACTGCTTGCTCTAGCCTCATCACCACTCTCCTGGACAGGTGCATCATCCGGTCAATTCTCCCTGATTGGTTTCTCACTAGGTGGCGGAATTGCCGCTGCTTTTGCTTCGTACTTCCCTAACTTGCTTTCATCTTTGACCCTTTTGGCACCTGCTGGCTTGCTTCGGGCGTCTCACATCGGTTGGCAGACTCGGCTTTTGTGTGCTAAAGGCTGGTTCCCTGAAGACATAGTCAGCAAACTTGTCAAAGGCCGACTTAAAGCTGGCCCACTGGTCAGCCCGAAGAAGCACAAAGATACAGACAAAGACCAGACTGTCGGTGTTGAGGATGCCCTCACTGAAGGCCTTGTCGCTTCTCCAAATCAAGTACTTTCCAGGGCGTACCCATCATTGACCACTGCGGCATCCGTCAATTGGCAGGTGGAAAATCATCCAGGTTTTGTCTCGGCCTTTATTTCCAGCATTCGACATGGTCCGATTCTACAGAAGACAGAGCTCGAAAATTGGAAACGGTTGGGAAGCTTCCTCTCTCAACGCAAAGACGAGGATGACGATACCAGGATCGGTCTCTCACATAACAAGGTTTTGATCGCACTGGGAGAAACAGACAACGTCATTGCCAAAGATGATACTGTCGAAGATGCGACTGCTGCATTAGAAGGAAATGCACATTTTATCTATTTCAGCATTGGCCACGAATTCCCCAGTGTCGAGTACGACAAGTTGGCAAATCATCTTATTGAATTTTGGAAATGAAGACGAAGTTGAGGGTTTCGCCGATTTGAATTTCACATGGCTCATATGTTTTCGATATATAGATATACACAATTGATTTTGGACATTAATTTTTAATTCAACAATCCCATCATTCACTCACAGTCATCTGCCATGGACCATCATATCAACTTGCTGATTTTTAAAGATGGTCTTGTCCATCGCCAGGATTCTCTACCTCATCAAACTTTCTACATAAGCAACTTGTTCCTCCAAGCGCCTCTCATGAGCCTCTCTGTTTTGTTCTCGCGGCGACACATAATACGACTCCGAATCGGGAGAACTGCGAAGATATTTTTGCAGGCCGATCTCGTCTTCGTTCACTGGCGGCACTTGCGCTAGATTATCAGCGTTCAGATTTTGACCGCTTGTATATTGGATCTACAGTCAGCATTTGCTATATGATACAAACGACGATGACATACCCAACTGCGTGTTCATTGCCTTTGTGGTTATTGGTTTGTGACATGATCGCTCTTTGGGTTGATCATAAACATTGGCATTGATTCGGTATCAATTTGCAAAAACTTTATCGAAGTGTACTGATCAAAGTATGACTAGGCACGCCAACGAATCTTGACAAGTATGAATCAAATACTGTGGATGTTTTTCGGCATAAGCTGGGTCGAAACAGACTCTTATATACTCGAAATTTATGACACTTGTGCACAGCACGGCGGCGCGACCCATTGACATTGGTGCGCATCATTTCCGATAACAGGATAATGGTGTAATGAACGGTGGCACAGGGTTTTGAAGGAGTGCATGATTGACAAGCATACTCTTGAGTCAGGAAATTGTTGGGAAAGCCCCTATAGGTTAGGCACTCAATACTTTAAGTCATCAGGCTGTCATCCGTTTTAGTTGAAAACACCGTTGATAAGTGTCTTTCTCGCTTACAGGGACTGACGCTAAAAGGAATTGTGCGCTGCATTCACGCCTAGAGGATGGACTCAGAACTCCCTCGGCCGTTGCTATACGATACAAGGATACCCAGTCGGCATATTGCACCCGGTGTCTACATCTCGCATTCTCGATTTGACATTAACTTCGAGCTAATGGAAGTGATTGGCGAGCCTCTACGAAAATGGTGGCGTTCTCTGGTCATGGGGTACTAGAACGCCCTCCCAGAATTAAAAAGTTAATTTTTGCTTGGGAACGAGGACGGGGTCGATGCCAGGAACGCCGCGATCCCTACTTGGCGAGGCACACTTCCATAGCCTATGGGCAATTTTTCTCTTCCTATATTACCTTTTCCTCTACCTATTGGGTCTATATTCCATGACAATATCAGTGTATCAAGGATACGCGCCGCTTGCGAAAGGAAAATTAGCTGGCACAATTGCATTGTCTTGTCACGATGCAGGCCGAGAACTACGTACAGGATACATGGGTGATGAAAGAGCAAGATTGCAATCACTCACAAGGCGCATTTACCAATTTGCTTGTACGCCGTATTCTAGACAGTGGAAACCCTTTCATGTAGGCAACAATGTGCTGTGCCGTAGCGTCGATGCCGCAAGCCAATCGTCGATTTCATTTTTCTTTGGTTTTCCAACATGCATTCTCTTTTCTTTTTCCTAGGAAAGGAAAAACCATACCGCTTTCATTTCCGCCTTGGATCGTCTCATGTAATCATACATGTATGACGGATAGCTGGCAGCTAAATTCAGAGCTCATAGATCCATTCAATTTCCGGGTGGACTCCATGACGCGGGCCGCCCCGAGACCCAACAACCAACCCCACCGCAACCGATCCGCCGCAACGATCTGAGGCATGTTGCGGGTCCGACGGACGGTGGACGCTTCTAGCCCATGGTAACGTGCTAGGCTGTCGACAAAGGCTCTCTAGTTTCTGGTCTTGGAATGCAAATTTTTAAAGCAGATTACTCCGTAGTCCGTACCCTGTCAGCCACATTCTAAGTAACTAACGAGATTAACTACCGGTAGAAGGCTACTAACTTTGGGCAAAGGGACTAGGCCTTCGGGCCTTACATTTCAGCTCATAAAGGCTCCATTTTGCACTCGATAGAACATGGTCCAGATTGTTCATTTATCTGGTTATCAATGCACCTATCTCCTATACTATTCTATGACCGTCTTTATGCAAGTCCACCAATTGTAATGGGTTTATAGAGCTGCGCCACCGGTCAAAGTTGCACTTGGCCTTTGCTCCACTGGAATTTTGGTGAGGGTCCGCTCATTCATGTCAGTGACCGGAGAGAAGAAGATGATGCGCCACAAGGCACATACTGATTCATAAGACTAGGAGGAAAAATTTTTTTTTAAGTTTCTTGTGGCTGGGTAAGTGCCTTGTACGGCGTAGGTCTTGGATCACAACCAGTTTAGGCTGTCTGTGCCATGATGCCACCGTGGCCCAGGTCTATAGACGCCAGAAAGCTGGGTGGGCCCATTTCTTGCAGGTGGAGGTCTAGAACTGAGTCTTCAAACAATCTAATTAATGCAAGATGGTAAGCGGTTCTTTAGCTACCAGACCTAGACCTCTTGCGCCGTCTTTACTTTTCCTTTGTATGGTTTCCATCATTTAATCTGTCCAACCTGATTCGGAAGCGACGACATTCAGCCTGGCGGGACATCTGCTGCTGATGCTGATCATATGTACTAATGTAAAAAGAAACCAGAGGGGTAAAGGCATATCTTGGCGACATGAATATCTAATTTCGCTTGTGTCACATAGAGCATACTATCGGGCGCATCTGTACCTACCTAGATGGATATGCTGCAGAAAGATAATCTAATAGACCGGACCGGCGGAGTCACCTTCTTTGTCCATCGCTTATTCCGAAGTTTAGGAAATCCTCACTTGATCTGTTTGGAGCGGGCGCTTCGCAGACTCACGCAAACCTAGCTCGCATCGCATCGTAGGCGGACAAAGGAGGTCCAGAACAACTGATATCAGTTGTTGGCTAGCTTCGTGATGATCGTTTTGATTGAAACCAGCTGTCATTCGGCGTATATGACCAAAGTGTAGACGTTTTTTTTTTCCCCTCGCTTGCAACCTAGACCAAGGAATCCCAGGCCCGGAAAATTACATATGACTGCAACTCGGTGATATGGCATTATTGGGTGAAGACCGAGTTGATGTAGCGATTTCTCGGTGAGAAGTACGTTATGAGTTTGCTGGTGACAAGACTAGCATCACGTCCGACATTGCGTAGTTTCTAATGGCTAGGAAGTTGCCAGATCAAGAGAAGAAAGCCGCCCGAGGCTGTAGAGCGATGAATAAAAAGAGTCGGTGTGAAGTGAAGGATCATTAACTTGAGCCAACAAAGTACGCTAGAGAGATTTCAATATAGACGAGTTCATGCAGCACCCTAGGCCTAACTCATCGCTCAGAAGGAAACTAGTCGGTTATGAAGACGAACAAACCAGGTCGTTACCTTCAATCTGCATAACATTCGGCTATTCGGCTACTCATTCTGTTCTCAATGATAACTGATGGTAGAATTGATACGAGGCTTCAGACGAGACGTTGATAGGCCTTGGTGGATCCCAATGGTTCCAAGGCCGCCATTGCATTTGCAGAGTAACAAGACAAGAGACTAAGGAGCCCTCAGTATCGGATTTTAGTTGAGGGAGCCAAAGCGCCATGAATGGAGTTGGAGAAATAGAGAACGCGGGGTCGGCCTTAACCATAAGGCAAACAACGACAACAGCCCCACGTGCCGATTGGTCCGAAGTCCGTATACGCCGTTTTACTCTCAAGGCCTCGACTGCCTTCCTACTTCATGCCTGAACCAGATCCATGATTGCAGGACTGGTACTCGACTACAAGCAGAAAATTCGCAATGCTCAGCCTTGAGCTGCTCACCGCTCCTCTGCAAGCCCAAAATTTTTGCGCACTGCAGTAGTAGACAAATCACAGCCTGTATGTCCGTCCTTCCACCCAATATCATGATAACCGCTTCGGTGAGAAGGCTAGAAGCCTGAATTTCTCTTCCTGTCAAGGATTAATATCATTTCTTTATTGCAATATTAATGGAATGTCTAGACTATCAGAGCCAGGCTGAAAGCCTGTGCGCACTCTTGAGTGCATCATCAACCCTTGAGTCATGGCCGGCAGCAATCAGGCACAACTCAACTCCATCCAGGAGAAGGTCTGGGAAGGCAGGCTTCCTCTAGAAATTGTTCTAGACCCATCAGAATGCCGGACATACGACAAGTCTGATCCTTACCTGGTACGCACCATGAAAAGACTCTGGCCCAAGAAGTCAAAAGAAATGTTCCGGATGTTAACTATGTTTCACAAGATACTATATCCCCGAGTCTCGTATCTACCTTTTATACTGCCTAGACTTCATTCTTTCTTCCGGTCATCGCTCATTCATCCGGAATGCGAACCACACTCTGGGTGGTTTTCGTTCGAGGGAGTTCCCTTGAAATGGCACTATCCCTTAGGATTACTTTATGACCTCTACGCAGGTTCTGAACCTGTTTCACATTCCACTCTGACTGATTATAATAATCCGACTCAATCAGTAATTCTGGCCGGCGGCATTGGGAACCGGGCCCAATCATCTGACGAAGATGAAACTGGCCCTTCCAAGTCCGGCCACTTGCCATGGCGACTAACATTGCACTTTGAAAATTGGCCTGATGAGGATCTTGTGCGGCTTGATGCCGAAGGTCTGGTTATTCATGACGCTTTTATCAACAGCGTCAAAGAAGCCGATTCATTGCGTATTCGAGAGGCCAAGGGGATTATGACTTTATCCAAAGAGGATACAGCTGGGTTTTGGACGGCAATTCAAAATCGTAAGTTGCTTTTTCTAAGTCAATTGATTTCCTACGAGGGCATCCTTGATAGAACCTAGCTCTAATTAGTAACTGTCTCTTCTCAAGACGACATCAATTCTTACCGCCGAATCACTAACCTACTTCTTCCACCAATATCTCAACCATTCCGTCAAATTCCTATCCGCATTTTTCTTCCATTACCACCAGATTCCGACAAACCAGCACTTAAAGTTGTTCAATCACCCGTTCCTTCTTCAATTCCAATCAGCCAGACTTCTTCTTCGACGATGACTCCATCCGGAGCCCGAATGCAGCCGCAAACAGTCGGATCAGCTCTTCACACTCTATTGCCCAATCTTTTTCCGAGCCGGCGAATACCGGTCTTAGCAAAACCAGTCTTGCATGGTGTAGTGCTGCCAATGTCAGCCCCTCTTGAGGAGGTCGCGCGGAGTGCTGCGTATGGGGATGGATGGATAGCTATTGTTATCTGTATGGTTGGGTAAAACCCTAGTGTATTGAGTTTCTAGAAGCAATTAAATGACATAGCATTGAATTATCTGCTTTTTTCATTTCTTCGACCGTTGACTATCTGCTGGTACCTGCATCCTCGTCACTACAAACTTTGGAAATTGATCCAAATGACTTAGTACTACACACTTATATATGCGTAAAAAGCTTACATGAGCACTTTCAATGGCCGACATACTCAAGATATGTCGACAACGAAGAAAGTTTTAGACACGTTAAGATAAAGTTCCTTTGATGATGAATAGGCAAAACTGTATATATAGTGTAACTGGGGTATAAGATAAACCAACGCCAACGCCAACGCTATCTCTTAACTCAATTCTCTGGTGCCCACGCTCAAGGCACCAAACTGAACGGTTTCACTCTGGAGATATAACAACCATCGCCACGCTTCTTCAACAAAGCAAGTCAGAAGAGACTGCACGTATCCCACTAGTTATAACGTAACACATGAAAAATAAAATGCTCCAGAATATCCAAAAAAAATAAAGGTAATGAATTAGAAGGGTGCCATATAGTGTTAAAAGCTGTGGCTATGGTGCAATTCCGACTTTGGAATCCCCAACTCGTAGTATTTGCACAGGTTTTGGGGTCTCAGAACTATTACGGCCGTCTGTGCCGCGGTCCAGCCGCGCCGACTCAAGAAATTTATATAACGTAATTTTCGTTCTCGTTGAACGATATGAGCCAAGAAGGTGGTTTGCCTGACGAAGTCGAAAACAGGTATACCGGGAAATTAGTTGTCTAGTACACTTCGTAGAAGCACTGGGCAACTGCGTCTGTGACTAAGATGAGGACGGTTGCTACATCAGATGATGTAGAAGTGTAGAAGTTCTTTGTAGGCAATCGATTATAACAGATCCGATTAGATATTAGCAAGGCATGAGCGAAAAGTGAAGTGATATGGAAATATAATGGATGGAAAGAGTAAGAAGCGAACGGTGTCCTTACGATAGAAGATTGGCACAATACTAGTTGTGAAGGGCTTCAGTAAATTGAAAACTCCACTGACGTGTGCATAAAAGGGGTCACGTACCTGATCCAAGGTAATATAGTATCCCAAAGGAACCCTGCAACCATCAAAAGTCTCGATACAACTGACCTGTCCATGCTAACCGTAAAAGACACAATTGACAACAAATGAGGGTATAAAGGAAGAGCCGAGATAAAGTGGGATAGAGTAAACGTGTGTTAAATAGAGGCAGGACGCAAGCACCAAAGAAAGGTGAATTAGATAACAACCGGAGGAACATATTTTCTCCCTCTGGCTCGCGAAACAACTTTGGGGGTTCCAAAAACAGCCTGAATGTGGCATGCCAAACTAAGAGAACGGCTATCTGAATCGTAAATGGCGAAAAAAAAAAAATAAAAAAGGAAAAACAAGAAAACTTGTCACAAAGTGCCCCTTCTATTTAGGCCCTATAGATATGTCAGTAACGATCAGACCATTCATTCAATAGTGGATATGCCATGACTCCACTAGATAGCAATTTACCAAATATATGACCCATGAGGTGCAAAGTTAGAAGAAGTTCCCATTGACATGGATTGAATTGCCATTTTCTTTTTCTCTTTTCAAAGCTTTGGCCAACATCAACTCGCGCATCCAATCGATACGCTCGTCACAGGTATTGACAGCAAAGTGATGGGACTTGCCATTGTTAGCAAAGAAATTTTTCTTCTCACTAGTATTTCCATCCTTTGAAGCTGGTAGCAAGGAGAAGGCGAAGGCGGTATCATCTTGAGTGGTATTTTTCCGCTTGAACACTGTCTCCTTAAAAGCAGAAGCCAATTTTGAGCGAGATGCAAGTGAGGAACAAGCAACTGCGTAGTCATCAACATCAATGTGCTCCAGTGCTTTGGATTCACGGCGGGAAGCCTCTTCATCTTCGAACATAGCTAATCGCGTGCCCTTGAGTGTGAAGTGATGAGGTTCCCACTCATGTTTCAGAAGCCGCGTCCTCTTGCGTTTTTTCATCCAGCCGCTGTGAGTAATATCACCCGAAGGTCCAATTTGGCTAGCATTCAGATCCTCTAGCGTATCAATCGGTTGCACGATCTCATCGACAGTTTCCAATGTTTGAATACTGGAACTGATGCTAGAATACTTCTGGCGGTTGTTTCCGCTGGTTGTGGATGCTGGACGAGCAATTGGATCAGGCATCATACGGTGATTGTGCCCAAAATTCATGTTTGGAGGAACAGATTGGGAAGCCTCTCTTTCAATGGGGCAATCCGGTATGATGGTCAGTGGGTATTCAGTAGTATCATTGGATGGCTCTATCTCAGAATACAGATACTGACGAACATTCTCTTGCGGGTCATGGAGATTGAGTTCATTCAGTTTTAGATCCGATAAATAGAAATTGGGCGTTTGCTCCGGTCCGAGCGCATCTGAGGATGCAGCGATCGAGGGAACCGCCATTAGCTCCATATTAGGTAGGCTCTTTGCTGTTAATGGAGGTTGGTGGTCGTATTGAGCGTATAGCGGATATTGAGGGTATTGAGCAGTTTGAGGGTATTGAGCAGTTTGAGGGTATTGAGCAGTTTGGGGGTATTGAGCAGACTGAGGGTATTGAGCAGTTGAAGGGTATTCAGCGGTTTGGGGGTATTGAGCAGACTGAGGATCGTAGAAATGCTTAGTAGCCGCCATGTCAATTGGCAAGTCCTTGGCGAGTCGTGCGATCTTTGACTGTTGTCTTTGCCATTTACGGCAGTTTCTTCCTTTGGAGCAATGGTGTGGCCTAGGTAAAACCTGCTCTATAGCCACTATTGATGCCACATTATCGGGAACAAAATCTTGAGTGGAGCCTACTTGCTTCATGTGGGGTGGACAATGGGGGTCACTTTGGGGGAGGTCACTACTGTCATCTTCTTTGGTAGTTGTAGAGGACGAGTCACTCGATGAATGGTAGTCCAAGGGAGCCGTGTTCTGACTTGACGGTGCATTCGTAAAAGGCGTCTGTGGAACCAGGAAACCGTCTCGCAGGTGCTGGATGGAGTTCATGAGATTACGACGTTTTCCAAAAGATCGAATGTCGAGCTCTTTCAAGTCTTCCGGCTGGAGATCCAGGAGAATGGCCCCTGAGATGTCGTTGATGAGAAATTTGTCGACAACCGAGTCATCAAACCCGGCTTCTCGCATCCACTGAACCACATCTGACGGGGACCAAGACCTTACCTCGGTCTCATCCATTGCGGATACGGTAGCATTGATAGACTTGAGACGTGTCTGTGGGGGGTCTGCAAGGGTCTGATGATTGGGTACAGGAGAGTGTTCTATCTCAAGGTTCCATGGTACATTGTCAAATGAAGATGTTGTAGGTGTTTTTGCAAGGATAAAGTCGGCTTCGTAGGTAGTAGATGTCAACTTGTCCGAGCTCATGGAAGACCGAAAAAGATGAGGACCTTTTGGTCCTAATACTGGTTGATCATCAACATGAAAGTGGAATCCCGACAATGCCCCGGTATCCGGAGTTTGGACATCTCTCGACGTAGAGACAGTGGTCATACTATCTGCCAGCTAATCCGCGTCTCAGTTACTGCATGCAGGCATGTGAGAATTCTGAAGAGTAGAAAGCTTACCGATGCGGCGCTCCATCGTGAAGAGTCATAGAAGCCTTCTTCAAAGTCAGACTCATCGGACTCGAAGTCAGTGTCAAAAATCTCTGTCGTATTTGAAAAGGGGCGGGACCCCGGGGCCCTTCGAAGAATTGGACCTTTGGCTACATTACGCCGAGGCGAGTAGCCGGCATTATTTGCTGTTGCCTGTGCTTTGTCGTCAGTTTCATGGTTGATATAAGTCTCGTGAAAGTGGAAGTTGTTGGGTATAATCCCATACCATGTCTGCTGCCACGTTAATGATAGCAATGAAACACTCGGCCTGCGAGAATGTTTCTTGAAAGCTGTTGGCGTGAACTAGGACAAAGGAGTTATAGTTCGACAAGGCCTTAAATTCACCAGCACTTTAATCAGGCTTGGGGGGGCCGTTATAATCGAAAGTCAGAGTTGAAACCTCAAACATGTATCAATACGTAGGTCGGTGGGATAACTGGAATCTTATAATGGATCCCGCGGGTGGTTGGCACTTCACATGAAGGGCGGTCTGTTCTGAGCAATGTATCAAATCACCTGGATTCACACGGCAGGATGTGATAGAGAGATATGTCTGGCACGAACGAGCGTGCATTGGCTCGCATGGGCCGTGTGAAAAGGTGGGGTGTTTGGCACTGTTTGCATACTCAGGGCATTCTCGTTGGATAATTGAGACCGTCGGCGCTCGCCTCGGGCCGCTCATCTCAAAGATAATAGCAGAGAATATATGTGACTGCTGCATGAGAAGTGTGTTGGAGACTTTGAGTGGCTGGAACAGCACGCCACTACTGCGGGGACATCAACCTCAGCACGCATCGACTGGTGATGGACGGGTGACAACTTGCCTTAGGCGCTCACTAGCATATTTTTAGAAATTAGCGGAAATTGCTGAGGTCGCACTTTCCGTCTATAGGTTAGGAGTCTAGCAACACTAATGCTACCTAAACTGTGATGAGGAATTGTCCTCGCATGATGCTACTCCAGAGCAATTAGGTCTATTTTCTATCTCGAATACATCGTAAAGCTTTCCAAGAAAAACCATGGTCGGGTACATTCGATTAGTAAATTGCTAAATTAAGCTACACATGTGACTTTTTGTGTTTTTCCGATGCATATTTAGGGGTATTATTGAGTTTCTAAATTTAACATTAATTTTCTAATTCTTGCATAATCCACTTCCGGTGGTTGTATGCAATGCTATGCATGTCCCTCGGGCATTGTCAAATGCCCGGTAGAACATAAAATTAAACACCATGGCGGTGAGCAATTTTCTTGTGTTATGCTCTTATTGTATGTTCGACGGTTATTGCTATATCAAGATGCCCCTGAAATTATACCCTATGTACTTCAATAAGTGCTATTGCTACCGAGTGCACTGTCTATCGAAAATTGTTGCATCGAGTTCTGGTTGAGTATGTTTTCAAAAGGAGATTATTCGGTAGATCCCTAGACGTGGTAAAATTGCTACTAAATTTATCTATATGTAGTTTAAGCAAGTAAATCACACTGATTAGTTCTGTGATTAACTTGTCACAACTGATACTAAATTTATCTCATTCGAAACGAGGAGGCTAACGGTGGTTAAGTTTCGAGATTAGTGGTAATTGTTCAAGATTACATAAGTCGAGCTAATTAATAATCCAAGTTTCCAAAAATATGTAGCTAAATGGCACGATTCTAAATTTAACCCAATTTTTTCTAAATTTATAACGAAATTAACAAGTGTGTGTGTGACCCAAGTGTTGCTAATTAAGGGATATACACATTGACTAGCGTTTATGCAGCTCTTTATCACCTTATCACACCCCCCCCTCACCCCCACACAAAGGGCCGGCCCTTGTGATCCGTGACCAGAGGACCCACATGCGACGGTGACGAGAGCTTCCGAGGGATACACATTGGCTGTTGTATTGGTGGCTTTGGGCTCATGGACGAATAGAATCTTTGCCAATTGAAGCTTGACAGTGACTAAACCAGATTTGGACAGGTCGATTGGCTGCCGTTGCTTCATTTCTGTTTTGTTTTCCCAGATTCTCGTTTGTGATTGTAGTAGGCGAAAAGGAAATGCACACAGCTCATTGGCTTGGCGTCTGTCCAAATTGAGGGGGTCTGTCGTTAACAATCAGGTTGCGGCGCAACAGCGGTTGTTCCTGGCGATGGCTCCGGAAGTATTGGCTGTCATGATCCCAAAAATCTAACCTGAAGTTATCGCGCGGTTAAATCAAAGAATTGTTCCTTGTGTTCAACTCGGCCAGGACGAGTCAAAGCTCAGGCCAGCTCGTGATCGCCCAGCCATGTGATCCTCGGCGCTGATAGGCCGCCACGCATCCGCTAAGAGGAATCGGCAGGTGCCTGCCGTGCATTGGCTGCATTAGCGGCGTGCTCTTTCCCGCCAGCACCTTTTTTCATGCAACTCCCGCTACTGCTGCTGTTGCTCTCCTCTCACCTCCGGCATGCAATCCCTGCAATTTGCAAAATCAATTCGCTCTCGTTGCTCCTTGTTGCGAACGTCCTTGTCGCCCATGGCGTGTACTCCGGTGGACCCCACAGGCCAATGCCAATCTCTCCATGTCTGCCCGCTTGCTATCTTGTGCCGGACCCTTTGGCTCTGGTGTAGCTCAAAATGCGGCGCAACCAGCTGGCCATTATTAAAACGGTCTCATTCCCCTCCGTTCAATTCATCTCCAGGACTTCATATTCCATCCTCCAATAGTGCAGAACAGAGCTCGATAGTTCCTTCCACTTCACGATAGCCACTGCTGTCAAGAAACTACTTGCGTGATTTGCCTTACCGTCGGCTCATCTGTGCTATACAAGCCAGACTTTTGTTCTTTCAAATCCGTTCTTTTCCAATTTTTGTACTTCCATAACAAAAATAAAAATGCCCGTCAATGCGGATACTTACTCTGAGTCTTCCCGTTACATGGCACAGCTCGCAAATCATGCTATGAAACGGAAAGCAGCAGGCGAAGATGATCCGCCCTCTGGCCGAAGTTTCAAGAGGTCCCGCTCAGGTGAGATGAAGAATCACACATCACAACAGTCATAATCTTCTGACACGTGGTAGGATGTTTTACCTGTCGTCTTCGGAGAAAGAAGTGCGACGAAGGTCGCCCATCCTGCGCAGCTTGTATTGGCCTTAATGTGAAGTGCGACTATGATCAACCAAATTGGTGGTCGAGCCCAGAACTGCGTGTTCTCCAAAAAGGCAAAATGAAAGATAATATCAAGCAAAATAAGGTGATTGTGAAGAATCACCATGCTTTTCTTGGTAAGTCAACAGCCACACTCATCGCTAACCTCATCATCCAGTGGCAGATTCTCTAACTTATTCCCTTTCCCTCTTAGGTCGCAATGCCAATTCCACGTCCCCTCTGAATTCTAATTTCACATACAACTACCCCTATCCAGCGGAGGGTAATCCATATAATCCCCAACAATCACCGCAGGCCTTCCAGTCCGCCTCTTTTGTGCAACAGCAACAGCTACAGCAGCCTCTGCCCCAGATGCAAATACAGACACCGCAGCTACAGCAGCAATTTCCGCAGATTCAGCTAGACCCACTGCAGCTACAACAGCTACAACTACCGCAAATCCAGCTAGACCAACTGCCAGACCTACAGCTACAACTACCACAGATTCAGCTGGACCCACTGTCAGAGCCACAACCGCAGGAGCAACTGCCGCAGATTCAGCTACAATTGCAACTACAGCAGCAACAAGAGCAGCAACAGCTACAATTACAGCTACAACTACAAGAGCAGCAGCAGATACAATTGCAGCTACAGCAAGAGCAAGAGCAGCAACAGCTACAGCTACAACAAGAGCAGCAAAGGCAAGAGCAGCAAAGGCAAGAGCAACAAAAGCGAGAGCAACAAATGCAAGAGCAGCGGAAGCGCGAGCAACAGAAGAAGGAGCAGCAGAAGAAAGAACAGCAGCGGAAAGAACAGCAGCGGAAAGAACAGCAGCGGAAAGAACAGCAGAAGAAGGAGCAGCAACAGAAAGAGCAGCAACGGAAAGAACAACAGAAGAAGGAGCAGGAGAAGCAAAAGGATAAGGGAAAGGGAAAGGAAAAGCAGCAACCCCTTTATCAAGTCGATGTCACAACCGAACGCCAACTATTCATCAATGACGTACAAGCCCGAAAAGAAACCTCTGTTACAACTTTTAATACTCACGTGCCCCCACAAATAGATGAGGGGGGTCCAAGTATGTCCAAGAATGAACGGACATCTCAAAAAACCGCAATGGGGCCGCCACCCGTGCCCTTTAGGGGGTATCCTGGCCCTGGCCCTGACCCTGGTCCTGATCCTTTCACCCCCCCTGGTCAGCCCGAACCAGAAGAAGAGGAGGGGGGTCCTTCAATTATTATTGAAGATGATGCTCCGTTGTTGTGCCATTTTATTGATAACGTGTTGCGGCTCTTTTTCCCCATTTCTGAGGCTCACCAGGGAGGAGAAGATGACCAACGTATCAGAGCAATCCTTTATTCTTTGGAACACAATCAATCGTACTTTCACTGTTGTCTCAGCGTCTCAGCGATGCACTTGAAGAGCGCGGTTAAAGTCAAAGGAAAGGGTATCAACTACGATATACTTCGGCATCGTTGTGAGGCTGTTTCAACTTTATGTGATGCGTTGCGGGATACTCAAGATTACGACAGAATTCTGGATTCCTCGCTTGCTATGATCTTTTTTCACTGCGCTGTGGCCACCCCCGAGAAAGATGGCCTCCCAGATATCGCATGGTACGACCATTTTGAGGCAGTAATTAATCTGCTTGGCAGGTTGGATTATTTAAACCCCGCAGCGACTATTCATCACATAAACCCACCATTCAGTGCGAGCATAGCCACTTGGATTGATATTCTGGGTGCTACTATGCTTGGAAGGCCACCACAGTTTGCTGAGACGTATAGAGTCAAAAATCTGAGCGATCTCCCGTCTGGTCTCTACCAGCTTATGGGATGTGAGGACCGCGTGATGTACATCCTCTCTGAGATTGCTTGTCTCGATGCCATGAAATTAAGAGGGACTATAGGCGAGATTGCCGTCTGTGCACAGGTGGCATCGCTAGGCCGACAGCTTGAAAATACCGAGCCTAGGGACCCAAAACTTGAGCACCCTTACAACCCAACGAGCGGGGAGTTTCGAGCCGAAAATGTTTTCAAAACGATAACTGCTATCTTTCGTATCGCAGCTCGCATTTACCTGTGCAGTCTTGTTCCTGGATTCGACCGCCATCAAGAGAGCAATACAAACCTCATTGAAGCCGGCACTCGAGCTCTTGACTACCTTCCTGATGGACCGAATGGTTACGATCGATGTATAGTGTGGCCCCTGCTCATTATAGGCACCTACTCTGTTCCTACAAGCTCAGTGCGTTTGGTACTGCATCGACGAATGATTGAAATCGGAGATGACAATGATTTTGGCAACTGGAGCCGTCTCTATCGTGTCCTCGTGGAGATTTGGCGGCGTTCAGATGGCCATTTGAACACTGTATCTGGGAAATCCCAGACTACAACTGCGGGAGCACAAATCATGCAGCAGACTAGACTGCAAGCCGTACATTGGCGAACTGTCCTGATCGAGAAGGGGTGGGACTACCTTCTTATGTGAAATTGTCTAATATTCCTCGTTTCTGCGTTCTGCGTTCTGCTTCTCTTACCCTTGAAATTGCCCTCATTCTTGATTTGATTTTGTCTACTGTTTCTCTTTATTGCAACTGCTTGTTCTCATTTCTTGCAATGCCCTAGTTCCTCATTTCTTTTTTGGATTTGTTTGCTCTTCTCAGGATTGTTTGCGTCTTTCCGAAGCCACTATGCTCGTTGACAGATTATGACCTTACGAATGTTTGTCTTGAATTTGCTTTTACACGTCATTATGCTGATTTTCATATTGGGAGAAGTGTTTGGATGGCGATACTTGTGCGGCCGTAGTCTTGAGTTTGATGCTTGTTCACGATGCCTGTTGAGTTAGTCTGATTTCGTGCCCTTGATGGCTTATTGATTTTAGTCCTCTCTCGCGTTGAATGAAATTGGTTTTTCTTTATTCAATTTTCAAACTTAACTAGTAAATCTCAAGACTTGTAACCACTTCCGAGGTTACCAAGAAGTATTGGATATAAGCCTACGATTTCCTTCGTATTATGTCCGTAGTGCAGCCCATCTGCACGTAGAAGTCAATTTAAGCCCCCTAGAGACGACATGATTGGGGTAAGATAACTAGGTACGAAAAGAAAACGGTGCATTCTGAGCCATACATTTGCTTTTTAGCGTGATTTCGACATACGCCACGAGGGCTTGCCCACCTCATCTACCATACAGTATCTACAAGTTTTGTATGTATTAGGCATGGTACGCGCTTTGCAATCTTCTTCTTCTTTTTTTTTTTTTCTTTTTCTCTTTTGAGGGCATGAAGTCATGTCACAAAATACGTCAAAATGATTTGATATCAGAAAACTAGCACCCCTCCTCTCTATTCTCCCCCTCTTCCTTTCTCCTGAAAATGAACCGCCGTCCATAGCAGAAGTGCCCAGTCTAGCTAGATACTGGACACCGCACTCGATTTCTAAGTTCTTTACCCTCTCAGTCAAACTTTTTTTTCAGCTTGAGAGTCCCAAAAATTCTAACAAAAAATGATGTAGTCCGCATACGCAGCCCTTTGATAAGTGACCAGATGTAGGCTTTCGGTCGACATATCACGACAAAATCGCCTCCTACGCCGTCAAAACTAAACTAGTTGCTGGCTTGGGAACTTCCTGTTTTGGCATGCTATTAACCGCGTGTATGCGTGATATCACACAGCTACGATGATTGCTCTGATTCTTGATCCGGTCTAATATATTGTTGCTTTGGCATTACATGGAAGTGGCAACTCTTAAGACTTGAGTTATTTCTTGTATCTTGAACTGGTCGTGTATTGCATAACCGCCAGGCTTAGCTGTGACAGACATCGCAATTAGTAGTTGGCCGTGAGTCTTTGTTTGATACATTACGTTGAATTGCATGGTTGTCCTTCGAAAGTGAGGACGCTCATGGATGTTGTTTGACTGACTGACTGACTCATGGCTCTTTAGTTTATGTTAGACGCCTTGCACTGCGTAGCTGCTATTATGACAGTGAATGGACTCGAGATTCTGATCTACATGTTCCATTTGTTTTGCCTTGCATCATATGACTATGTTGGAGAGTGATGATGGCTATCGCGGTTGTCTAACTCTCTAAGTCTGTGTTCAAGCTTGCATTGCCATACAATGATGATAGTCATAGCCCACCTTTCTCACTGCATGGCCGCCTCGAAGAGATAGTAACTGATTCCTGAGTCATGGCTTTATACTAGTCTACGGTCTACTCTGTAATTGCATATCACCAAGTTGGTGATAGATAGTCATATCAATATTTGCTAATTGCGATGCATTCAAGGTTAAGTTTTAATCACTGTTAATATTACGGACTTAACATGAACATAAGTTTGAAAATTAACTTCAACATAATTTGGGGGCTTAGCACAAACATAATTTGCAGCAGCGTCTACAATGCCCTAATTGATGGTCATTGACATGATTACATCTCAGGTTAATTCATGTTGGATAGCCCTAGGTCGTTTAGGAAAAAGGGAGAGGCTTTTTTTATATAGTACATTTCAAGATTTTGGAATCATCTACTGTACATCTCTTTTATATTATTAATAAACTAACATCAACATGAACTATTTCAGAAATCAAATAACTAACTTATTCCACTACAATATGTCAACCAGAAAATTGGTTGTTCAACCCAGTCCACACACACACTCACTCACACAACGCAGCGAGTGACTAGGAGAAAGAAGAAAAAAAAAAGAGCTCAGATACTCATGTGGTCATCGTCATTCTATTGCTTCTTTTTGCTACCTTGTCGGCTACTGCCTCGAGTAGCAACAGGAGATTCAGGGCGTTCCTTCTTGGACGAGCTCTCGGCGCTCTTCTTGTTGAGTTTCTCGTACTCTTGCTCATCCTTCCTCTCCGCATACCACTGACCAGCTTGAAGGATCAGGACACCGACCAGGATCAAAGCAAGAATAGTATTGCTCGCAGCCAATACTTTGAGACTGTCCTCACGGCCGAGAACCTGCTCCGAGTCGTCCTCGGTTTCACCCAGCTCCGCACCATATACGCCACCACTGACGAGCCGGAGGCCTTTGACGATGTTGGCAACGTAGACGGTGATTCCGCACATGTAAAGAACCAGACTGGCACCATCGAAAAGCATGTTGGACTCGGAGGGCTTGTACAGCTTCGCAAGCATAGCGGCAATTCCCACGAAAATGACGATGTGCAGAATGCGAGGGATCAGAGGCGGCGAGGCATGGAGAAAGCGCAGGTGGGCTTCAAGGTAGTCATAGTGCGATGGGGGAGTGGGCTCGGCAGCCCAGAGCAACGGGTAGTCGTAAGGGAACAGAGAGAAGACAATTCCAAGGAAGAAGCATGTTGCTGCAGGATTGTGAAGTATGTTAGCTAGCCAGTTGTGGTCTCAAGCCACAGAGCAATGATGTTAACTATCTGGGTGGACGATAGGACACGTACGGCCAACAATGAGGAAGGTCGCGAACGACCCACTCTTAAAAGCCATCAGGAGGACAATAAGAGCTGATTCGCCAGGTGAACTGAAGGATAGCTCAAAGTGGTAGTGCGTAACTCTTCAGATGGGTCTTTTATATGATTTCACGCACAAAGAGAACAAGGCGATTCTGATGTGTTAAAGGAACTCGCGCTGCGAAAAATGCCATGTGGTGCAGCCAAGCTCTAAGATAAGACGCCATCGCCGTGAGCCAATCAGAACGGCCGATCTTTATCTGACATGCAGCCGTACTGACGCTAGTCCCTCTCCAGCCTGATGCCTCAGGCGCGCTGCGGATTTCTCTGTCTTCTACGATATGATATGGGATTACTCGAAGACTGCAAGAGCTAGGCTCTCCTACGAGGCTATGGTGCAAAAGCCCTGCCTCCGTGGGAGCCAACTGCCACTGAATACCAATTGACCACCTTACATACGCTTCAGTCCGCGCCGGCACGCACAAGGCAAGCAGAGCCTTTGATAAACAGACCTGAATTTGAAATAGGAAGAGGACTCCGCGGCTCCAAAGGCACGAATATGCTTTCGACGACTGCAAGCTGAAATCCGCGGTACTGTCTATTCGGCGGAACCGGACACGATCGTTTGTTCATCGATAAAAGCAAGCATACATATACTGCCGCATTCAAGCCGACGGCTGATTGCTTGAAATGAATTCTAGAAGTCTTTCAGGAGCGTCTGAGGAATCTGGCTTTGGTACAAGTCGAATCCATTGTTCAGACGGTGCTTCTATGACATGGCGGGGCTGGCGAACAAGCGAAAAGCAAAAGGATGGCCTCAAGGACGCGCGCTTTTTAAGGTGGTTATGGACTCAGAACTGAACTGGCTCATGATGCAAACATCCTGTCGTTCTGTCACCGGGTCAGTCAGATTTGTCATTCGAAATAGTGGAGCAATTGACATGACGCAGCACAACATTACCACGGTGGCCTCAGGTTGTATACCGTTCTCGGATCATGGGCCTTGTCAAGGCTGAACGAGTCTGCAGGTAGCCAGAACGGAATCAAGGTACTTTGGCTACAGCTGCTGCATGCGAACTTGCCCTCGATGGCAGAAGGAAGCTCCGTACTTTTGCGTGTGGAAAGCGATATGGACGTACCTCGGAACTGTACCTCGGAAATCGCGGGAATCGCAATGCGTCCTCCCTCACCGGATGCTGCGTAGGGTTGGCGGGACTAATCAGCACGGTGGCCATTCAGTATCACTCGGAGTTAGCGGTTTTTCTAAGGGGTTTGCTTGTGGACGATCTGGTCTGACACGGTAACTATACTCGGACAAGATCCTGACAGCGGACGGACGCCGCAGATGCGATGCTCTGCATGCTGCTGCTGCTGCTGCGACTCATCTCGAGCTTAGACCTAGCGTAGGAGAAAAGACCAGGATCAAATCACGAGCGAAGAAGTAAAAAAGAATGGCATCGGATCACACATTAGCTTCCCCGTAAGCCTTAAACTTTTAGAGCCAAGACGGGCGCTCTAGAGATCATTGGGAGCCCAAGGCCCGCCAAAAAGCTTGATCTGCCACGTCCCGCGATGCCGGAGCGTGCCTTCCCCAACTCTCCCCTTCTGCTCGCTGCTCGCATCGCAGAAACACCACCGCCGCCGCCGCCAACAGCTTCTCTTCCTCCTCCTCTACGCTTCACTCGCTCGCTGGCCATCGCGTTGTTTGTGGGCGGGCGCCTCGATCAACGGTCCCCCGCTAAAAAATCCGACCGCGCGTACCACCCAGGCCTAAGCAATCAATCGGACTCCAGCGTTCCCCTCTTGCCTACGTATCCTCGAGGCCACTTTGTTGGGCCAGCCAATAATTCCACGCGCAAATTTGCTAGCTCCTGCCCTATCCTCGCTTCAACCTCCTCCTATATATTCTCTTCCTTGCCGTTGCATCCAAGACCATGACTATCAGCATCCAGAGGCCACGGTGAACCACCCCCCTCCCCCGTTCCTATTCGCGTGGTCGCCTATTTCCGTCCGCTCCGGTGCATGCCGGCCACCACCCCCTCTCTCAACGATCCTTCTCTTCGTTTCTGCTCGTCTAAACGACTGTTCCAGCAAAGACATCAAAGACCAACTAATTACAGCCGCCGGAGCGCGACCGAGAACTTTCGCGACGACGCATTCTGAGTGCCGCATGACCTCGTGAGCGGAATCCGCCCACTCCCACTCCCACTCCCACACGAGTGATTCAGCGAGCACATTCATTGTATGGATCACTATCAAGGTCATGTCCGTCGAACCCCTGTCGGGCACCCCAACAGTCCCTTCTGCACCGCGGAACCGATGGGTGAACAAGCTAGCCTCGCGCTTTCACAACCGGAACAAGAACATCTCAGAGTTTTATGTCCAGCCCGATGACCCGTGGAGGGCGTATTTCCCCGGAGATGCTATCAAGGGCACGGTGGTTCTCACTGTCATTAAGCCAGTGCGGGTAACGCATCTGGTTGTCTGTCTGCACGGCTACGTCAAAGTGTTCAAGGTGACGGTCGCGCCGGGAGATATCAACCCGGAGATTGGATTTCTGGGCCCTGGCCGCGGGAGGAGAGCCGGTGAGTACATGGGAAACGGCCTCGCAACTCTTTTCGAAGATGAGGTGGTTCTCTGCGGAGATGGACGCCTCAAAGAAGGTATATACAAGTTCAAGTTTGAATTGGAGCTTCCTCCATACACTCTCCCAAGCAGTTTGAATGTAGGACGACGCCTTTTCCCCTTATATCAAAAAAGAAAAAGAAAAAGCAAAAGCAAAAAAAAAGTATCTTGGCTAAATTGACTGTTCGCAGTTCGAGCGTGGGACTATCTCGTACATAATTACGGCGACTTTGACTCGCCCTATCACAATTAGCCCGACCATTTCCTGCCATCGTCGGATTACTGTCCTGGAGGACATCAACATTGCGCCTTTTCCCGCACCAAAACCCAGGGTGGTATCATTAGAGCCGGTCTCAAAGAAGTCCAAAGTCCGAATTAAACAAAAGGCCCCCTTAGGCGACCAAAGTCAAGAGACGGCCTCGAACACGCTGGGCGTGCAGGAAACAACGCTCCCCTTGAGTCCCGCACCGAGTGAAATCAGTGGCTCTAGTCGCCGAAGCACAAGCAGCCAGAGTTTCAAAGCTGTGAGTGATTCGCACAGAACTGCTAGCGTGCGAAGCGGTGAAGCGCGCAGTACGTCAACGTCATTTCCAGAGAAAACTATCACCGCTACAGTTGAACTACAAAGGTCAGGGGCCTTGCCTGGAGACACTATTCCGCTCAGAGTCATGATCAGTCACAATCGCCAAATCCGCAGTCCTCATGGCATTATCATCACGCTCTATCGACAAGGTCGCATTGACGTACACCCTGCCATACCGCTTGGCCCTTCAGATGCCGGCGGCAAGAGGGTGTATGAAGACTTTGTCCCAAAGTCAAGAACAGGACTAAGCGGTCTTTCCCTAGGGACAAGCAAGAATAGCAGTGTTTTTCGCAAGGACCTTTTTCAAACGTTCTCCCCATTAATCATTGATCCTCGCACAATGACGGCAACAATCAAAAATTCAATTCGAATACCAGAAGATACGTTTCCCACGATTACTCGCGTCCCGGGAGCAATGATCAGCTTCAGGTATTATGTCGAGATAGTAATCGATCTTCGTGGCAAGGTAACTGCTCAAGATCGATTTCCTTGGTTGAACATGGTGTCTTCTGGTCCAATCGGCAGTCACATGGTCGCTCCCCCAGGTCTAAATAGTGGCACAACAGCGGGAAATTTGACTGGACATGTCCTGGACACTGATCCAATTCGCCGAGAAAAGGGCGTTGTGGCCATGGTTTTCGAAGTTGTCGTTGGAACTAGGGATTCTAGTCGACGACTACGACCAAATCCGGAAGAAAATGTATCAGTTGCTGACACTGCGAATAATTCACATTCCGCTACCTATGATGCGTCAGATAATTATGCTGAGCAAGCTGATGGAGACGTCGATGAAGAAGGCCACTACGATGGCGAAGAGTATTATCAAGAAGACGGTTATTATGACCACGAAGACCCAGGCTGGTCCGACTACCCTCCAAATGACCAACATTATGAGTCGTTGGAAGAGCCCCTGCAACCACCGGACACACAAGAACCGGAAGACGAGAAGTCGCGGCTGCGGCGAGCGGAAGAGTTGCTACTACCTAGTCAGCCACCGCTTGAGGAGGTAGGAGCTGGTTCTTCTACAGTAGCACCTGCACCCACAGCGCCCGATATCGCCGAAGACGATTATTCGTACGTTCACCTCGCACCCAGCGATAGGACTGTCGGAGCTGCAGCCCTGTCATCTGCTATGTCTGTTGATACTATTGTTCCTGGCCCTAGTCAAAACGAAGAACCAAGTTTTCCGGGTCCAGACCAGTCAGATGATAAGCAAGAACTTGAGAGGCGCCGACTAATGCTGGAGGCAAGTGTTCCGGTGCCGACCCAAAATGGTGACACCCAGGTTGATGATGGTTCCAACCCTCTCCCGTCAGCGCCAATTCTAGAAGAAGAGGATCAGCTAAGCAACCTGCACGACGAGACCGACGAATCTCTGCCTTTATATCAACGCTGAAGCAGATTTCTCATCAGTGCATATATATGAGGATGTGAGGGTATTTCTTTTGGTGAAAAAAAAAAAAAAAACAGCGCTTGTTGTGCCATTTGCATTTCCGCAGTTGAACATATTTTGAACTTGAAAGATACCATTGCTGTTAACATGTTGTTCAAAATTTATAGGCGTACTGGCGTTATTAGCTTTTTGCAGAGTGCGCTCCTTGTATAGATGATGACACGGCGTTTGATACTGTGTTTTGTATGCATCCAAGTCGGAGTTGCATGTTTATATTTAGTTCTGTTATTTCCTTTTACATGGCGATTCTAACTTTCGATTCTTTTTTTCTCTCTCTTTTACAATTAGTTAAACTTACTGATAATATCCATTACTTTGGCGGCTCAATGATTTGACGATAGGACTTTTTTTGGGAAGTTCCACTATTACTACCGCATAACAACCGGTCATGATATCAGATTGCCTTTTTTTCCAAGGACAGACAACGCTCCTCCTGGCCCGTTTGAGGTTTATCAATCAGTCAAAATGATAATTGATGATGTGAGGTGCTCACTTTGATCATGTGATGTCATGCTACCATCATGCCCAGTGAGTGACATCAGCGACATAACAACAAGATGATATAAGAAGCAATCCTCTACAAATATCGATTCTATCCAACCTGTCCAGCTCCTCATATCCCTAACCATTTCTTCTAATCCTCATCAAACAAATCCCCCATTCAAAACATTCAACTATACAACTATACAACAAAAAATAAGGAGAGAGAGAAAAAAGAAAAATGGCAGGCAACGACCCTCACCGTGGTGGCACTCTATCCGAAATGGCCCCAACAGGCACCACCATGCCCAACGACGCCGGCCTCCAGAACACAATCCCGTCAAAGGCACGCCGAGATCAGCAAGAGGAAGACCATCGATTCGACTACGACGGCATTGCGCAGCCCTCAGTGGCTGCGGCAGCGGACAATTCTACCGACATGCCGCGCAGTACTCGCGATGTAGGCCAGTCCGGTGAGGTGATGACGGGCATTGGAGATTCCTTACCGGCTGAGATCGAGACCAAGAATATGCATTTCCAGGCCAATGATCCGGGTGCAAAGGGCCGGGTGCGCACGTTCAAGCATGCTGCAAAGACTACCGGTGCGTTTGACAGGCTGGCTGGGGAGGATCCTGAGGGGACACAGGCTGTTGCAGAACCTGAGCAGAGAGCTTGAGTGATCTTTTATATATCATATGCGTGTTGATTAAGAGTTCTGGGAAAATTGTATGATTGATGAGAAAAATATTGTATATATATATATGTCTATCAATGTCATTGCTGGAGACACCAAATGTCAATCCTACAATATACATCATATGTCCATAGCAAAAGTCTCACGTGAAACTTACAGAAGAGCCAGTGAGGCCCTGGTATATTTCTTCAAGTACATCTCGCTTGCGTTTCCTCGTTTCCATTTCGTTGTTTTCCTCAATCTCGGGCTCGCCCTCTGGGACACGAGATACCCAGGTCCTGATTGTACCATCTCCGTGTGCAGAGTATAATTCTAAACCTTCACCAGATGATCCATTGCCTCTCCACGCCAGAGCATTGATTCTGCCGGCACTCAGTGCGCTTGATCTACCGATTCGTTGCTGGCGTGTGGCTGACATGAGCCCGGGAACTTTCAATGTCTTGATAAATGTTCCTTCGCGTATCTCAAACATCAGTATCTCGCCACGATCCTCTTGGTCGTTGAAATTAGGCCATAGCAGAATTTCGTGACCAGCCTGCACGAGGCTGCTCGGCAAGACTACCGGTGCTCTTTCTGCGAGATGCGAAGACGCACTATTTCGCACCCGCGGGCCAAAATGTACGAGCGTATTAGCACCTGTAGTTGCATTCCACACTCGAAGCCGTGAATCTTGACCTGCAGTAATTAAATGACTGCCATTTGAAGTCCATCTGATTCCAGTCACGGCGCCATTGTGAGCACGTCCACGACGGGTAAAAGCATGCCGTCTGACAGAAGAGCCTGATATAACGCCTTGTGAAAACACCCCAACGGTATCATCCATGTCCAATGATCCAATTGCAGAGCTTGTTCCTGCCTTGCGGATATCGAAGATGATCGCCCGGTTGTCTGCAGACGCAGACGCAAGAATATGTGGCCGATGCGGCGCCCAAGCTAAAGATAGGACAGCCGAGTCATGACCAGGGAGGGTGTGGGTTGCTAGACCGCTACGCAAGTCTAGGAGGCGGACAGTTCTTTCAGACGTCCCGACTGCAATGAGAAGCGTCGACGCTGGATGCGCTGAAAGAGAATGAGAATAGGGAGTCGCATGGAGGTTAAATGTGTGTGCCGGTATAATTTCGCTATTTCCAAGTGCAGAAAGCTTCAGGGTGTTGTCACGAGATGTGGTCAAGATTGTAGATGGGTTGGGATCGAACGGATAGATAGATATCGATGTCAACGAATGACTGTGGGAAGATTCATGTTGCGCCCTTTGCTAATGTCAGAGATCGTTTTAGAATGTTTTATCACGTTACACCCATCATACTTATCAACCCACGCACTAGGCTCGTGAAGATGTTCGAGTTCAGACCCTCTGCTATCAAGGTCCCATAAACGAATGGAGGGATCAGCACCACCCGATACTAGACTGTTGTACAAAAGAAGTCAGTATGTATTCCAGCACGTTCATTGTAAGCACATACTATCGGCCATAGTGGTGATCAATAGCAAGGACGTTTACCCCTGCTTTGTGCGCTAAAACCTCATGGTCTTCAGTTTGCGACTTCTTGGAGCTCGTAAATTGGATTCTGGGAGATGGCTCAAGAAGCTGTACCAAACGAGAAGTTTGGGCTACATGAAACTCCCAAGGTTCAATGGACCCCTGGGCCCGGTTCAAGAGAAAAGAATTCATACATCAGATGGAAGTATAGGTATTGTAGAATTGCATATCATCTGGTGTTGATGATATCATTTGAGACGCGACGGGGTGCCGGGACAAACTTGTTCCGAGCCGCTGTTTGTATCAAAAATAGTCAACGTTGGCGAGGTTCTAAATGCATCATACTTGGAACAATTTTTTTTGAAAAACTCATCGCATTTAGCCAGAAATCGATCATCAAACACGCTGCGCTTCAATGGGATTAATTGCCTGAGATTAGCACTCTTCCTTTCACAAACAGAAAGGTCGGTAACGTAGTAGGCAAATAATCATGAAGGGTTGTTCTCGATGGTAGGCGATTGCATACCTAGGTAAAGGGCTCGTACGACTTTAGATTATAAGAAAGAAATATGATGTGAATCGCTCGTGTGTTTCTCGATGGAAACGTCGTCTGTCCTCTGCTAGGTTGAAGCTGTTGAGGCGAGAAAGGAGAAGATGATGATGGGAGACAGTTTCTCGATTAAATGACAAGGTCATGTGCTGCCTTGCAATAGCCCGTGGGTCGCACCTTCCTGTTTGGTCCCATCGCTCAGGCAGAGCACGTGAACTTGACACTTACAGAGTCACTGTCTGACTTGGCCAATCTGTTGCGCAGTTGTGAACTGACTGACTCCTCGAAGATGGTATATCTTTATTTCAATCTCCGCGCTGTTTACACAGCTTTACTCACGGTTGAATATAGCCTCCCAAAAGCAAGTCAGTTTCGTCCGAGGTGAAACAGCAATTGATACTCAATTACATACGCTCGACATGTGCTTGCCACACCCTCAAGGACTTGGAGAAGATGCTCCCTTCTGTTGCCAGCATCAATAGCATCCAAGTCAAGGAGTTCATTACTGGGCTGGTCAACGACAACAAAATTCGCATGGAGAAGATTGGCAGCAACAACTGGTATTGGAGTTTTCCGAGTGACGAGCGGCGCGAGCGCGAGAACATGAAAGAGAGAACGCTCCGAGAAATGAATCGAGTGGCAAAACTGGTGGAGCAGCTAGAGGACGAAGTAGAAAAGAAGGAGGCTGCAGCCCAAGAGGATGAGGGTTTCCATCATGATCCTGCAGTCATTCAAGCGGAGAGAGAGGACTTGATGAAGCGTAAGGCTGAGCTGGGTGCTGAAGTAGAGCGGCTCCGGGCAGAAAAGAGTGCCTTTGAAGCCAACGATTTCACAAGCATTAAACGAAAAACCGAGGATATCGCCAAATGGAAGCTGGAAGCCATGATGTGGGCAGATAATATTGACATCATGGAACAATATCTTAATAAGCTTGCTAGTGGAGATCGTGAACTGGTCCAGGCAGTCAAGAAACAGTGCTACGGTGAGGACTATGTGGATGGCGATGACTTATGACTTGTTTGAGCTGCAGATTTGAGGCTAAAGTTCTACTTTGATATAAAACACTATAGTTTCAATGAAATAAAAGAATGACAAATCAAATTTATTTACTATCGACGTGGATTGGCATATGGCAGGCTAAAATCACAAGCTGCAGCACAAATTCATAATATCATCAGGAAGAAACCTCCCTTTACACAGTGGTAGTATGCAAATCACGGTTTCGGTTTCGTTGGGCCGCGAGGACCTCACTTGACGAGAAGGAAAACGGACTGCGTGGCAAGTCAGGCGAACGCGGGCTCAGAGCCTTCGCAAACAAATCATCAGAGTCCGAGCTTGCAGGCTGCGCCACAGGTTCAAGAAGACTAGCATTGCTGCTGCTGCTGCTGCTCTGCGCCTGTTGAATGAAAGGTGGTGGCGCGTGGGCCACGATACGCTTGACATCCGAGTTATTCATAGTGACACTATGGAAAGAGCTGAAAGACGAGACAGCTACGTCAGGAGACTGGGGAGAAAGAAGATGCGCCTCAATGGCATTCTGACGGTGGTCTAATATCATCAGTGTCTTTTCCTGTTATAAAGATAGTCCAAGTAGTTTGCTCACCTTCAGCTGACTGTTTTGGATCCTTCTCACTAGTATCCAGCTTTAATCCTTTGAGCTTCTCGCCCAGTTTGCTACCCCCAGTTGGCGAGATGGGCGTCAGAGGCGCCAAAGATAGGGATGAGGCATCCGGCGAAGACGATGAGCCGTCAAGGGCAGATGACGGTACCGTGACACCGAAATTTGCTTCAATCCATTCTTTCTCCTGGATTGCCATCTGCAGGGCTATCCCTTCGACATTATTCAAAGACTCCTCCTGGATTTCTTTCTCCAGGGATTGCAATCTTTTTTTTGCCCAAATGGTATGCAGAACACCCTTCTTCCCAGCTGTGCGCGCGGTAACGCCCAGTTCGGGTGGGAAAATAGCAGGCAAAGGGTTAATCTTAGTTGAGTCCGGCGGCTTGACAGTTGATGCCGAATTAGGTTGTGGGATATAACTCAGGCTCACAACGGGAGGGACAGTTATACCCGGAGGCAGCATGAAATAGAAGCGGCGCGTTTTTTCGCTCGTCTGCTCATCGGCAGGCAGAAGCGCCGTCTTGCCTTCCCAGAAAACATGCCATGAGCCCGGTGACGACGCGCTGCGCCCGTCGTCTTCCCACTCCACCATCAGGATCTTGGTTCCCTCATTCCCTTTGCCGGCCTCGAACTCGAAGCGGGCAAACGCTGAGATAGCGAGGCTATTGCTATTACCCGGGACGACGGGGATGTCCCAGCCAGAGAAGCGGTCGTCGTCGGGAACTGCTTGGAAAGTTTCTCTAGACATAGCGACGAATTTTCTCAGGGTCTAAGATCCAAGCTGTGTTCAAAGATGGGGCGGGTTGGGCAAGCTTGCACAGGAGGCGATGGGAAGAAGCCATTTTCACCTTGAGAGGATGGCAAGAGGGGGGCGGGATCACGGGATTTGCGAACCCCTCAGGAGTCAGGCCTGCTAGGCCTTGACAGCGCCGCGAGCATTACTTCCTTTTGAGGTAATGGACGATGAAAGAACGTTGCGGCCGGCCGAATCAGACCGTGTCTTCTAAATATAGCATGAGCCGCTGCAGGTCAATCACACCGTCGCGTGCTTCTGATTGGGTGCTGCTCAATGTACAGCCACACTGAGTAGCAGTCGGTTAATTGAGTATCTCGACGCGCGCGCTAATACCCAATCACGGTCGATGTGTGAGGGCTCTGCCGGAGAGGTCAAGATGCCGTCTGGACAGGGTCCGTCGCTGTCGGCCGCGCCATGTACAGACCGAGGCATACTTGGGTATATACCTACAACCAGCCTACCTAAGTGCCTAGGTAGGGATCAAGCAATGGAGGAGCGAAAGCAAAACGGAGAAACCTGCACGAACAGGCATTAAGGTGGTGATGGCGGTGGTGGAAGACCGCGATCTGATCAACTCGGCCGTGTCCGGGAACATAGTCGAATCGACCAGGTGGGCGAAGGCTCTCTCGACAAATCGGCCTTGCTGTTTGTAAAGAAAGAACCTCTTTATTCATAGTGAGGCTGTAGTATCATTCACTTGAGATGAGACCGAAGTTAACGAACATGTATATAGTAGCGAGGAAGATGATCGGGTCGGTGAATAATTTCGAGTTCCCTTGTCTTAGGCATGGCCGTTGTGCAAACTGGTTTCGGATTTTCAGTATTCCAAGCAAAGCCGGAGACTTTGGCGTTGCTTATCCAAGCATCGTTGCTTGGATACAAGCGAGGACGGCCTTCAGTCTGGACATTTGGATGAGCCCGGCTCGGTGAAAGCAAAGCTCCTAGGAATATTCTGGAATCAGGGCAGCAACTTGACCAAGTATAAAGCCTGGTGGTAGGGAAATGGCACTGAAAGATGTCTTCGATAGCCATAATGCTGCATTCGGATATCATCTCAGTCACAATGCCGAGGCCGAGGAGCTAACATAACGCCTCTAGTTACTCTGAACAGGAGACTGTCTATCTGCTTCAATGTTTATGAACGAATGAGCTCTCAGATGGAGCACTGTTAGTTTTCGTCGAATATTGTGCAAATCCACTGCTTTATCGAGAGGTCAGAGTCAACAATATAAGTGCTAGATTCCCTTTCGAATCTGTTCTCAACAACGAGAATGTTTCATCTAGTTCTATTCTATAATTAGTACGTACGGGTTCTTCTTGGTTTTCTTTTTTTAGCAACGGCACCATCTCCATGAACAGTGAAAGGCTTCACTTGAACTTACGCTTTTCCCTGTGAACAGGCTTGATCTTAAAATAGAGTCCAAGATCAATGGAGAAATTCCACAACCCCCGAAATATTACGACGTGGATCCAGAAAAAGCATGGATTATTGATGAAATTGGTATCGTAACTGACGATACGATGGAAACAAGCTCGTCTTGTACATACAGGTACTTACAAGGACGGAACCAGAGGTCCAAAAAGTACCAGGGATACCTAGATAGGCAAGATAAAATATTTAAACGACATCAAGATGTACAGAAAAGCAAGGGACTGGCATGGATGTTTCTGAAAATAGCATCAATTGGCATGGGTAGAAGAGAGGAACGGGCTGCAACAACCTTGAAAACGGCTCCATTGCGATATTACATGCTACCTAGTACGGAAGCTAGACATATGATATGCATTCTAAAAGCTGGTTGTCGAGGAAATGGACGCAAACCACTTCGTTAGGTGTTTGAGGAAACTTCTAATTATAACTCGCGATATCAGGATGGACGAATAGAAATGAATACCATGGATACTTCAACAATAAAAGAGCAGATCCAGCGAGGGATTAATGTTCACAAGAAGCCTAGATGCTCGCGATTGAGGCAGCCTGAGAGATTTTATAGAGCTAATCGGTGCAGGTATGGAGTACCTGCATGTATCCATGCAGACGCCAAGTGGAGATCTCTAGAGAGTAAAAATAGAAAAACAGTTGGTATACTAAATATGAACTGGTGTAAGCCTAATAGGGAAGGTGTTGAGATGACTACAGCCATGTACAGAGGCTTTCCCTTGGATGATAAATGCATGGATTGGATAGCTCGGTTAGGTGTAACAGTTGGCGAGGTGGTATTAGTGGAGTCGAGGGCAAAGAAACCAAGGCCTTTATGTATAAACCGCATCGAGAGTTGTTAATTTTAGAACATTTACAACGTTAAAATGTGAGTTGAAAGAAGAATAATGAACGATATTGATGGAGGCGATCTATTCTTAGACTTGGTGGCTTGTCTCCACTTCCTAGGCTTGCCACTTTGGGACAAGGCCGTCTAAGCTTATGGCCCTCGACTCATAGATAAATTAGAGCAATCTTTCTGGTAGTCCCATTCAATATTTCTCATGTATTCTTCACCCACGTAGGTAGGTAGGTAGACTTGCACTCATATTTCACAACACTGCGATCTCAAACGTACTCCGGCGTGCATCCTTTGATACGCACCGGCAAGCAAGGAACTTTTGGGGTATTCAATTGATTCAAATATACCGGGACAAGTGTATTAGTTTGCTTCTAAAATTGCACTAAGCTTGCGAGATTTGCATGGGTTCATACTCCGTGGATGTCGATGTAAACATTGAAAAAGGGCATAACTCCTCGCTGGCTCGTTTGCCCCGCCTATATCGTAATTTATTTTGACGAAACTTGGGGACAGGGGGGTTAATGTGACAGTACCATGAATGCTTCCATTATTAGTATCTTCAGGAAAAATGGGTGATCGATTTTGTCTCTGTGGGTCTGAGATGCACAAACTATGTGACTTTGTGGAAGTCCCACGGCATCCCATGGCATCACTAGCCAATTGAGAAAGGAAATGGCCAAAGACGACAATCATACTTTATGCGTTATGCACTGCTGATATGTCGGTATTGCAGTCACTAAAGTATCGTCCCGAAGTGCGGAGTAAACTCTTGATTTCATTTGCTCAGACGAGACCGATAAATAGAGGCCTGATAATTATCCATCACACGCATCCGAGCCTGTTTCATGCTGCTTGTTTCGATTTATGTACTAGTTACTCCATGCTACCTAACCGTCATTCCAATGTTTGCGGATCATGTGAGATAAGTTTGCTCACCATATCCACATCTAACCTTCCTAATGCTTCTTGAGCATTATTGTCACATGATATCGCCACGCAGCTTGAACTAATGAAGACTCCCAGCCACCTCCCAAACTCCTAACGTTTCGCTTGCATACCATTCGCAGTGCTTCTCATTAGGGCCGCTCCTTTACACCTTGGCAAGAAAGGTAGCCCATACAAAGCTGAAACGATGCTTAACTTAGTTAGGAAGGACGAATGAAAGCCATGCGTGTTGTGCCTCCTAACCTATAGCGGGCATGTCTTCCCGAATTGGTCAAGAGCCGAAGGGTCTAGTTGTCACCCCCGCATAAGCTCGATGAGGTCTAGCCAATCATATCCCTATTACGAACGAGGTCTATGAGAAAGGCGTTCCGCTATTCCGCTTGAGGGAAAGCGCCGGCGCTTAATCCACGATCAGGACTGGGTCAATTGATCATCGAAAAGTGGGTATAAGTGGGGCATATGAGCGGACCGTTCCCCCCCTCTCGGTAACCTTCCAGGGAAAATGAAAACTTCCGTTCAACAATAGCCAATCAGCATCGGAGGATTCGATGTGTATCAAATGTCGGTAAGGATATCAGGCTTCTAATTGTTATTAGTCGCCACAGAAAGACACAAGGAGACAGTTACATGGCGAGCAGAGAAGTCACAAACCACACAACCCCCCCCTCTTCCCGCCTTTTGTGGGCTTGAAGCAATGGAACATAATTAAAGCATGTAACCTGGAAAGGACATACGTTTTTCCCGTGCATATGCAAAAGCAGAGCATTCTGGCCTTGGCTGCATGCTCATCGGGTTTGACAAGGGTGCTCCAATTTCCTGAAGAAACTTCGTTGAAGCGGTGTGCTATTGGATGGAATCGATGATGAAAACAAAAAGTTGACTCGGCCATTAGTACGGATGATGCTGGGAATATTACATTCACGGACTGGACTACTTTGTGCTAAGAGGAGTAGTGTGAGTATAAATGTTACAATGAACTTCAGTTAAGGTTCAGAAAACCTCTATTGGTTTCTAAGAAAGACGGTAAGATGAGATTAAAAATATCATGAATCCTAAGTTGTTGTTGTAATGGCCGTTACACGGGTATGGTCTTGTGTAAAGTATTCATTACTGATACGTATTGTCCGTGTGTGGGGCATGCTAACTACATAGTGCCCCATGGCCATGTCGTAGACTGTGATACTTGTCCATACTACACAGCCCCTCGGTGATTCATCATTCTTTCAAGTTTCTCCGCTTGTCATGTCCAAACCCAAGAGCATGGACCTGCTAGTCTTACTAGCTGAAGTTATTTTGCGAAATTAGCACGGTACGGACGGAGTATTATGTGCTAGCTAACTTGATAGTAAATAGTTCAGTCTGCCTCCCCCAGGCTAAACCTAAAAAATGCCGAGTGGCGTTCTAGGGATAACTCATCGAAGATTGACCAACAACCAGCTAGTCAAGCTCAGTGGACTTGACCCTTGGTTCGGACTCAGAGAGCAGTTAAATGGAGGGGTCTGATCTCTCATAACTCGCCGCCATGAGTCGTAGTATAGAGTCGTACAATTAATATCGATTAGTCTGACAGGGTGGAAAAGAAACATCTGGAATCTATGGATTGAGTCATGGCCTTCGGAGCCGTATGACGCCTCAGCTGCATGTATAGAGGCCCGGTACTTGCTAGTAGCCTCAGCTATTGACCAAAGGAGTCAAGCTCGTTTCTAACACGTGTCTATACGACTAGCTTCGTGTATTGCTGTTGGTCCTCTCGATTTCATATCCGAATCATGCTCCTTCAATTTTCTTTTTCAAGTCAGACAAACTCGTCTTTTGCCTCAGGATTTGACTGGTGAAAAACCTAAGAGGGCTAAGTGGGCGGGTCCACGCTGTTCCATGGTTATCAATAATGACTAGGTCCTAAAATAGAATATAGTCATGATACTCGAGTGAAGACAACGCTTTGACAGCACAAAGAAATTATTATTTCATTGACATGAATCGATTTTTAGTCCAACATGAACATGGACAGTGTTATACCATTTTGCGCCCCCACCCCATCCTTTCGATCCAAATGAAAAGGCTTGCTCTGAAATGTGGTAACAAATATACAATCAAGTTCCTGACCCAACTCCTTGCAATATCAAAACAAAACAGACATGCAAAGTAAACAAAATATTTATCGTATACTCATGAGAAGAGACAAAGAGAAAGTAAACAAACAATGCATCATCATCATAAGACTTCAAGCCATCCCGGTTGCTTAGGATGATGATAATCTTAAAAAAAAAAGACAAGACAAAAGACAAGAAAGAAAGAAATAGTATGCAAACATGATAATGACAAAATATTCACAAATGCGATCTATTCGTCGTGGTCCCGTAACAAAAAGAAGAATGCGAGGAAAGATCAAGCCTGTGGAGTTGCACTAGTTCGGCGTCGCTTGGCCTGTGGCGTTGGTTCCAAGGAAGCCCGCCTATACGTGACTGTGCGAGTGATAACCTCTCGAACAGTCACAGACTTGCCAGCAGGAAGCTGAGGTCCGTCGAGATAACGCATTCTCCACTCAGCGGGTGAGTAAGGGGAGTATGCAACGGTAGAAGCACTCCGTGGAGAAGCAGTGGCCGGAGACATTGCTTTTCGTGCAGCTAGGACTGTTGAGACTCGCAACCGCTTCCGTCCATGAGGAGACTTTGCAGAGAGGGGTGTAGTCACCGGGGATTCAGGTGAGCCAGACTCAGATGTCACGAATTCGCCACCGTGAGGAAATGACACGCTTGTTGTTGTTGTTGTGGACGGTGTGCCTAACTTTTCAATGGGATATCTAGAAAAGCCGGCTGCAGGGCTGATAGGGCTTTGAATCTCAGGTTTCATTGCCTTTAGGAACTGGGTATAGGCAAGTGGCGGGGTTATTGGCTTTGGCATAGGCTTGTCGGTCTTGGTGTCCGATTGAGAAACACATTGTATTTCAGACGGGAGGGTTGGCGTCTTTGGCGTCTTTGGCGTCTTGAGGGGTTGTAAGACGGGTCTTTCAGGCGCCATGTCTTTCTGTTGGATTATTTGAAATAGTTGTAAGAGGTAATTGATAAAGAGGTCCGGAAATGGCCGACAAGTTGAAATGGGATGCTTCAAAGACAGAAAGGGTGGGCGAAAGCAATGATTTTAAGTCGATAAAATGAGAATGAGCGTCGAGGCGTGAATAGACCACTAGTCAGCCAGTCACAAGGGGGCTTGTCCAACCACAACACACTGCGGAGAGGGTGGTGGATGATCGTTTCGCCCGAAGCTTTGGGAGATCTTTTGTATGTTTTGATGTAAAGACGAAAAACCGTAATGTACACCGTAATTTCGGTATGGTATGGCGTATGGTACAAGGAGCAATAATACAAGTCTGTAAATAAAAACGGTTAGTCAGCCAGAGTCATCCGCAGCCGGGACCAGAGCAAACCATACAAACAAACAAATTCGCTGCCAGAGCTGAGAATGAAAATGAAACGAAATAATATAAAATTAAACAAAAATGACACGAGCAAGTTGACGCCGAGAAAATGCTTGGACTGAAAGAATCCGACCCGCGGAAAACAATAGCAAGAAAAGAATCGGCAAGGAAAAGCACAAAGTGAATTGAATAACAGAACAGAACAGACTTGGGAACCTGTGTCTCTATATAAATCAAGACACTGCCACGACCATGCTGCGACAACAGACCACGCAAACACGCCTCGCTTCGCTGCGCGCGTGCTGAAGCAAGCCTCAAACACCCCTGCGTCTATACGTCGCCAGTCATTTCTCTCTATCTTCTCTCACAGGCCTTCTTGGTGTTTCAAGGTTGGTGGAGCACTGCCAGCTGCTCGCTCTGGTTGGCCCCCGCGGCTTCGGCGAGCCGCCCGCGCCAGTCCTATAGAACAGCCAATCAGATGCTTGCAGCCGGTCCTTGTGGACGAGAGGGCTGTCGAGACCGTCTTTGTAGTTACGGTGTGGCAACTCTGATACGTCGCCGTTGGCAGGCGCTTTAACCTGTAATGTTTCAAGGATACCCGTTGCTGAAGGAAGCGGCTCAGCGCTTAGTTCTACGGTGCCAGATGCGTCGGTCTAATTTCACCCTGCCACGGAATGCTGATGTCTGGTTCACGATCATATCCAATTACCTTGCTGACTTGGATGGCAGAGATCTTGCATTGCCGCTGGCGCATATGCCCTCTAGCCAATAGACCTGTGATAGTAGCATAACCCTATCCTGAGGCTAGTCATGTTAGCCCAGAGCTGCAAGTCATCGAGCTTCTGTGCCCACCTAGTCAACCAATATCCACAGCGTAGGATTCTTCCAGCTCTTATTCTTCATTCAGAACAAAGTTTAGTTCTCGAGCCACTCGGAAATTGCAATATGTCTTGAAGCCGCTTTGTTGGAGGCTTGGATATAGCGTCAAGCGTTCTGTGGCCCCTGACTGGACGATGTATAGTTTCATGACCTACATATGTGTTATTATAATAGACAGACTGACTAGTTATGCTTTGTACTAGGGCCAATCAGGGGAAAATAGTTCATATTTGGTCTCTAACCGCCCTGCCTGAAAATGAAGAGCTGAAGCTACGTGGATGATGTATGGAAAGTTGGTACGAACAAAGAGAGTTGGAACGCGCCACTTGGGTAAAACTGCCTCTGTCTTGGAATGTGGAAAGTAAGGGAGATGCTGAGCCAAGTTATGAGGCAGTTTGGCGATGTCCATAGAAAGGTAAACAAATGTTATTAAATAGCAAAATTATGGTACTTGATACAAAGCAGGTATTAAACATGAGGATAGCCTTACTCGAATAACATCAGGCTGAAAGAGAGGAAATTTTCAATCAAATTACGGCAGCAGATCAAAATCTGCCCATTGTCCACAGATCTAATGGCATTATATCCGATGCGCAGTTATCGGCGCGAATAGCACGGGAGCTTCATGAAAATGAATGACTTGATTGAGACATCATGAAGATCTTACTTGACAAAATCAAACGAGTGGATGATGACAGGGTCATCTGCGTGCCGGATCCGGCCCGGTAGAACGATATAGCCGTGTAGTATGAAGAGGTTCATTGTATGTGGACATAGTCAAACCAGGCTGCCTTGAATCTCAAACTAAGACTATGTTCATAGAAGGAAGGCCAAGGCTCCGAGGACGGCCAAAGTGAAGCCTTGAGGAGCAGCAACGAAGCCAGCCCCACCAAGGAAAGGTGAGGGCACCGACAAAGGACTTGGCACAGTTGGGGTGGGAGTTAGGGCGATGCTAGGAGCGGTAATCAAAGTTGGAGGTGGTGCGGTCGTCGTGGGCTTGGCTGGTATGGACACAGACGGAGGAATCGATGCTTGGTAGGAAGCATGGTGCACTGATGATGGAGCCTGAGATGCCTTGATCTGGGCTTTGAATGTCGAAGAAGGCGTCACATGACCGTGAGATTGGGGCTTTCCGTACTGGGGGCCAGGAGGGAATGGTTTGTAAGTCTCAGGTTCGGTTTCGTGTTCTTCAGGAACAGGGGACAAGTCAAAGTTATCTTCAGGCTCCTTGGGAGGAGGGTATGCGCCATGATAATGATCCTTCTCATGGTCAGGCTCCGGAAGGTCGTGTTCCTCGGGAACAGGGGCCGAGTCAATGCCATCTTGAGGCTTCTTGGGAGGAGGATATGTGCCATGGTATTGATCCTTCTCATGGTCAGGCTCCGGCAGCTCGTGTTCTTCAGGGAAAGGCTCCGCGTCCTCATGCGGCTGTGGATGACTTTGCTGCGCAGGAGGATGAGGGGGCGGGTAGGAATTACCCTTGCCTGCTGGAATTTGGGGATCAATAGGGACCTCTGGCTGTGGCTTAGGTGTCTCTTTTGGTGCATCTGGGGCCTCACTGTCCTCTGGCATTGGCATTGGCATGTGATGAGTGCCGTCTTCAGATTCAGGACAAGGCGGCTCCTGCTCCCCTCCCTGTTTTTCAGGGCCTGGCTGGGCACTAGGTTCTGCAGGTACAGGTACAGATGCTGGGGCTGGCGCTTGAATAGGAGCTGCAGGTTCAGGTGCAAAGCTTGAAGCTGGCGCTTGAATAGGAGCTGCAGGTTCAGGTGCAAAGCTTGAAGCTGG